CATTACCAGATATTTTTATTTAAAGAAGGGGTGCGTCTCATGCACAGAATTAAGCAAATCTAGGCTTATCTCCTTCGACAACAAAGTCTGAAGTTGATGATGTCGACATATTCCGTGCAATAAAGATGGTGGCCATTTCAGCTACCGCTATTCTGTATACCGTTACCTATAAACGACAATGCCAACACCATGGGCCGATAGCGATTCGGCGTTAATGGTGTTTAAAATTATCGTCAATATTTCTGTTATTCCTATGTAATTTTACGTAATAAAATATCCTAGTTTACTTTTTTGTGAATCGGGGGATCACGGTGGTTAAGTAAGTAAGACGCTGGCTTGTTAGCCTGGAGGTCGGCTGTTCGATCCCTGCATTGGCCGAGAAAGTTCATCCAGATTTTCCGGCGTGGTTCTCCCTTGTCAGTGATGCAGGATGGAGGGCCTGACAAGGATAGCTGTCTAGTAGTTCGGTTGGGACGAAAAACCGAGGTCCTGTGTACACATTGGCGTGCACGTAAAAGATCCCTTGACAGTTGGAATTCGATATAAGAGGCCGTAGTGCCGCTGTCCGGGCAAAATTTCCCTCATAGCACACTATATGGCATCTTCATTAGCCCAGTTTGGAGCAGAACAGAGTGACGTTAAATCCTGTTTCATTTCATTTTCATTTTTTGTGAATCGTGAGCTAGTATTATTACCTTATTTTTATGAGCTGCTATATGTATATGACTAGTAATCGGGGCTAGAATTTGTTCATCTGTTAAATCATCTTCTTCGTAAATAGCTCGTAACAAATACTCCGTACATATCTCACTCGCTAAACCACTAAAATTCTACAAAATAAACATGTAACCATCAAATAAAACGTCTCAACTCAATATAGCCTACCAACATGTCCACGTGTTTGTCTTCTCGGTTAGACAGGCAACCCTACTCGAAACCACGCCAGTCAACTTTATGACAGACCTTATGATCCAAAGAGTATGCCTTACAAAATTCAGCCAACCCTCAACCCCAGAGAGAGAAATGGGGTTTACCGTCTACTTAACACAAACTAGGTCATTTCGGGACTAACCCTAACCCTAACCCTAACCCAACCCTAACCCTAACCCTAACCCAACCCTCACCCTAGTGCTTCTAAGCACTAGCCTGGACCCCCCCCGGTCCACTCATGGGTTGTGAAAGAAACAAGGAATTATTACTCATTCTATAGCTCACCACTGCCTCATAAATATACTCATGGGCGCTAGGGGGTGGATGGTCGAATGGTTAGGGGTCGCCTGTTCAACCTTGTGGGTTTTCTCCGGGTGCCCTGTTTTCCTTCCACTGCTAAAGACTCTAAGCGCAAGCGAATTATTGAAATAAAATTGAACTTTGTTTTATACAAATCGAACAATAAATAATTAATCCAGGACTGAAAAACTGAATTAGCCAATGGGGGCCAAGGAAAAATACAGTGGCAAAAAATGTTGCCATTTTTGGTCAAATCAGATGACTCTTTAACCCTAAGTAAATTACCACATAAAAATATTCATTAATAAAAAAGTTTTTTGTAAAAATTTAAATTTTCAAAATTTGGCGCCTAATATCTCCTAAGATTCGTCGAAAATAAAAAATCCAAAGAACTGTAGCTATGTGCCTTGTCTCTGGCTATGTCAAAATGTATCAAATATTACAATCCGACAATTATTGATAACATTACGGCAAAATATCGAAAAACGACAACTTCGGTGATTTCGGACATTTCACATTGTCGCAGAACGTTGGAAATAGCTTTAAAATTTAAGTCAAACCCACTTTCCCAGTAAAACCGAAGACATCGAATCGATCCGACAAGTAGTTTCTGAGATATGCTCAAATGGAAAAATAATAATAATAATAAGTGTGAAACCCTAATAATAACCAAGAAATAAAATATTACTAAAATACCTGAATAATATTCACAGCTCTATAAAACAACTTGCTATTGCTGAAAATAATATAAAATAATTTTATCATTCTTCCATTAAAATATAATATCATAAATATTTCATTTATGAAATCGAAAATGAAAACATTTGTGGTGATGTTCAACAGAGTTAGATTAAATAGACATACCTTAGCCCCTGGTCATGAACAACAACAAAGGCAATAACTCTCATAAACTTAATAGACATACCTTGCTTTCAAATCTATCATTATATTCTGATAAACTTTTCCCACTAAAACATGAGCACCAGTAGTGATAGAATTTAAAATCCATTTTGTTGCGAGCTCATAATACAATTGTTTATATTCATCAAACATTTGTTGAGAAGTAAGTTGCGTTATTTCTTTCTGAGAAATGGTAACTTTTAAGAAAACATCTATATTTGGATTAAGCGTTGTTGGCTGAAATAAAAATCAATCCGTCAGTTTTTGTATATAATAAAGGGACATAATAATAATAATGGAAACAGAATATGCTGAAAATTTCAGTCCAATTGCTTCATCTGAACTGAGATAATAGCGATTCAATTTAGGCTAGCCTCGATCGTCATTACTACTGTAGGTGCGATAAAAAACAAAGTCTTGGTTATCCATTCTTACGTTAAATTATCCGTCATAAAATGTATTCAAATCTACTAAATATCGCAGGTTAGCGATGGCTAGGGCTAGGTAAAATATCGATATAAATCGATAGTATCGATTGGACGGCCCAGAAAAGCACTATCGATAGCGGTGGGTTACTATCGATTATCGCTCTTCAGTCTATTTTTCTTGCGTCTGAAATGTCAATGTTTTCTTTCAGTTAATCATAATACACCGCTCACTTTAATTACCGTACTATCAAGTATCAATGTAACACATAACAAAATTGTGACTGCTTATTGAACAGCCGTTTTCATAAATTCACTCTCATTGAAACGTTACTTTAGTTTTGAAGAAATTATTGTTGAATATCGCTAAATCGGAGATACCCGGATGTGTAAATAAAGTTAGAGTTATTTCCCTTTGCAAGCTTCAGAATTCGTCTGCCATATTGATATTTTCGCGCACACGTATGCAATGTTTTGAATCGGAACAAGTTCATTTTGGTCCCTTAACATAATTATTTACGATATTTCTTCATTCGGAACCACGGCTGCATTATTTTAATAATAAACAACATCAATTTACGTATATATACGTGATATAACAAGTTTTATTAATGTTTTCCAAATAAATCTCCTTAGACAGGAGCAAACGATCTTTCGCAACTTTGTATGGTTTTGAACTTTGAACTTACTCTGTATCCAGTCTTGATGACGACCGTGAAAATAAGTGTGTTTTCGATACTATCGATTATCGACCAACATTTCATTGCCGATTATAGATAGTAAAAATCACTATCGATACCCAGTCCTAGCGATGGCATTAAAGCTGATTATGGTCTTGTTAAGTTAATTAATGTCTAATTAATAATTTAGATAACATTTCAGGCCTAAAGACGTGCGATAGGCAGATTTAGCTCTTGAATAATGTATGTTTAATACTTGACAATGTTTAATATTTTGAAGATGAATGACCGGAAGGGTCTGTTCTACAGTTTCAATCTTTTCTTATTTATGTCCAGGGGCCCGGTTGCTCAACATGTCTCTAGGATAAATGGGTTAATTTGAACAATTTAAATTTAACCACAGGACCGTGACATTGTAGTGCCCTCAATAAAAACTACGTTGGACCTCCTCAGTCAAAAACTGACAGTATGACTAGCACCACAATACAGAATATTTGTAATAGACAAAAAAAAAGTGTAGTGGTCAAAATATGAGAGGTCACGTCTGCGGCCGTGACCCCTTTTTGTCTGTAAATTTTAGTTAAAGTTCAAACCTTTTGATCTGACGTGTTGACGACTATTACAACTTTTTTACACGGTTTCATCAACAGACTAGCATCAGGTACAAAATTACTATCTGTAAAAAATATATAATAATTATACAATATGACTACACCAAAATTACTATTTATATAAGTCGATATTTTTTTCCGCTAAGTCCAGCCTTCGTCTTATGCTCCACTTCGACTCATATATGGATGGGGGTAAAAAAATAAATTACATCTCAAAAATTATTCTTTTCTATAACTGTCGCTCCACGTTTCCGCACACAATATCATCTTAAATAAATCTACTTATTACACTATTTCAATCAAAATATTTGTAGATGTTTCCTTGTTTATTTCTTTATCTAAAAAAAACTGAGCAATATTGTCAACCAGAGAATATGCCATCACAATAGAATTTTTTCTCAGACATACGTCAAAATTGGCACATTTCCATAATTTCACGCATCTCGCGAGATTTCTACCTTTTGTTTTCAGTTAAATTAACCAATCATACTGCGTTGTTTTATTCTATTTTTAGTAACATACATTATAAACACATGTGATTAGAGCCTGCATTGTCTTATATTTATCAGATATATTGAAATAAAAACTGGTTGAAATAAACCAATATTAATCAAGTTAGTCCTACGTCTATAAACTGATTATTTTATATTAAACATACATTATGCAAGAGCTCAATCTGCCTATTGCAGGTCTTTCTTTAGGCATGAAATGTTTTCTAAATTATTAATTAGACAATAATTAACTTATCCAGACCATAATCAACTCTCGATGTCATCGCTAGCCTGCGATGTTTATTGGATTAGGTTCTGATTTGCTGTTCAACTTTCATTTAATCATGAAATGGATAATCGAGACTATGTTTTTTATCGTACTGACTTTAGTAATGATGATCACGGCTAGGCTGAAAATTCAATTGCTAAAATCTTGGTTTAGAGTGGATCAATTTGCCTGAAATTTTCAGCAAATTCTCTTTATATTATCTAGTTTTTAACTATTATAGTGAGAACAGCCAGCTCTTTATCTAATCTCCCATAATGTATATTTAATTAATATTATGGGCCAATTATTCTTGACGTACACCGGCACGGTATTAGACTAGGATAAACTAGATAATATAGTATATATACCTGTAGTCAGTAATATAACTATATCTTCTTCCCGTAATCCAGGTAAAATATTGGCTGTAAAATCTTCTATACTGATTAGATAATGTTTACCCTAAAATATAAAAACATTCCGTTCAGTATCCCATAGCACTTGCTGTTCGCTCATAGCATACTGTCTGGCGTACGCCTGTCTTATTAGCTCAGTCGGTACAGAACAGTAGGAAGTTAAACCACATTTTATTTCTGATTCTGACTACTGAAACGATCCTTTAACACATAAATCCTAACAAATATCTTAAACAGAGAGAGAGAGAAATAGGTTTAATGTCCACTCGACACAAACTAGGTCATTTCGGGACTAACAAATGGTTCAATTTTAATACAATAATTCGCTTGCGCGTAGGGGTCTTTAGGTTGAACAGGCGACCCTACTTACGTACAACTGGGCAATCGAAACCAAGCCAGTTGACTCAATGACAGACCTTATGATTCATTGCGCATGTGCTAACCATTCGGCCATCCCCCTTAAATATCTTAACGGATGAGTCGTTTAGATTATTGTTCTCGGTTTCCAGCCACTTGAGTTCCATGTTTTGTGAAGTAGTGGTTAGTTTGTACATCAAATGCTACATGGATAGAATGGACATGTTTTGTACTGTAGGATAGGGGCATGATGAGCACCCTACTGTAGTACTTATCCGTAGGACAAACAATCTGTAACCTATAGGACAAATTTTACTGTTCACATGAAATAAAACCTCAATAGCGTGACTCCAATCTGATTAAAACACAGATCCTATTTCATTTCGTGTTTTTATAGTTCAAAATTTTGTTTTTTCTTGTCTTTACTACACTAGGAACTGTGGATAACCCATTAGGAACGTCAACAGTGATTGGTTAAATAAATGTCATAGGGTCAAAAGCTGCTTGGCCGCCCCTGACACTACCTTCCAGTACAACTGGTCAGATCTTCATGTAGTGTAGGCCATCAAAGGTATAAAAAAAACAAAATGAAATATAGATGTGTATTATAATCAGATTGTCGTGACCCAGCCCTTATATGGTATGTGAATAAATTTATCCAGTGGATGTGATACCTCAAGATAAATCTACCTAACCCTAACCCTAGTAAAATAAACAATATCTTACCACATGTGATAAACTGCCTTCTTTATTTCTAAGATTACTATAACTTTTATATAGAAAACCTCGAACATCATCTAGGGCTGAAAAAAATTAATATTTACACCTTATTTCATCATTCACAAAACAAAATATTGGTTAAAATCCACTGCTTTAAAAAAATTTGTCTTACTGTAGTTAGGTCCAGGGTTCTTAATCCATTTTGAAATGAATGGGCCAGAATTGGGTCAAATTTGGTTTTGGTAGGAATTGGGTACACCGTTCGGAAAATTTTCCATATTTAATTCACGTACCGGCTTGAAATTCATGTCAGTAATATTCCTGAATAAATTACTGTATTCGTTATTTAATTCACGTACCGGTTTGAAATTCATGTCAGTAATATTCCTGAATAAATTACTGTAATCATTTTTTTCGATGGATAAAAGTTGATACGGCACCGTGGTATTTATTCATAACACACAATTTTTAGGAGGTTTTTTTTTTTCTATCACATAACTTGCAAATGTTTTTATTCATTTGTCCATGATAGACACACAGCACAGTGATCACATGACAACCATAATTTAAATGGCTTTAAAATTAAATTCCATACGACTATGCTTTATAGCTTTCAATAACGACAATATTTTAAAAAGTTAACCTCTGTCAGCATAAAAATAAAAAAACATAACAGTAAACGCTTATTAAAACTAAAACTAGCATCGCTGGTTTATTGACCTAATTCCAACCGATGTCATATGTCCTCGGAATTTCGGCATTGGAGATTCATAATTATATATTATTAATGACTGTTTCTCAGTGTATTCGGTGTTCCATCCGAGGATTATATTCAACTAAGATTTAAATATAACTAACAACTGGTCAGTGAAACCATTAAATTATGATCCAATTATTATCTTAATATCTACCAGTGCACCTGGTATTCATACGACGCGTCGAAGGTGTGCGATAGATGCACAATCCATTCCAAGATCATATCGTCTTCCTTCGATTGCCACGTGACCTATTTCCTCAAGGCTACTAACTGGACCTGTTATGAATAATCGGCAAGCTTGTTTTGTTTTTTTACCGGATTATCAAAATTACCATTACTTGTGCTAATTGCTCGGATTATGAACCATGTGGTGGATTCTCACTAAGGTATGACTGTTATTGTAGCCAACAAGCAAGTTGATTAACTACTTAATTAACAAGTAATAATTAACCTGTCGTAATTTAGCCGAAAGTAGATTGATTTATGACACCATAGTGACTGATTCATTGTTTTACCAATCGGCTTGATTGAACTTCAAGCGGCTAAAGCCAACAAAAAACAGTCGATTAAGATCCCTGGTTAGGTCTACACTCAGAATTATCAAGCAAGCAAGCACAGAGAGAGAGAGAGAGAGAGAGAGAGAGAGAGAGAGAGAGATTCAATAATTCGCTTGCGTGGAGGGATCTTTAATAGTGCGAGGATACCAGAGGACCCAGAGAAAATCCACGAGGTTGGACAGGCGACCCTACTCCTTGTTTTGTACAACCGGGGACTCAGACCTCATGATCAACATAAGAGAGAGATGTGGTTAAACATCCTCTTGAAAACAAGGTCATTTTGGGACTAACATATGGTTCAGTTTTATTATGGACAGGCAACACTACTCTTGTCGCATACAAGCTGAAGATCGAAACCATGCCACTTGATTCAATAACAGACCTTAGGGATCTAAAGTGCACACCAGGGAATGAATAACCATATGAGTAACTAGTTGCTATATACCTACAAGCTCCATATGTTGGTTGACATTCTGATGCGTCTATCAGTCCCATAATTCCTAGACTATCCCAGCCAACATAGTATATATATCCACCTGAGTTTAAACTGAAAAAAAGAGAAATAAAATAAAATAAAACTATTTTACTAGGGAGATTGCAATGAACTTTCAAACAAGAGAGAGAGAGAGAGGGGGGTTTAATGTCCACTTGACACAAACCAGGCCATTTCAGGACTAACATATGGTTCAGTTTTATTTCAATTATTCGCTTGCGCGTAGGGGTCTTTAGATGTAGGGGGAAACAGGAGGACCAAGAGAAAAGCGACGAGGTTGGACAGGCGACCCTTCTCCTTATCACATACAACCGGAGGACCTGGAGAAAACCCATGAAGGTTGATTTGGATGGAAGTGTCAACTATAGTTGATGCACAGATCTTTAAGTACATGTTAATAACTTGAATTCAATCCAAACACGAATTGAAAGCCAATGTCATTTAATCTGAAATGAAATGAAATGGGGTTTAACGTCCTACTGTTCTGCTCCCAACTGGGGTAATAAAGACGGGCATACGCCATACAGTGTGCTGTGAGGGAAATTTTGCCTGGACAGCGGCACTACGGCCTACTCTTATATCGATTTCCAACTGTCGAGGGATCTTTTACGTGCACGCCAATGTGTTCACGGGACTTCGGTTTTTCGCCATCCTAACGACTAGACATCTGTCCTTGTCAAGTCCTCAGTCTTGCATCACTGACAAGGGGGAACCATGCCGGAAAATCTGTATGAACTTTCTCGGTCAATGCAAGGATCGAACACACGACCTCCAGGCTAGCGAGCTAGCGTTTTACCCACTTAGCTAGTCATTTAATCTAGTTGATCAAGTAAATAATCTTACCTTTTACCCGCAAGTTTAACAACTTTAGCAATCTGTTCTTTTTCCTTATATACATTTTGATAAACTGTTTCATACGAATTTAACACTAACTGAGCTCTACAATATAAAACAAAGATGTTAAAAATACAAGAGCTAAATATTTAATCACTTCTTTCTTGTGACCGTTATGCCCAATTTTTGACGAAACTTTATGTCAGTTTTGACGTAATATTTGGACCGTTTAGAACTTGAGCCTGACCCTTTGGACATATCAGTGCCATTGTTAAGTTTCGCTGAAATATTTTGATGGGCCTCGTTTAAATCTGATTAAATAAAAGTCAGGAGATTATCTACTCTTCGTATTTTGATCTTGTTTTCTTAAACATTATACAAGAGCTAAATCTGCCTATTGCAGGTCTTTCTTTAGGCCTGAAATGTTATATAAATTATTAATAAGACATTAATTAACTTATCCAGACCATAATCAACTCTTAATGCCATATGATAGGTCCGGTTTCTAACTAATTTGAGTCCGATCTGCGGTTCAACAATGGTTGATGATAAACCGTAAAAATAGATGATTTGGACTGTTTATTAACTATAGTAACAATTATTATTATTATGGTAATTTTTATAGTCCATCTTTCACATAAGTGCCCAGATGTGCTTAACAATAAAATAAAAATTAAAATAAATAAATAAAATTAAATTGAGCCTACAATTGAAATGGCCACCATATCTAAAAAGTAGTGTTCCACATTGTAATGCAGTTCTACTCTGTTTCACATCTGTCATACACACAAAAACTAAATAAACATTTTCCATTTCATCAAATAAATACTTTTCACACTTAGTGTTTTCGTCTAATATCGCTGATTTAGGGTTTAACGTCCACTTGAAATAAACTAGGTCATTTCGAGATTAACACATGGTTCAATTGTATTTCAATAATTTGGGGTCTTTAGCAGTAGGAGGAAACCAGGGGTCCCAGAGAAAATCTACACGGTTGGACTGGCGACCCTACCCCTTGTCACGTACAAGTGGGGAATAGAAACCACACCAGTTGACTCAATGACAGACCTAGTTTATTTAAAGGGGGAAACACTAAAGCCTTACTAAGAAACGAACATAAAATCAAAATTTTCCTTTAGATGTTTTGACCTTTGGCCCTTACTTACATTATATTTTGACCTTTGACATGTAAAGTTGATAAAGCACTAACGAAGATAGATTCTAGTATAAGTTTGGTTGCTGTACCTCCCTTCATTCTACTGGATCCTGTTATTGGTTCAGGCTGAAATAACAAATAATAACAATAACTTCATAAAGTATTTTACTGTATCAGATACAACCTGATTCAAACACAGATCCTATTTCGTTTCGTATTTTATAGTTCAAAATTTCGTTTTCCTTGTCTTTACTACACTAGGATCTGGAAGAGTTGTTATATAACCCAAGTTCTGATTGATGTAAGGGATTAGCCAATGAAATGGTGTGTTGCAGCAATTTCTTAGCGTGCTGTGCAAGAAACTGTGGGTATTCCACTAGAAACATCTACGCTGATTGGTTAATCAAACGTCTGAAATCATAGGGTCAAAAGTCGCTTGCATGACCCCTGACACAACCTCCCATTGCAACCGGCCAGATCTTCATTTAGTGGAGGCCATCGAAAGTATAAAAAAAACAAAATGAAATATAGATGTGTATATTAATCATATTGTAAGAGATATACACCATCCAGTATTCTACTGTAAATGTGTATCGGATATTAAGTTTTTAAGGGTGAGGTGTTTTACATAGGCGACACCTGTTCCCTAATCCCCTTCGGTATTAAAATAAAATACTAACCCCTACTATTGGATTTATAAGAAAGCCTTTTTTAAGGCCTTCGACGGATATTAAATCTTCTAAAACTGAAAATATAAAATAAAACAATTTGTTTCCACGGAAATTCATGAAGTCTACGATGGAAGTTGTGGATATGGGTCTCCTTACAGGGCTCTCCGTACGGTCAATTTCATTGTGTATACAGGTAGTTGTTTTTTCAAAGCACATCACAAGTTTTAGCACTGGTCAGGTTCAAAAATCTATTCTTTTGTGTTTTACACAAACTAAAAATTTAACTCTGCATTTATTGTATTTCTTAAGTGAATTTCAGTCAGTGAATTTCCCGATCCGTTAGTCGTCTGAAGCAAGAAACAAACTTTCTATGATATTTTCCCCCATTTCATTTAATATCATTTATATTATAACAATGTAAATAAAACATGAAAACTATATTTACCTTGAAGGAATGTTTTATGCCAATTTTCTACAGGTAAATTTCTGTAAAAATATAAATTCATTGATGATGATGTAAAATGTTTTAAAGCGCCACAGAGCAATCAGACTGACTGAATGTTCAGCGCTATAGAAAACGATGATTATTATTATTATATTATTATATTATTATTATTATTATTGATGACAATATGTTTAGATTACCTGACTCAATGACAGACAGAGAGAGAGAGAGAGAGAGGGTTTAACGTCCACTTGACACAAACTAGGTCATTTCGGGACTAACACATGGTTCAATTTTATTTCAATAATTCGCTTGCACGTAGGGGTCTTTAGCAGTGGGAGGAAACCGGAGGACCCGGAGAAAACCCACGAGGTTGGACAGGCGACCCTACTCCTTGTCACGTACAACCGGGGAATCGAAAACCCGCCAGTTGACTCAATGACAGACCGTATGCTACAGCGCACGCGTGCTAACCATTCGAATATCCAACCCCCTCAATGACAGACCTTATGATCTAGAGTGCACGCATTAGACCATTGGGCCATCCAAACCGCCCTTCACACAGTAAACTAAATTGTATAGATCGGCCACTTACCTTGCTAACTGAATTGGATTAAAACCTATAATGACTGGTATAAACTTGTCTAAATGCTGTAGACAGTAGTCTAATTGTCCGGCCACAAAGGGTGCGGACAAACCACACGTTATACCAATAAATAAAACCTTCTTCTTTCCTTTCGTTGCCTGAAAATATTACAATTCTTTTACAAATACAAAAATAATATTTTGTAGACAATTGATTTAACTGACAGCAGTGGTTCTTCCAACATGGTTTCCCATTGTCAGTGGTGCAGGATGAAGTGACTGGCAGGAAAATCATCGATAGCTATTTGGATGGGACAAAAAACTGAGATGCCATGAACAAGTTGGCATGCACGTAATAGAACACTTGACGAATCTGAATAAAATACATTTCATATATAAGATGATATGTTCTTTAAATGGCATTTAGTAACTGGATAGAGTAACAACAAAACACATACTTATGGAAAACAGCTACTAGTGTATTTAAGGCGACGTTTCGTAGAGTATTCTCTCAACGTTATCAAGCTAATACAGTAAAACAGGTATGAGGCAAATATATATAGACAAAATACAACAACATAACTGAAACCATACATAGCAACAACATGATCAAAGGCCTACGAAACGTCGCCTTAAATACACTAGTAGCTGTTTTCCATAAGTATGTGTTTTGTTGTTAATATAAGATGATGTTAGATCATACTATACCGGCAAGTTTTAAATTAACCAGGGAGGGGGTTGAATGGTCGAATAGTTAGCATGTGCGCGCTGTATCCTAAGGTCTGTCATGGAGTCAACTGGTGTGGTTTCTAATCCCCGGTTGTACCCAACAAGGAGTAGGGTCGCCTGTCCAACCTCGTGGGTTTTCACCGGGTTCTCCAGTTTCCTCCCACTGATAAAGACCCCTCACCTTAACAGACCGTTTCATTGGCTAATCCCTCACATCACCAGAACGCGGATGATATAACAACTCTTCCAGATCCTAGTGTAGTAAAGACAAGTAAAACGAAATTTTGAACTATAAAAACGAAACGAAATTTAATCAAATTGATAACGCCGCTGTCTCTCAGCATGTTAAGCGTATGTACGCCCATCTTCATTAGCCAGTATTCTCCCACGTCATCTTGACATCTTGAATGATAAAACTGTGACGTGTCCAGAAATTGAAATTCTGGATTCCGAATGAAGTATCCCGTAGGTTTAACAATGTAATCTATTTTTTGTATAATTTGATTTTATTACCTTAATCAGTTGATCTCGACCATTAACAGGATCATCTTCACCAGACTCTTGAGAAGTAAATAACGCTCTATAATATATAAATTCAATTTATCGTAACTTTTTACATACTAAATGGAATTGAACAGTTTTTGGGAAGTAAATAACGCTCTATAATATATAAATTCAATTTATCGTAACTTTTTACATACTAAATGGAATTGAACAGTTTTTGGGAAGTAAATAACGCTCTATAATATATAAATTCAATTTATCATAACTTTTTACATACTAAATGGAATTGAACAGTTTTTGGGAAGTAAATAACGCTCTATAATATATAAATTCATTTTATCGTAACTTTTTACATACTAAATGGAATTGAACAGTTTTTGGGAAGTAAATAACGCTCTATAATATATAAAGTTTTACATACTGAATGGAATTGAACGGTTTCTTGGACTGATATTCATTGTCCATAATATTGTAGTTTCCATGGTATTTTTATATGCTATGACTTTTAAATTGTTTCAATGGCATTTAGTAATTGAACTGGACATTGAATACAGTTACTGCTTATTACTGAGCAACTAGTGGCTTCTCTTGTCATTATCAAACAATGATAAAATATGACAAGACAATATATACATGTACACAACAATCATAGCTTGATAATGACTAGAGAAGCCGAGTCGAAACGCCGCTCAGTAAAAAGCTGTAATTGTATTCCATAGAATTGTGACCTGTATACACCAGTTCAATTACTAAATGCCATTGAAACAATTCATAATATTGTAGTTTTCATTGTATTTCTATAGTGCTTTAGCAATAGGTGGAAACTGGATGACCCGGCGAAAACCCACAAGCACACCACTTGCCTCAATGACAGGCCTTAGACCCTTCGACCCCCCCCCCCAGCCATAACCCTGCTAGTAAATAATGGTATTGATTATAGAATATATATAATAACCCTAACCCTAACCCTGCTAGTAAATATTAGTATAGATAATAGAATATATATAATAACCCTAACCCTAACCCTACTAGTAAATATTAGTATAGATAATAGAATATATATAATAACCCTAACCCTAACCCTACTAGTAAATATTAGTATAGATGATAGAATATATATAATAACCCTAACCCTAACCCTGCTAGTAAATATTAGTATAGAAAATAGAATATATATAATAACCCTAACCCTAACCCTGCTAGTAAATATTAGTATAGATAATAGAATATATATAATAACCCTAACCCTAACCCTGCTAGTAAATATTAGTATAGATAATAGAATATATATAATAACCCTAACCCTAACCCTGCTAGTAAATATTAGTATAGATAATAGAATATATATAATAACTTACACATCACCACCGGCTAGTAAATAATCAAAACATGGCGTAATACCAAACTTTCTTAATTTATCATTAAAACTTCTCTGAAATAAAACAACAAAAGCTGTCTCAGTCATCAACTACTACTGTTACCATGGTTATTTAACGTCTGCCAGACATCGCAGACTAGACCATCAGTCATCAAGATATCATATCCTGTGTCCTTAGTCAAAAATACGGCTAAACCAAATTTAAAGTTTAATTCTTCATGTTGTTAATCAACAAACAGCCTCTAAATTCTTGCGTGCGATCTTTTGTTTAAATTTCAAAACTTTAAATATGTTGAACTCAAATCTTTTAGGAAGAAGAACCAAGAACTTTTTCTTTATAAATTATTTTTTTTTCCTGAAGAAATTATAGGCAGAATTTTTAGTTGGTGCTCCCGAAGAAATGCTATTCAAATGCCAGAAATCACTGAGTAAGAAAGTGTACAGGAATAGGTTGATGCGTGTATAAAGTTTCATAAAGATATCTTCAACAGTAATCCATTTTATCAATACTTGTTTAGCAGTGTGAGGAGAGAATAGGTGAAATGAAATGAAATGGGGTTTAACGTCCTACTGTTCTGCTCCAAACCTGGGCTAATGAAGACGGGTATATGCCATACAGTGTGCTGTGGGGGAAATTTTGCCCGGACAGCGGCTCTACGGCCTACTCTTATATTGAATTCCAACTGTCAAAGGATCTTTTACGTGCACGCCAATGTATACACAGGACCTCGGTTATTCGTCCCATCCGAACGACTAGACAGCTGTACTTGTCAGGCCCTCTGTCCTGCATCAGTGACGAGGGGGAACCACGCTGGAAAGGATAGAATAGGACTCAGAGAAAATCCACGAAGTTTGTCAGTCACAATGACAGATGTTATATTTTAAAGGGCATGTATTAAGACTTAACGCCCCCCCCCCCAGGTTGCCATGGAGACACTACTAATAGAATAGAAGCTGTACTATAGATACTTACTGCAATACTAAAAGCAATTCGACCAGAAGTTCCGCATCCACTCAATATAATACTGTTCCTTGTTGAATTCTGAAAGTGATAAATAATAATAATACCATAACAAGGTTGGGAACGAGATTTTCACTAGTTGGGGATACACTTCTGCTACATCTTAACCTTAACTTAAAGATACTTTATGTAAGATTTAGATAAAGAGCTAGCCCTTCTTGCTATAATAGTTCAAAAATAGATAATGTAAAATGAATAATTTGAAAATTATCGTACTAGTTGTTCGAAGCTAAGTCTCGCTCCTCCATTTTTAGCTTAAATCAAAATATGGCTGAACTGTTCTAATCCATTTAATATCGGAGAAATCTGATGCCATCGAGAGTTGATTATGGCCTGGAGAAGTTAATCAATGTCTAATTAATAATTTAGAAAACATTTCAGGCTTAAGAAAGACCTGCAATATGCAGATTTAGCTCTTGCATAATGTATGTTTAAGGCAATGATAAAAAACTCAAAGGTAGCTGGAAATTTGTAAAAATTCATGTCATGGGCAAGATTCTGGATAGATCATCTAAACCATCTAAAATAAAATAAAACCTCCACTTACTTTTAAAATACTAACAACTATTTCGGATACAGCATCAATATTTTTCTGTATTCTTTCATTGTAAATATCCTGAACATAGACAAAAACAGGGTAAAAACTTGAGTTTTATATCAGTAAATATGGTCCACTTGATACAAAAGGTCATTTCGGGACTAACATTTGGTTAGATTTTATTTCAATAATTTGTTTGTGTGTAGGGGTCTTTACCAGTTTGACGAAACCAGAGGACCAGGAGAAAATCCATGAGGTTTTAAAAGTAACTCTACTCCTTGTTACATACAAGCTGAGAAATCATTTGACTGAATGACAGACCTTATGATACAACGCGCATGTGTTAACCATTCGGCCATCCAACCCCCAGATTCCATAATAGGATTGAACCTGGGACCTTAAAGTTAGTTAGCCAGTGCCATAATCATCGTACTACGGTAGACAACAAGCAAACCATGCATTCTAAATTTTTTTTTTTTTTTATCATGGTATTCAGTGTCGCTTTGTATTGTTGCCAATCTGATTAAAATACAGATCTATATTTCGTCTCTTTTTTATACTTTCGATGGCCTACACTACATGAAGATCTGACTGGTTGTAGCGATAGGTTGCGTCAGAGGTCATACGAACGGCTGTTGACCCTATGACATCAGACACTTGATTAACTAATCAGCATTGATGTTTCTAGTGGATTACCCACAGTTTCGTGCACCACACGACTAAAGCTCGCCGTGACAGACTGGTTCATTAGCTAATCCCTCACATCAACGAGAACACGGCTTATATAACTACTCTTCCAGATCCTAGTGTAGTAAAGACAAGTAAAACAAAATTTTGAACGATAAAAACGAAACAAAATAGGATCTGTGTTTTCATCAGATTGGTATAGTTGCCTGTCTAACCCCATTGGATCTCTTCCACTGCTAAAAACCACCGATTTGTTATATAAGTAATAATTTGTTTATATATCAGAGGATTTACCCAAGGCAGCAGTAAATATCAGTGATCAAAGAGTAAAATAGGCTACTACTTACTGGATATTTTCCCCACCCTTTAAAAATTTCTGCATCACAATCTTCTAATAACGAAACAATTTCTGAAAAGAAATATAATAATTCATAAATTGTTGTACAGTCTATTTTTGATGACTTTAAGTCTAACTAAAGTGGAATCTCAAAACGGAGAGAGTGATAAATTGGGTTTAATGTCCATTCGACACAAACTAGGTCAGTTCAATTTTATTTCAATAATCTGCTTGCGAGTAGGGGTATTTAGAGCAGTGGGAGGAAACCGGAGGACCCGGAGCAAACCCACGAGATTGGCCAGACGACCCTACTCCTTGTCAGGTACAACCGGGGATTCGAAACCACGCTAGTTGATTCAATGATAGGCAGTATGATACAACGCGCGCGTGCTTAACATTCGACCATCCAACCCCCCGCTCCTCAAAAAGGTAATGGGGTTTAACATCCTACTTTTCTGCACCAACTGGGATAATGAAGACAGATCTCAAAATGGATTATCTGTCAAAAATGAATTTGAAATACATGAAATGAAATGGGGTTTAACATCCTACTGTTCTGTTTCGACTGAGCTAATGACAGTTTCAGCAATACAAAGATACAATGAAATGACATTTGTCAACATTGGCATGCACGTTAAAAATCCATTAATAATTGGAATTTGATGATGATTAGGTGTATGGCGATCCTTATTAATAGGGTTGGTGTAAACAATGTAGGATATTACACCTCATTTCATTTCTGTTTCACTGACACTACCTGTATTATTGAACCTACCTACATGTAGAGGTGAGGTTATATCTATATTATTGAACCTAACTGTATCTACAGGTGAGGCTATACCTGTATTATTGAACCTACCTGTATCTACAGGTGATGTTATACCTGTATTATTGAACCTACCTAGTGGTGAGGCTATATCTATATTATTGAACCTACCTGTACCTACAGGTGAGGTTATACCTGTATTATTGAACCTACCTGTATCTACAGGTGAGGTTATACCTGTATTATTGAACCTACCTAGTGGTGAGGCTATATCTATATTATTTGTCTTAGGATTTATCCGTTCTGTGATTGGTTTTTCGGGTGTCATACTGGTGATACATTGGATGCCTGCAAAAAAACAACAACAATAAGATCATCAACAGACCTGAAAATAAGGGTTTTAATTGGTCCTGATAATTTCAACTCTGTACCGACCGTGTAGCCTATAAATAATATCAGGTAAAAAAGATCGTTCTGTGTCAGACAAAATGTTAGGGATGTATCGGGCCTGATGTTGTCCGTAAAAAGTGATGCCATGGTCACTAAGTGACTAAGATGCTGGCTCGCTAATCTGGAGGTCATGGATTCGCTAACGGTGTTGGTAGAGAAAGTTCATTGGGATTTTCTTGCGTGGTTTCCCCTCGTCAGTGATCCAGGACGGAGGGCCTGGCAAGGGATAATGTATAGTTGTTTGGATGAGATGAAAAAAATTGAGGTCCCGTGTACACATTGGCGTGCATGTAAAAGATCCCTTGACAGTTGGAATTCGATATAAGAGTAGGCCATAGTGGCACTGTCCGGGCAAACATTCCCTCGTAGTCGACTGTATGGCGTATGCCCGTCTTCATTATCCCAGTCAGAGTAGAACAGTATGACGTTAAACTCCATTTCATTTCTGCAACAGGTGCCATGATTTATAATCAATAATTCATGGGTAGGATACTAATCTGTCAATTGTTGAGAAATAAACTTAATTACTGGGGTTAATTAAAGTTTTACACCCCAATATCCACATCAACACCTCACTAATCAATAACCACAGTAAAAAATTCTAATTTGATTAATAAAATCTCTACTTTGTTTTCTTTCCTATTTTAGAATAAAATGAAACAGGGTTTAACGTCCTACTGTTCTGTTCCGAACTGGGCTAATGAAGACAGGCATACGCCATACAGTGTGCTATCAGGGAAATTTTGCCCAGGCAGCGAACTACAGTCTACTCTTATATCAAATTCCAACTGCCAAGGGATCTTTTACGAGCATGACAATGAATACAATAGTCCAGGGTTTTCCCTCCCATCAGAACGACTAGACAGTTGTCCTTGTCGGACCCTCAGTCCTGCACCACTGACAAGGGGGAACCACGTTTCCCTCCCATCAGAACAACTAGACAGTTGTCCTTGTCGGACCCTCAGTCCTGCACCACTGACACGGGGGAACCACGTCGGAAAATCTTGATAAACTTCCTATTCAGAGTTCAAATTTTACATTTTATTTTCCAATTACATGTAAAATCATTGAAAGAACAAAGATTAAGAAAGACAAACCCGAAAATTGGAATAAACGAAAGACAAAACACAAGCAGAATTATCATGATTCCTGGGTTGCAAATCTTAATAAAGATTGAATAACAAATAGTGGAAATTCCGTTCAAAAAGCATTGAAAGACTATTTGAATATATATGCGAGCACTACTATCAAGGCACATATCTTTGAAACACAGAATGGTTAAACAATCACAGCCATGGTGGATCAGCGAGTATGATATAGGCTCGCTAACCAGGCGGTCTCTAGTTCACTACCACTGTTGGCGGAGAATTCTGGCATGGTTCCCTCTTATCACTGGTGCAGGATGAATGGCTTGTCAACGCACAATGTATAGTCGTTGAGATGGGGGTCCCGTGTACGCATTGACAGTTGGAATTCAAAGTAAGAGTAGGTCGTAGCGTCGTAATCTGGGCAAAATTTCCCTCATAGCACACTGTATACTGTATGCCCATCTTCAATAGCCCAGTTAGTCAAGAAGGCCATTCAACTCCATTTCATTTCTGATTAAAGAATTTGTCTAATAATTTTTTCTAATATCATATCTTACATGTACCTGATCTACAAACCAGACGATCCGACATTTATTCTACGATTTATTTGCATTGCAGAAATATTCTTAAGTCGTTATTTTAGGTCTATCCCATATATCATAGCATAGTGATTATATAATAGTACACGTTGTATGCTACCATGGGAAGATAATTAATGTAAAGATAATTAATGTAAAGTTAATTAATGTAAAAACAACAAAATAAAATCCAAAATAGAATTAATTATCAGGTTATAAATGTAGTAAACCTAACAATTAGCAAGTGGCTGGATGCTAAACGAGCTAAATCGCTAATATAATAATGTAATATGAATGTTCATGTACTGATTTACATTCAATCGTTTCTGTTTTTACTGTAATTTCTAATCAGTTATTTTCGGTGAAACACACCAGAAGTCTGGTTATGCCAGTCTACAACAAGAGTATTTTTTGCGCATGCTCTCTAGATAAGAATATGACGTCACCGTTTGACATGGATTGTGGAATATGTCAAGCTTTGTTCTTCAAGTCCCTTGTTACAAATGGCACTGAAACGTATTATGGTACACGATTCGTGTACCAATGGTAAAATGTTTATTTTGTCTTAAATATTGGATATCAGAAGCCCATCTATTCCCGGTAAGATCACAATATCAATGTTGATTTAAATTGAAATATAATTTGTGTTTTCAGTGTCGAAGACTTTGGATGATATTGAGTTAGAAAGTAAGCTACTTTACATATACAGGTGACAATTCTATGGAATAAAATTACTACTTATTACTGAGCAACTAGTGGCTTCTCTAGTCATTATCAAGCAATGATAAAATATGACAAGACAATATATACATGTACACAACAATATTTGGTTAATGCTGACAAACCAGAGATACCCCTTATGTACCTAAAGGGATTCCCAAAATAGCCCGTTCAGACGCTTATTTTTAAACCAGTTCATAATCGCTGCGGTTTTTAAGACAGCATCATGTTGCATTCACACGTACTATAAGCCAAACCAGTTTAACTATTCTGACCTCTCCGGCCGGAGGTTAGAGTTAACTACGCATGGGTAGCTTCAAAGCAAGCTGGAGCAGGGTTTTTTAAGCCAACCCGTTCAGACGTCTAAGATGAACCAGTTTATAATAAAAAGCCTTCTTGAAGACAGGTCGCGAGCTGGGGTTTTAAACTGCTTTATTTGCCCCACATTTGCGTTCAGACGCTTAAGTTAAACTGGTTTAACGATCCCCAGGTTTTTAAACCAGTTCAACTTAAGCGTCTGAACACAAGTATTGTTGTGTACATATATATATTGTCTTGTTGTATGTCATATTTTATCATTGCTTGATAATGACTAGAGAAGTCTAGTTGAAACGTCACTCAGTAATAAGTAGTAAGTGTATTTCATAGAATTGTCACCTGTATATTCCAGTTCAATTACTAAATGCCATTGAAACGATTTACTTAAACATAGAATATAAAATACCTGTTGGTCTAAATAACACTACAGTTGATCAACTGTATATCACAAGACAAGCTTAAATAGGTCTAAACTAGGCTACACTGCTAATCTACAACAAATCCTTATCACAGACACAGATCAAGGCTATTGTTAATATAGGTAGGTCCATGGTTCAGTCTTAACTCATCATAAAACATTTATAGATAAGCTGACTTCGCAGTTCTTTTCACAGATGCACAGATGCAAATCTTTGATCAATCAGCAATAAAAAAAAGGGCGTTTCCCTTAATTAGCATTCGAATAGATCGAGTAGGAATTATTGATAATCAAATAGAACTACGAAGAACCTACTATAAATAGTTAATCTGGGTAATTAACTGTTATATCTCTATGTAAACATGTCGTTATACTTACCCTGGACTGTAAAATAAAACAAATGAGGTCATCGTTATCACATGATTCATATCACACTTATAATTTACATGTTTACTTCTACACACGTCCCTCAATAATCTGACAACTGACCTCACGTGCTTTATCACACTGGTTAATCACAGATTCAATTTATCTTATTTAAAGTTGTCTCCCTTACACATTCCGAAGTCCGAATAGTGACGTAAAATGGAGTCGTCTCCCTTTATCTAGTTTTTGAATTTTGTATTCTTGTTATTCTAAAAACTAGTTTTGATGTCAAGCAGTTAAAGTAACAATTTATTATTAAAATTCTATTATTTAAGAAATTTGATTTTTTGGGGAGAGAATTTGGTTTTTCTTAAAAGGCTTGAAATCTTGATTTTTAAATCAACTTAAAAGTCGGCGCCGAAATGTAAGAACTTCACAAAATCCAAAAATACTCATTGATTCATCATGATTATTGTCGTTCCAGATAAAATAGCTCAATTTCAGACAGTATCGGTAATATAAAAGAACACTAACAAATTGTAAGCCATTTCAAAATCTCAAAGTTGAAGAAGAGCTATCAACTGCGAAAAAGTCGGTCTAAAGCCAATGTAATGGGGCCGTTTCCATCTAACCGGCAAAAACGCACACATGGAAAACGGGCCTCAGCAAAGTTTGTCCCATTCACAACAACGGCACGACTTTTAGCTAATCATGTTCCGAAATCTTATATTTTTTTACTAAATTACCGTAGATCGTGGGATGGGATGGACAAGATTAAGGGCACATGCCCTCCCATTCCGTACCCCAGTCAATATTTTCCATGATCTTCGAAATTAAAGCCAAGAATTCAATCTTGTTCCATGCCAATCAAAATTGATGTCATTATCAATTTACCATATTTAAGAGACAATGAAAATTTTATAATTTCGGGCGTCATTTGTAACGAACAAAGAAAAACATATCCTACAAGACAATGCGGAACTAATTAGTAATGGCCGATAATAATTTATAAAAAACGCGTAGAATGGACTAAGTAGACGTGAACGACTGTTGTTCAATTTGAACTGTTCACGTATTTCGCCGAAAATAATTAATTTGAAATTACAATAATTTCTTTTCAAAATTGAAATAATCACATCATTCACATTTTGTGCTTTTAGACCCATTTTCATGTTAATGTTCCATAGAGGCATATATAAATCAATCAACTATGAGTAATACTAATCAGTCGTCTTGGATTAATGATTAGTTGATTGATTATTGCCAATCATATCTCAAGTCATTATTTACTCCTAATGATTAATCAAAGCGGTGATTATTTCATGTTTCGTTTCGTCTTTAAAAAAATAGTAATACTTGTTATCAAAATGGCCGACAGTTCCTTTCGAAGAGAATTCAATATTTTGATAGTTGAATTCCGTTCACTGTGGCTTCATATACGGCATGTAAAAAATACAAGCATGCCTATTGGATATCATTATATCAAATTATATTATCCCCACTGGTCGAAAACGTAAGAACGAGTCGAATAGCGGCGATTATTCAGCGAGAAAACAGTTCGACATTCATTTATCATATTACCGACGCCAAAATGCTCTAAAAGTGAACAACGTGTATAATAGTAAGCATCTCTCACAAATATAATTCAAATTTATATCATTCTATCAGGGATTCAGATTCTGATACCTTTAGGATACCCTTAAATAACAATAGGCCTATTGTACACGCAACACATAAATTTATAGAAAATTGGCAATCCTTGGATGACATTTGACGTGTAAGTACGAAGATGTTCAAATAAACTTAAGTCAACAAAAATAAAATCTGATCTTTTTAAATCCAAACCAACTTGGTTTACCTTTTAAGCTGAAAGATAAATTACAAAAAATACAGAATACTGCGGCTAGACTTGTTACTTTAACTAAGACATGTGACCATCGCCATTATAACCTCTGTTTTATATAATTTACACTGGTTACCTGTTAAATATCGAATTGATTTCAAGATTTTATTGCTCACTTTTAAATGTTTAAATAATTTAGCACCTGTTTACCTCTCAGATCTTTTAGAACTTTATATACCTGGCTGAACATTACGTACATCCAGTGGCGGCGCCAGCCGTCGGCGATTGGAGGGGCAAAGCTGGGGCAAAGTCCAAGGTTAAGGGGGCAAAGGCACGAGCTTCAACTAGGGGTAGGGGGCCTCCCCCAGAAAAATTTGAAAAACAGGTTGCCGGAAATGCAGCCTGGCAGTATTTCAGGCACTGATCGATGAGGTAAAGTGTCAAACGAACGGACTTGCGAATCACGACGAAGCCCACTCACGAGCGTCAAAGTAGGGAGTCCTCCCCCAGAACAAAATGTCAAACGAACGGACTTGCGAACCTCAACGAATTCCCCTTGTGAGCGCCAAATGCTCTACAACATGCAAGTTTATGACTGAGTGGGGAGGTTGGATTTATTCACCGTAGAAGGTATTGATTACCGAAGCGTATCACAAATACTTTTTTTTATTTTATAAAATTATTGGGGGGGGGGGGCAAACAGAGGGCCGACCAGATTAATGGGGGGGGGGGGGGCAAATGTCAAGTTCATATTTAACTATTCAAAATATAAATAAAACGATGAGACCATTAAATCCATCATTTTATTTAAAAGATTGAAATTGCTTCTTTAAAAATTAAAATTTATTTCATCGCAATCGTCTGACATCGAATATTCTTAGCCGATCTGGTTTGGGTTTGATTGTTTTTTCACACGAACTTGATTAACTTTAAACTATTTGACTTTTGTTAAAGTTTAAATATAATACAAAGCCTCGAGATTAGACTGTGAAACATATCCTGAACTTGTGTGAAAATACAACTGAAACTTTATAGATATAAAACCTATTGAAAGATTTGACACTTAAAAAACTCGACACAATTTATATATAAAAACAATCACTGAGTTTGTAAACAATATAGGACGAGTTGACAGTTGTTGATCATTAAAATGCCATCATAATTTGACAGTGTTAAAATAACAATCCATGTGAAATGATGAATAATTCCATGTTTATTACAGTATAAATAATAATGTATCATCTCATGATAAACATTGCAATTAGCTAATTCATAATTTATAAGATTTTTTAATTTAAAATTTAGCATATTATTTAGATCTAAAATTTAGCATATTATTTAGATCTAAAATTTAGCATATTATTTAGATCTAAAATTTAACATATTTTTTAGAATCTAAAATTTAATGTATTTTTTTTAATCTAAAATTTAGCATATTATTCAGAATCTGAAATTTAGCATATATTTTTTTAGGATCTGAAATTTAGCATATTTTTTTTAGGATCTGAAATTTAGCATATTTTTATTAGGATCTGAAATTTAACATATTTTAGAATCTAAACTTTAACATATTTTAAAATCTAAAATTTAACATATTTTAGAATCTAAAATTTAACATATTTTAGAATCTAAAATTTAACATATTTTAGAATCTAAAATTTAACATATTTTAGAATCTAAAATTTAACATATTTTAGAATCTAAACATTAACATATTTTTTAGGATCTAAAATTTAGGTCATATGGTTTAATTTTATTTCAATAATTCGCTTGTGCGTAGGGGGTCTTTAGCAGTCGGAGGAAACGGTTGGGTCGATTTGGTGCATTCTGAGGAATATTCAGGGCGAGTTTGACAATAGAAAGTGTGATCCTCTGCCGAAGACTCGGAATTATTTTTTCCGAGTTTTCGGCACAGGACGAAAAGGCATATTTTTTCCCCCGAGTTTTCGGTATGCCCCCCCCCCGCCCAGTGGCACACTGTAATGGAGTATGCCCATCTACATTAGTCCCCAAAAAAACATTTCATTCCATTCGTTCTCGTCTATAATGAAAGGGAGGGTACGTGTAAATGAACTTTAGAATATAAGGTATGTCACTCCGTCAAGTGGCATGGTTTCGATTCCCTAGTTGTACGTGACAAGGAGTCGGATCGCCTGTCCAACCTCGTGGGTTTTCTCCAGGTCCTCCGGTTTCCTCCCACTGCTAAAGACTCCTACGAGCAAGCGAATTATTGAAATAAAATTGAATTACATGTTAGTCCCGAAATAACCTAGTTTGTGTTGAGTGGACGTTAAACCCTATCTCTGTCCCTGTGCCCCTACATATATCTCTGTCTCCCTTTCTCGTCCATATTACAAGTATAGACCATTGTTGCTGGTCATTCTGTCTATCACAATCTAACAACAAGGAGTAAATAATTCTTTGAATCAATCTTGGAGTTTTCTACAATTTGAGATAATTTAATTAAAAAAAAAAATCAGCAATATTCTTTAAAATTAAATCCCACGCACAGTATAGATCATTAATCCCAATCAGTTACAAATAATTTTATTAAAACAAATTGGGTGATATATAACCGCATTAATTATTGAATACATATAATCCCATGACAATGACAGGGTGTTATAAATGTGCCTCGACAAACCGATCAGATTACCGTAATATCTGATTTAACCTAACGTAACTTTCTGATTTGAATTCGTTTGTTTACGCCGCATGTAATCGACCTTGACAGGCCCCATGATACCAATAACAGCTTAGTTACCGTTATTATTATTTCTTAGTTACCTCCAGTGGTCCAATCAGGGGGTATTTCATTCATTAATTTTTATCAGTTTGGTTCTAACAGTAATTGTTCCTCAGTGAGGTGGGTCGCCTTAAATACGCAACATTTCTAGTTAGTCTTCATATTAACGATTAAAAGGCCAGTTAAAGTGTCGAGTGCCAAAGAAAACGTGGCACAGAAGTAGTTCTATCGTTTTATTTCAATTGATCTAAATTTGTAATATTCGAATTTTTAAAAAAAAAACAACAATTTACTCGGTTTTTGAGAATGGGATGCGAACAGTCAAAATCTGTCAAAGTTCAACCAGTGATTGTTCAGTGCGGACAACATGAAAACCCTGGTTTGGATATCGGAGTTGAAGACGGAACCCAAACGCAATGTGAAGATAGTGCTATTTCTATAAAAGGGGAATTTTATTTCGACGCTCGGGGCAAAAAGATTTATGGAAGCAGGAGGACGAGCCATCGACAGAAACAATCCGCTAAAAGTCGTAAAACCTTGGGCTCGTGTGAAAGTTTGAACGATGATCGATCTATGGACGAAGGTGACCGGGGATTTTCAGCTACCTCCAAGGTTTCTAAACAAAGTACAGATTCTGGACTTGGGGAGGAGTATTCTCATGTAATTACAGAATTCTCTGAACAGCATCTAATCGAGGAGGTTGAAAACACATTTCAAGACAAAGGCGATTTACGTAAGTCTTTTAACCCCCTTTATTTATATGAAATGAAATGGGGTTTAACGTCCTACTTTTCTGCTCCGACTGGGCTAATGAAGACGGACGGGCATACGTCATAGAGTGCGCTATGAGGGAAATTTTCCCCGGGTAGCGGCACTATGGCCTACTCTTATATCGAATTCCAACTGCCAAGGGATAATAATAGCGGATGATCCAGCGCTGCACGGGTTGAAAGTAACATCTAGCCGATGTTACTTCCCAGTATGAAATAGTGTGTGTAATGTTAGTTAATATATACTCGACATTTTTATTTTCTAGTTTTCTGATTAAAACAATACTGTACGGAGGGTAGACTCCTGTTAAAATGGACTATTGTTATATTACCGAGATATGAATGACATGTTTTATAGAGTATATTGTTTAGTATTGATAGTTATAACAATGTTGACAGTCAGGGTGTCATTTATATGTATCAGGTATATATAGGGTTTTAAATAAACTACATTGCGTGTGGTGATATTTCATACTTATATTAAAGGGGCATGCCCGTCTTCATTAGCCCAGTCGGAGCAGAACAGTAGGACGTTTCATTTCGATGTTATTCTCTGGAATAATTCAGTCTCATACGGTGTTGTATCCTCACTAGAATTAGTTAAAGGAGGCAAATATTTAACATTTAAACAGTAAACTTGTTGCCCGCTTCGTTTCTTATAGTTCAAAATTTCGTTTGATTTGTCTTCACTACACCATTAGGCCGTCGAAGGTGCACGTAAAAGATCCCTTCATTGCTGGAATTCGATATAAGAGGAGGCCACAGTTCCACTGCCCGGGCAAAATTTCCCTTATAGCACACTACATGGCGTATGTCCGTCTTTATTAGCCCAGTCGAAGCGGAACAGTGGGACGTTAAACCCCATTTCTTTTCATTTGTTTGGGAAATGAAAACATAATTCCAAAATTAGTCAATTAAATTAACTAAATTACATTGTATTATGTTACAAATTAGATGTTAGTATTGTATTATGACATGGGACAACCTTGAATAAATACCCAAACTTGTGATATACATGTATGACTAATCTGAAAAGTTGATAAGTCAAAAACCGTAAAAAACAAACACGACTAGATTATCACTAAGCTGTTCGTTCGTCCGCTCGTTCGCTTGTTAGGCTTAGCTTTCACTTCCATTGGGAGTGGGATCGCAGACTAATCCGTTTAATATGGATTAACTATTGATGAGATTAGTGAATATGTCCGTGTATCAAACGGCAGATTAATGAATTATGTATTAAATCCTGTTTATTTTGGTATATAAAGATTTGTTATAAGACAGTATATTATATAGTTTTAATCCTATTTATATCGAGTATAGTATATTATATAATTATATCCAGGGAACAGACGGTCTAAACACGTCATGTACTCACTGTCTATAATATTATCATAACACTTTATATTCACCGTTTTATTATCAAAATATATAAACATTTAATTCAGAAATTCACAACTGTTAATTAGTAATTATAATAATAAAGCCCCAATCCATGTTCGACAGGCATATGGATTATAAAACCAATATATGGGGTTAAATATATACTGGTCACAATACAAATACATGGGGGTTAAATTTATGCAAATAAATCGCGAATAAACAAAGGAAGAATACAAATCATTAAGTATGAATCTGTCGGCATTACTCTGTGTATTCCGGTATTTTCCGGGGCTATTCGGAATTTCTTCTGGATTCTAAAGGGAAGGCATGAATAAAACAAGACACATACATAACTTAATTAATTTAATAAAATTATTTGATTATTTTATTTTACAGAACTGGCGGTATCTGGTACAGCATGTCCAACCAGACTAAGTGCCAAAGAGAAATTACGACAGGAAGAGTCAAAGATCATGCAAGCTCTGAGAGAAGAAGGTCTGATCACTCGACCAAAAACAAAGTCCTCTGGTGGAGTTAGTTTTGAAATCATTCAAGATAACAATACGCTTGAGACTGCCCCAGCACGACCCCCAGCAAGATTAGCTAAATTAGAGAAACGACGTAAGAAGAAGAAGGTTTTAACAGAAGAACAAATTAAAGAAAAACTTGAACGAGCGGAAAAACGACGAAAGGTAAGTTAGAAATAAATTCTCCGCCACAAGTCAGTGGTCATCTGATATGAATTTGATCGTATCGGTTTAGTAGTAAAACGTCAATGTTGGCCAACCAGATGACAGGAATAATGACGTCAATAAGCCATTGAAATCCGGTTAGTGCTAAATGATAAGGCTAGCTCAATTTTTCGTCATGGGTCACGATGTAAACAGGGCTAGCGATAATCCCAACTCTAACCTTAACCCTGTACCTAACTCCAATGCTTACCCTAACCTACAATCTCACCAACAATCACGTGCCCTAACCTTATTTACATCTCAACGACCTTGACAAGAATTGAGCTGGCCTTAACAAATAGATTTAGCCTTGAAATCCCGCAATGGCTGAGACCAGAGTGAGTACAACGGGGGAACAGTCATGACTCTGGAGAACGTTTCTAAAAGCAAAAGTAGGGTTTTACGTAAATTCAGATGAAGGCAGCCAATTTTAGGATCCTTGTGGTATGCATGCCAAAATGGACACGGAACCTCGAGTTTTCGTCCCACCCGAACGACTATTGTAAATAGGAACTCTATTATTTATTAGTGAAAACTTACACACAGAATCTTTCAAGAAACCAGCTTTGACATTGACTAAGAGCTAACATTTATGCTAGGATTTTGACTGCTTACAATGTCCGTGTATTTGTCTTATGAGTTTATGATTAGTTGTTGTAATACCCATCTCCTGTACTAAAGTTTTGAATAATAAATAGCCTATTGTTCAGATCTAACAGAAAAGGAAAATGGTTGTGCCGATAGGCTATACTCACTGATATAACAATTGCATTTCAGAAAAAAGAGGAAGAAATGGTCGCTAGAATTAAAGAATTAGAAAAACACGAAACCGTCAGTGCTTTAGAAAACTTTGCACAGCGACAAAAGAAGAAAGAGGAAATAAACAGCCAGAAGATGGTGAACGTCGTTGACAACCGCGAAAAGAAACTGAAAGAAATTCGCGAAAGAATGAAAGAACGAGAACGTCACGCGGAAGAGGTGAGAAAACGAAAACTTGTGAATGTTGACTCCATCACGGATGAAACGGGAGAAGTGGCAGCCGAAGCATCTTAAATTTGTATTTATAGTAAAAATATCAACGATTTAAAAGTTGTTATAACCAGAGACAAGATATTATTGTATCAGATTATTTAATAGACAATGTAGGAGAACTGTACAATAAAATATAAACAGGACAAACCATATAGGAATACAGCTCATGCAGAACAATGATATTGACATGGTCTGTGTGTTTATAAGTCAGAGGTGGACACGTTTGTTTGCACGTGCATTCATCCTTAAACAGATTTCATTGGGATATAAATACCATCAAATCAACATGGAAGGGGAGGGGAGAGGGGCGGGGGATTTCTCAATAATTAAATACGTCACCTGTATACGGACACCTGTGATCAGCAATTTACCTGTAGGCCTGGCAGACTGGAGCCTAGAGCCTCGAGATCTAGGGGGGCTGCGGCCAAGGTGTATAGTATATTTGGGACTGGCATAAGTCTTTCTTAGATGTTATAGTCTTAAACAACCGTCATCATTATTAACTTTGTTCAATTGTGTTTAAAATAAGGGTTAGGGCTGGGTAATCGTCGCGCCCTGTAGTTGTGGGGGGGGGGGGGGGGTAAGCGGGAACTGTTGTCATTTTAATTCAGCAGGCCATCTGTGGTATCAGTGCCCTTTCAATATACGCCATAATTACCTGAAGACAGAGGCTATAAATAAGAATGGCTATATAGCGTGTTAGTTAACGATCTCTATTGTTGATAATTAATTGTTCAAGGTTAAATGGATAAATCTGTATATTTATATAAATAATTAATACTATTGCCAAAACTTCTCAGGTATAAGAGAATCGAATATTTTATTTATTGCAGGATTAACAATGTTATTAAATTATATATATCTCTTGTCATCAGGGGGTGGGGGTGGATGGCCGAATGGTTAGCGCGTGCGCGTTGTATCATAAGGCCTGTCATTGAGTCAACTGGCGTGGTTCCGATTCCCTGGTTGTACGTGACAAGGAGTAGGGTCGCCTGTCCAACCTCGTGGGTTTTCACCGGGTCCTCCGGTATCCTCCCACTGCGAATTATTGAAATAATATTTAACCATGTGTTAGTTCCGAAATGAACTCTATCTGTTGTTTATAAAACAAAATGAAGAACCGTGTAAATAAATAAAACTGTTAATTTATAGATATATTTATTTTAATTGTACATAATAATATTTATAATATTTATAAGGATGGCCATACGTTAATAATAAAACCATTTTATATTTAAACTTAAATGCTTTTTGTTTTATCTTTACCTGCACTGGATGTGATTATACTGAGTTGACATTTCTTCATTTGCTTTCAAACAGGACACGAAATGAAATGAAATGGGTTTAACGTCCTACTGTTCTGCTGCGAGCTGGGCTAATGAAGACGGGAATACTATGAGGTACATTTTGCCCGGACAGCGGCACTACGGCCAACTCTTATATCGAATTCCAACTGTAAAGGGATCTGACTGACAAGGGGGAACAACGCCGGAAAATCTGGATGAACTTTCTCGGCCAATGCAGGGATCGAACACCTGACCTCCAGGTTTCCCCTTGTCAGTGGTGCAGAACGGAGGGCCTGAAAAGGACAGCTGTCTAGTCCTTCGGATGAGACGAAAAACCGAGGTCCCGTGTATACATTGGAATGCACGTAAAAGATCCCTTGGCAGTTGGAATTCGCTTTAAGAGTAGGCGATAGTGCCGCTGCCCGGGCAAAATTTCCCTCATAGCACACTGTATGGCGTATGCCCGTCTTCATTAGCCCAGTATAGGAGCAGAACAGTAGGACGTTAAACCCCATTTCATTTCATTTCATTTCTTATTGTGAAGTTAGAATCGTATCCTATGTAGTTCCAGTACAATTATAAATGCTAGGTTCCAGCTATCAGGTATGATCCTATCAGGTCTTAACATATATTGAGGTCGCAATCGTGTCAATCTCATTAAAATAAACATCTATATTTAGTTTCAGTTTTTTTTTATACTTTTGACCTGTTGTAGTGGAAGGTTGCGTCAGGGGTCATTTTTACGAGCGGCTTTTGACCCTATGCTGTCGAACATTGATTAACCAATCAGTACTGATACCTCTAGTGGGTTACTCACAGTTCCGTGCATCTCACGCTGTTTCATTGGAAGGTCCCTGACACCACCCAGAACGCCGGTTGTATAACAACTCTTCCAGATCCTAGTGTGTGGGTGTGGGTGTGTGTGGGTTGATGGCCGAATGGTTAGCGAGAGAGAGAGAGAGAGAGAGAGAGAGAGAGAGACTGTGATTGAGTCAACTGGCGTGTTTCGAATCCCCAGTTGTACGTGACAAAGAATAGGATCACCTCTCCAACCTCGTGGGTTTTCTCGAATTATTGAATAAAAGGGAATTCTTGAAATAAAATTGAATCAAATGTAAGTCCCGAAATGACCTAGTTTACAGTCGAGTGGAGGTTAAACCCCATTTCTCTCTTTCTCTCTCTCTCTCTAGATCCTATAGTACAGTAAAGACAAGTAAAACGAAATTTTGAACTATAAAAAACGAAACGAAATAGTATCTGTGTTTTAATCAGATTGTAAAGTTAAAAGCGGGGGAGCTAGAGAGGCTGGCTATCTCCGCCATTATTTCACAAATAAGGGATACAGCAAGATTATAAATGCGTTTAAGTTTATTTAGCCAGTTATTGAGCATGCGTGTAAACAATAAATAAATAAGTTGACCCATCCGTTCAAGTCTCTTTCATCCGGCATTTCACACCGGACAATTTCTACCATTTCGAAAATTCTTCTCAATAATCTGGTTGATCAAAACATCCCCGGGAAAATCCATTCCGATGATTCCGTATCTTGCACAGTGTCTGCTCTCTTCTTGACGAAAAAACTTCCACAAGTTTCTATTCTGTCGCATAGCAACAGCATAGGGAAACGCCATGAAGCTTGAACCGGAAGTGTAAGCTAGGTGAACCCGGTTATCGTCTGTCCCGCCTGATATTCGTTTCAGATGAGTTTTAACATGACGCCATTTTGCCAGCAGATGCCTTCGTGATAATGCCCGAACATTCCAATGGTCTTCGATATTCATAGATCGGTATGGTACCCAAATATAGTGATGCGTGTCAAACTGCTGTAAGATGATTATTTTGCCTCTGGCCTGTCCAAGTGTCGGCCATGTAACAGAATGCCAGAATCTGTGTTGAGGATACGAATTGATACAGTTTCGTATTGAAGTTGTCATGCTCTGAGTGCTGTCCCTTGGAGCAGATTCCTCTCGTATCCTCATTAAGATCAATTCTTCCGGGTTTTGGTTCAGAAATTGCACCGTGTCGTTTATAACTCCGTACAGATCAATATTCTGATACATAATCCCATGATAAATAGGCAGTTCATTCGCGATATGCCGACATCGAATATCCACGAAGCGAATACCGGCCTTGTATTGTTCCAGCAACGGTAAGGTCTGGCACTGCGCGTATGGTCCCCCGAAAAAACTCACCGTATTGTGAGTTCCCGGAATTGACATGTCGCTAATAGCCCGACTGTTCGGGATACGCGAAATCCAGTTGTGATTGTCCAGACTCGTGGTAGATGCCGTACTGTAATATTTTATTTGTATGGCTGCTGAAACTCCATTTGCTTTTGAAAAGAAACCCACTAACCAGATGAACGTCAAGATGTATTTGACAGCCATTATCCAAGGCATCAACACGAACACACCCTAACTAAAGTTTTCTAGAGAGATATAACACAACTCCAGGAATCGACACGAACACACCCTAACTACAGTTTTCTTGAGAGATATAACACAGGAATCGACACGAACACACCCTAACTATCGTTTTCTTGAGAGATATTTAACGCAACTCCAGGAATCGACACGAACACACCCTAACTTAAGTTTTCTTGAGAGATATAACACAACTCCAGGAATCGACACGAACACACCCTAACTACAGTTTTCTTGAGAGATATAACGCCGTAACTCCAGTGTATATTGTTGCTTTTCTTAATACACAGACTAAAGTCTCATTAGAAATATTCCAATATAATCCACTTTTTGAGCAAACATTCCAACCTGAAATACTCTAATATAATCCACAATTTCCTCATGAATTTGGAAATCAAGAGTCATTGCAAAAACCTTTTTTTATCATTTAGTTTGAACAAACAAATTCAGTCCGTCTTCCCGTATTGTATAAAATAAAATGATTATTTGTAACCAGAAGCTGGCCTGTAAAACCAAGGCTTCGACCCCGCCCACTTTGGTTACTTCCGAACGGAACTTTGATATATCCGTTTTTCTATACTTGATAAACTGAAGTCAGTTTTTCCACCACTTGTTTGTACATTAATTAGGTTAATACTTGAAAAAAAAAAACCATAATAAATTTGGGGTTTATTAAATTGATAAAATAATTATTATAACTGCTACATGCCTGGTCTTCACCAAGAGGATAATCTTAGTGACTGTCTTTATTCTCGCTCCATTACAGATCGGCTCATACCGTAATTTTATTAGTCACGAATAAAATTACGGTAAACCTGCTAATATTTGAATTATTTGTCAATTTAAATAAACATTGATGTTGTCTTACCGGGAAAAGATGGGCTCCTGATATCCAATATTTAAGACAAAATAAACATTATTGGTACACGAATCGTGTACCATAATGCGTTACAGTGCCATTTGTAATAAGGGACTCGAAGAACAAGGCTAGACACTCCACAAGTCATGTCAAACGGTGACCTCATATTCGTATCTGTAGGGGATGCGCAATAAATACTATCGGTGTTGACTTAAATAACCAGACACTAGAGATTACCATTCGATTGAAACTTCTGGCGTATTTCGCCGAACATAACTGATTCATATTACATTATTATATGCGTTGCGACCCATTTGTGTAAATTTCTAGGTTGCAAATATTAGCGATTTAGCGCCTTTAAATCCCATTTCACTGACACCATGGCATCAAAATCTATACCCATACCTTCTTAGAAATTAAAATGATATCCACAAAGAGAATAACTTCATTAAAATCCCGTCCTGTGGTAAAAAAAAAGATAACCGGAACACAAAAGAATAATCTATTCTGTGAATGCTTTTCCCTGCATGAAAAACATGACACCTCTATGGTTATTTTGCCGTTCATTACCTAGCGATTCTAAGCCGTACGTTGCGAGCACTGACAGGGGGAAACCACACCGAGAAATCCCGATGAACTTTCTCGGCCAATGCAGGGATCGAACTCGCGACCTCTAGGATATACGGTAAGATATACAAGCCGTACGTTAGCCTACTATATTGAGTATAGGCGGATGGAGAACTAAGTACTTATCCGTGTTTAATATCGTGTCTGCCGCCATCTTTAAACCACGCAATCCAAGCTTTATTTAAATATCTCCCAAGGTCAGATCTTTAAAGACAGATTACGTCATTAATTCTAATATCGCTGTTGAATACGCATAGTTGTATACATTTAAAAAAAAATAAAAACAAAACTGTCAAGAAAAGAAACTCAGTATTAACAATCATATAATCTGATTAAAACACAGATCCTATTTCGTTTCTTTTTTTATAGTTCAAAATTTCGTTTTACTACACTGGGATCTGGAAGAGTTGTTATCATTGACGTGTTCTGAATGATGTGAGCAATTAGCCTATGAAACGGTCTGTTACGACAAGCTTTGGGCGTGTTTTGCACGGAACTGTGCGTAATCCACTAGTAACATCAATGCTGATTGGTTAATCAAATGCCTGACTTCATAGGGTCAAAAGTCGCGACAACCGGCCAGATCTTCATGTAGTGTAGGCCATTGAAAGTATAAAAAAACGAAAGGAAATATAGATGTGTCTTTTAATAAGATTGAGCTATCATACGGCTATGCGGTCATCTCACAACCCACCGTAGTGCTACTGCCAGGCCCGTAACTGGGGGGAGGGGGGGGGCACAGGGCTAAGCCCTCCCCCTGCAAAAAGTTTCGCCCCCCCCCCCGCGAAAATTTTTTCGACCATTAAAAATAGATAAACATTGTCAGTCGAATATTACAGCACCCCTGAGAAGACTTCCCGCCCCCCTTGTTGCACTGAGTTAGTTACGGCCCTGGCTACTGCATGCGGACAGACTACAGCTGAAATGTTAGAAAACCCGTGCGTGAGACTTACGCGTCACTTGCGTGTGTTCGGCACCGTAGATCGCAGACTGGCCGTAGAGACTTTTGGTCCAGTAGGTAGACAATTTTCACCCGGTTTCTTGCGGCTGGTCTGCGAGCTACCAAACCCCTCCTGATGATGTCATGAAATGGAATGGGGGGGGGGGGTACGTCCTATTGAAATACAATCGATCCTAATTAGGTAGTAATGGAAAATGGAATGGAATAATTCAGAAAAAATATGCAAATTATATAAAGAGAAGACGCCTGTCACTACCTAAAGCTAAAAGAGAATAGCAGTTCACTCATTTGGAACAACTGTTGTTTCTCCTGTGAGTGTATTGACATTACACGCGATAAATTAACTATTGGACAGAACCACACGAACAAAAAACTTTTGAGAGAGAGAGAGAGAGAGAGAGATGGGGGTTAACATCAACTCAACACAAACTAGGTCATTTCGGGACGAACATATGGTTCAATTTTATTTCAATAATTCGCTTGCGCGTAGGTGTCTTTAGCAGTGGAAGGAAACCGGAGGACCGGCCATCCCCACGCCGAACTTTTGGACATAACACTCGACGACAAATTAGGTAACAAATTAATAAAACAATATTCAACTGACGGTTTATTTGTAACCAGTTTAATGACTGCTCGTATAATATAATATATAATCATCAGTAAACAAAGCCTTGCCCATTATATAATAGATAATCTTCTAGAGCAGTGATTCTCAACCAGGTGTGCCGCCAGATCTTTCTACATGTGCCTCGAAATTTTGAACGACACACTATAAGAAAATTTCTCACTAAAGAAGTCAGCTATTTGACTGGTGAAATTCGAAACACTGCTGTGTTTTTCTTTATTTAGTTTGAGTCATTCTATGTGCCTATGCGTTCATATATATTTAGCCAGGCGTGCCGCTATTTATTCATGTGTTCCAGGGTGTGCAGTTGGCAAAAAAGGTTGAGAACCACTGTTCTAGAGATAATAAGCCACAAATGAGAATCGTTACCGTTTGTCTTATCTTAATCAACCAATCCTATTTTAATAATAAACACAGATTCCTGTTTAAATTAAAATACGAATGTACCAGTTCAACAAATAGTTATAGTTAGCTACGGGAACTGTCCAAATATGGTTAGCTATAGAATATCTTCAAATATAAGTAGCTATGTGAAGTTCCCAAATATAGTTAGCTACGGGAAATACCCAATATGGTTAGCTAGGGGAAGCCCTAATTCTATAACTAGCTAATGGACCTCCCAAATATAGATAGCTACGGGAAATACCCAATATGGTTAGCTAGGGGAAGCCCCAATTCTATAACTATATAGCTAATGGACCTCCCAAATATAGATAGCTACGGGACTACCCAAATATAGTTAGCTACGGAAATTTCCCAAATATAGTTAGCTACGGGAAGTCCCTAAATATAGTTAGCTACGAGCAGCCCCAATTATAACTAGCTACGAGACTGTCCAAATATAGTTAGCTACGGGATTTTTTTTTTTTTTTTAAATCTGGTTCGGTTGAAGAAATCACAAGATACGCGAGAAGAATTTCACCGGGGTAGCATTTATCAAAAATATAATTAATATATAAAACTCTATAAGGTATATATCAGTATATTTTAAATGGCAGTATATAAATGATATGCAGGCTTATATAAAGATAATAAAATGATACAAATGAAAGTATAATATTTTTCAATTCATAATTCACAGACGACGTGAGAGAATAATGACGTTCTAAAATAAGTCGGTACTATACATGTTGGTGTCCACGGGAGTCGTTCGGTAAGGTACTGGGATCTCGACCAGAATATAACGGGTTTAAATCCCGACAAGGACCGAGAAGAACCATTATGATTCTTCAAGGCCGGTTATCACAAGTCAGTGTGACCAGTCGTTCGTATGGGATGAAAAACCAAGGACCAAACGTGTACTCAGTGAAGTATCATGTAAACGCGGCAGATGAAATATAGATTTCATATATTATACAGACTAGAAAATGTGAACAGAGGCCCTGATGACCGGGCCGTATCGGCGGTTATTTAAATTTTACTGGGTAGCTGTTAATCTCTCAACACCTTGTCAGTATAATCCATGAAGGGCTTAACATTTCTCAACTATATCCTATACAAATAATATTACCCAACATTTCAACTGTTAAAACTTTGATATTCTTCCAATCCCCACAATTAAAGCATTAACCATTCCCAAATAATAATACCTTTACCTCACACACAACAAAACAAATTAATAGAAAAAAACATTAATAAATTCAGATATTCTTTAATTTAAAAGTTCTAAGATAGATTGCCAGGCAACGATACATACTCCCACAGCAGCAAAGTCGTCCGGGCAGTAAACGGGGTTGTCTCATATTTGTTTTTGTAAGTAATTGAAACATTTACAACACACTAAAATCTGATTACGAGTAACAATCCTTTAAGTAATTATCAGAAAACATTAGAATTTGTTTTCGATCGTTTGTCTCGTGACCTTAAACACCGTGTGTATAAATTTATATTAACTTTAGCCTCTAGAACATCCACAAGGTTTCTCAAGTGATCACGGGCCATAACTCTGGTAGTAATAATCGGAAATTGGATAATACATTTAGCATCTAGAGCGTCCACAAGCAATTGCGGACGCCATACCGACCTACGGACGGGGCGACGGCATAAACGACCGCATTTCGATATGGGCGAATAAAATATCAAACCAATGATATTTATAATTTTTCTGGATTTCCTGCAAATGAATCTTCGGCCAACTATTTAACTAATTAATTACCTTGACTCCCCGTAAAAAGATCCAAACGAATTTAAAATCAAATTAAAGTGGGTTATATTGTCACCCTGTTGTAATTCAAATTCATGCCTCTTCAATTTTATTAAATCAAATTCATGCCTCTTCATTTTTATTAAATTTTAATGTTAAATTTTATAAAATTCTAATTGAAATTGTCTGGTAGGATGGTAATTATTACTACCAGTCAGTGAAGACTGGTAGTCATGACTAGAGCCATATAGCTGTTGTCTATATCAGAAAAACATTAATGAAATGAAATTGTAATCTGTATGTTTCACTAACAAAAATATAGTAACAACCAAAAATATTTAACTAAAATATAATTTCTAAAATATGAAGATATAACAAAATATTATAAAATCAAAATAAACAATCAGTTTGATTGACAACTTCATAACATCAGATTATTATAATAATATAATATTGACTGCAGGAGTTGGTAAGTTGTGTCATTCACAATTTATACATTAAAAATAAATCCTGTTTTTTTTTTTAAATTGTGGACTGAACCCACAGAAACTAAAGCCATGTTAAATGAGATAGAGCATCAGGGATTCTCACTCACGACTCTTGCATACAGGACTCTTCAAGCATACATGACTTTTGCATACATGACTTTTGTTCCCATCAATAACTAAATACAGTGAGAGTTTAGAAGCAACATGGTAGACGTCATCTTCTAGCTCTAATATAATAAAATAATGATTTTTAGAATTATAATACCGTATCTTTGTTACTCCGTATCTTTGTTACTCCGGGAAACGGGACTAACCAACTGAAGGATATGCATACTGCTCAATCTTGTCTGATTTGTGTGAAAATAAAATCTTGACCTGGTTTGATCTTATGTATTATTTTGATTAATAAATTATTAAATATAGTAAATGGACACTTTTACTTTTACACTCACCTGATGAAAGTCTTTATATATATATATATATATATATAAAAATTCTATCATTCACAGGCATCAGAAATTATATAGCAAGCCTTGAAATAGTGCATTATCAGGCACAAATCTAGGCTTTATCAGGCACAAATCTAGGCTTTATTAGGCACAATTCCTCTAATGTCTGCCATTTTGTCTCTGCACAGATTTGTTTTCAATGATATTTATATAAAGTTCAAAATGTCACGTACTAACTAGTTCGTTTGTGCCTGACATTATGTCAGTTGTAACTCAAATGATAAAATGATTATTTCTAGGTCTCGGGCCTTATTCAATAAAACTTTTAAATATTTTAAGAAAACAGCCTTTTAATTGGCCAAAAGCTCAAATTTGTGCAATAATTTTAGTGCTAAGCCAATGAAACATCAGTTTTCTTAAACCATTTTAAGTTTAAGTTTTCATGAATGAAGCTCGAGATTGACACTGGACAGATTGTCGATTATAACTCAGTCTGATTAAAATACAGATCTATATTTCTTTTCGTTTTTTTATAATTTCGATCGTCTACAATACAAGAAGATCTGACTTTCGATGGCCTACAATACAAGAAGGTCTTACTGGTTATAGTGGAAGGTCACGTCAGAGATCATACAAACGGCTTTTAACCCTATGATGTCAGACATTTGAAAATCAAATGTTTCTAGTGGGTTACCCAAAGTTCTGTGCACCTCATGCCAAAATCTCACGCTAACAGACCGTTTCATTGGCTAATCACTCACATCATCCAGAACGCGAGTAATATAACAACTCTTCCAGATCCTAGTGTAGTAAAGACAAGTAAAACGAAATCTTGAACTATAAAAAATGAAACTAGATAGGATCTGTGTTTTAATTAGATTGGTTATAAGTAAAAGGAATATTATAATACTATTAAGCTGTAGCATTTATTTCTTCTGAATACTGATGTATAGAATCTATATAAACTCCTAAATGATCGGGATCCGTATCTTTCATTACACCATGACCTAGATTAGCTATATATCTCTGAGTACCAAATTTCTGTACCATTTCTTTTGTTGCCTTCTTGATCTCTTCCTACAATAACCAAAAATAATAAATACAATGTCCTAAAAGTTACTAGTTCTTAATTAACTGTTAAAATTTATTAGTTTTTAATTAAAAATAAATGTTAAAATTTATTAGTTTTTAATTAAAAATAAATGTTAAAAGTTATCAGTTTTTAATTTAAGAATATAATATATCAATTTTATTCACCTTGGATGCAAACATCATAACAGGATCCATGTTGCCTTGTAAAGTTACATTAGGTCCAGCTAAACGTCTTTAAATATAAATAACAAGTATTAAATATACTAGACATAAAATAACAGTAACACATACTAGAGAGAGAGAGAGAGACAGAGAGAGAGAGAGAGAGAGAGAGAAATGAAATGGATTTTAACATCCATTCAACACAAACTAGGTCATTTTGGGACTAACATATGGTTCAATTTTATTTCAATAATTCGCATAAGCCTAGGGTTTTTTTTAAGCGGAAGGAAACCGAAGGACGATGGGAAAATCCATGAGTTTGGACAGGCAACCCTACTAGTTCCTTGTCACATACAAGCGGGAAATCGAAATCACTTGACGTGCGCATGTTAACCATTCTGCCACCCAACCCCTCGGTTTGTAGTACAGTAAGGACTCAACAGTCTTCACCAAAACATCCTGGTCTTATTCTGGCCTCGGCATGAAGAACCTACAGGAGATTTTCACTTGACATGGCTCATGTTTGTGGGGCTGACATTTGAATATCGACAATTAGCTTGATGCTATAGTTAAAAACATTTTAACAACTATACCCCCACATGACAAGGAAAAACATGTAAATTACGCTCTTACACAAAATTCAGTAATAGTAGAACGGTCTATTATAAAAACTGTTTTATTATACCTGGCATGAGTAGGCTTCATTGTCCAGTCTAACCCCACCACATCGTAACCACTATTAGCTAATTCTTCTACAGCAAAATGGGCATCTTTAGCAAATATTATCTGTAATAAAATAATAATATTAAAAACATGGTACATACTACATGATTTTTGGTGATTTTAAACAATTTTATGAATTTTCAAATAAAGTTTTGATATTGAATGAATGTTCAAGAAATTAATGCTAACTACACAAGATTAAATGATACCCTGGGTTACAGTGACACTTGTAAAATAAAATAAAATGGGGTTTAACGTCCTACTGTTTTGCTTCGACTGGGCTAATGAAGACAGTGTGCTATGAGGGAAATTTTGCCCGGGCAGCGGAACTATGGCTTACTCTTATATCGAATTTCAACTGTCGAGGGATTTTTTAAGTGCACACCAATCAATACACGGGGCCTTGGTTTTTCATCCCATCTGAACGACTAGACAGCTGTGTCAGGCCCTCCGTCCTGAACCACTGACAAGGGAAACTACGCCGGAAAATCCCAATGAACTTTCTCGGCCAATGCAGAGATTTAACACGCATCCTCTAGGCAGGCGAACCAACGTCTTACCTCTGAACCAAGAGGCTCCCAGTGATACCTGTAATTGATACCTGGGTTACAGTGATACCTGTAATTGATACCTGGGTTACAGTGATACCTGTAATTGATACCTGGGTTACAGTGATACCTGTAATTGATACCTGGGTTACAGTGATACCTGTAATTAATGTTAACTATGGATACCTGGGTTACAGTGATACCTGTAATTATTCATCTTACCATGGGGACAGGTTCGAGATTTTCTTCAACTAATCTTTTTTTAACTTCATGAGATATTCTTCGCAAACATGGTAATTCCATTTCATTAAATAATTTAGGACCTAATTCACCTCCATATGAATCAAAAACTTGTACTATCTGAAAAATATATATATATATTGTACATTCAAAAACTTGTACTATCTGAAAAATATATATATTGTACATACAAAAAATAAACAGATTGATCAGATGGGATCTGGCTTGGTTACAGAACATGTAACATATTATTACTGATCTGTTTACCAGCACTAGTATCTAAAGCGGTAGTTAATTGATCATATACCGGTACACAGCATGAAAGTCCTGACTAGATAAGTGTCACCCTAGTATCATGGGGAGAGAGAAGGAAAGAGAGAGAGAGAGAGAGAGAGAGAGAGAGAGAGAGAGAGAGAGAGAGTTTAACACTCCACATAAACTAGGTCATTTCTGGACGAACATATGGTTCTATTTTATTCCAATAATTGGGGTCTTTAGCAGTAGGAGGAAACCGGAGGACCCCGAGAAAACCCACAAGGTTGGACCATTTTCTTGAAGTTCCTGATTAGATAGTCACATCTGTCACTGTATAGTGTCACATCTAAAGGTGTATTATTATTACCTGTATTGTTATTATTATTATTATTATTATTACCTGTGCTCCAGCTTTTATTTGTAGAACAAGATGTGTTATAACTGCATCTGTTAATATCTCTAATAGTTTACGAGCAGCTACAGGATATTCCACTAGAAATCGTCTGGCTCTATTAGGATTAGGACCAGCGCTTACGTTCTCTATCATAAATTTAACTAACGTCCACTGAAATAACAACAAACATTGGGTTATTTTAGAATTAGGACAAGCATGTAAATTCTGAATAAATTAACATTTGCTTTATCAAACTGATTTTTTGCCCTAAATAAAATAAATAAATTTTATTTTGACATTCCAAGTTGTAAAACCTCTAACTCCTCCCATATTCCTGAAGCAATGGCCCGAGAAATCCCTCTCTAGATAGGATGTAGATAGGATTCAAATCTAATGAAAATTGGACCCATAAGATGGCATCAAGAGTTGATATAAACATCGCAGGCTAGCGATGACATCGAGAGTTGATTATGGTCTTGTCATGTTAATTAATGTCTAATAGTTTATATAATATTTAAGGTGTAAAGAAAGACCTGCAATAGGTAGATTTATCTCTTTTTAAATGTTTAAGTACATCTTTTCTAGTACTGAAGTATAAGATTTATTTAGGGAAACGAGCCCCAGACTACAGGACGGACGACCTACTTTAATTAATACCCATCCTCTTACTTACTGGTGCTCCTGCAAATCCAAATAATGGAACTTTTCCTTTTAATGTCTTCCTAGTTAACGTAATGGCTTCATAAACATAACCAAGTTCTTTCACCATGTCTGGTTTAGGATTCAATCTATCTACATCACTCGGTAATAATATGGGATCCGCAAAAACAGGACCCTGGAATAAAAAAAATATACAAAAAATGCTTCTCAAACAGGCTATATCTGACACTAACAAGATATATCTGAATTTAGTGAGTGTTGGAGGCTAACACAACATAGCCTATACCCTCTAATGCCCGTACTGTATGGCGGACTAGGGTGACAGACGTAGGGAAATGATGGTAGGTTTATGTACATGCACCACTCAAACTGCCTCAATTGTATTGGCATGGTTTGGGGTGAGTGTGTGTGGGAATTGGGGTAGAGAAGTAGTCTATATATGAACAACTACATACATTCGAAATTAATAATAAGGATCAGAAAAAAAATATATCGAATTGTCTCTGTTTTTCTCACAAATATATTACCTGTCCTGGGTCATTAGCTACTGTTAAAGATGGGTTCTCGTGTACAAAATGGGTGATTTAATGGTATATATTGACTAAAAACATATTCAAACTAATTAATTTGTCATAACTTTGCTTCAAATCCTTCTCAAACATTGTAATTACGAAGGAATGTCCTGCTATAAAAATTTGATCAAACCAGGTCATGTTTACGTCACCTGAATTACCTCTCTTGGAAGTCAGAGGAGAATTCATTGCATACATAAGACGATGTTGTCTTTAATCGCTTACTATTTATTACAAATATCGAATCCTAATTAAATTCTCGGATTATCCACTACCCGTGTTTGTTATCGTCATTTTTATCTCAGAAAGTGTTGTACGTCTATCTATTCATAAAGTTTATCAACTTGTAAATCAAGTGCTCAATGTTCGCGTGTGACCTTTGACATCACACGTGCAGAAATTCCTAATTGTTGGGCTGTTGATTAGGGGAACCCTTACATGTTTGTCCTGTATAAGCTCCATGAGTGTTTTTCAGGGAATCCAGTATTTGTCTAGTAAGATGGGATTTCTCTACTTTCCATATATACCAAAATTACCATACTTTTTAACCACCCGATACATATTTTTCTGGGAACCCATCTTTAAACCTACAGCTAAAGGTAATTACCTGTCCTGGGTCGTTAGCTACTGTTAAACCTACAGCTAAAGGTATAATTAGGATATCAGAAAATATGATAGCAGCATCAACTTCAAATCTCTTTACAGGCTGAAACAGAAAATTAATGGTTTAGATGGATAGCCAATTGTGAAAAAAAATAATAAACTAAGTAACGCAATAAAAATGAAATGAAATAAAATGGGGTTTAACGTCCTACTGTTCTGCTCTGACTGAGCTAATGAAGACTGGCATACTTACCTGAATGGTAAGTTCACACACCAGTTCTGGATCTCGACATGTAGCGAAGAATGCCTTATCCCCTTTGGCTGCTTTATATTCTAGAACGAAAAACATTTTTATATGGTGATAACGGCCAAAAAAGTTGTTAATAAATATCATTTCGTGCATGTAATAAATGGGGTTTTTTTTTGACTGTTATGACCAATTTGATTGTACTGGAACTGAATTTGAAGAGTCCCAACTTCAACAAGATTATCAAGTGTGTGGAATCAGTTCCCGTTTACCTGGTAAGTATCTTCCAGCCTGTCTCATCACCCATACCGGAACTCTTTCTGTATTTTCCCCTCTCGCAGCCCGTAAAATCAGATCATTCTGTAGAGGGGCAAAAACCTAAACAAAACAAAACAAAAACAAATATACTTAACTGTTGAAATGAAATGACACTGGGCTAATGAAGACAGGCATACGCCATACAGTGTGATATGATGGAAATTCTGCCCGGTCAGCGGCACTCCCTTATATCGAATTCCAACTGCCAGGGATTTTTTCATCCCATCCGAGCCACTTGACAGATGTCCTTGTTAGGCCATCCGTACATCCTGATTAACTTTCTCCTCCAACCTGTGACCTCCTGGCTAATATGGCCAGCATCTTACTCATTTAGTCACCGTGGCTTCCCAGAAAGGACCCCCGAACTAATATCTGTTTTCAGTAAGGACCCCCGAACTAATATCTGTTTTCAGTGTAACGAAGTGCCTCCATACTTTAATATCAATTTAGGTATGAAGTTGTTTCTTCATATTCTAATCATCTATAATCTATTTCTTTATTCATGGACATTGATGTATGTATTCTGTTCTTAATGGACATGCCTTAGACTGCTTGTATTGGGTATTAGGTTGACAAATCATCGATTATGTGACTTTTAGATCATATGGTCTGTTATTGAATCGAGTAGTGTGGTTTCCTGACCAGGAGTAGGGTCACCAGCTTAACCTCTGGGGTTTCCTCTAGGTACACTGACAGAAAAAGCCCTCATACGCGCAAGCGAATTATTGAAATAAAAACAAATATATAATTGGACCATGTGTTAGTCCCAAAATGACATAGTTTGTGTTGTGTGGGCATTAAACCCTGTTTCTCTCCGCTGCTTGTTAATGAATCATAAAGTCTAATCATCAGAAGTTTTTACAGGTCTGTAACAATATGGTTACATAATAGCCTACCATGTACCATGTGTCCTAGTTATTGGCTGAACTAAATATAAATTATATAACTTTCACAATCCATAGTTTTACATACCATGAGCTCAAATTACACTGATATTATTCACTATTAGAACTTTACACATAGAAAGGTTAGAAATGTGGGGGGGGGGGATACAACACAAGAACATTAACTGTTGGTATAGGACTATGGCTCTTTGCACTTTGCCTCGTTTGATTCGGTTATTACCGGTATAACATTTTGAGTAAAATATTAAAATTAACATTAAATAATTTTATAAGACATCATCTTAATTAGTATCTGACATCCATCATACATCACAACGTGTCATTATTCTAATGGACTATTTAATATAATCTGTTTTCCGTGTCGTTTATTATATGACATGGCTTTATTTTTCACTCAAGAAAGTCAATACGGTACCTTAACCGTACTAAAAATAGACACCGGTAAGTGTGTAATAAACCATTATTTGTCTATGTCCCCTCTTCTAAAATTGATCATGGTATAAAACAAATGTTTTTTCATTAATAAAACGAATCTCTATCAAAAATATTAACTTTATATCTAACAGTAAATGCAAAATTAACTCCACAAACCTGAACGTCTGCACTTGTTGATTCAGCCATCTCGATAGAAAATCACGTTTAATCCGAGTTGCGTCCCTTTATTTCTAGGGTGCATGGGAGACAAATCCATTTTATAACCTCACTGCAATCTTTTTTCATTGGGTTAATTTATTTTAATTAAAAGAAATATTTAAACAAAAACATAGATGAGTAGTTTATTATTTTTATTTTCTGGGATATTTTTTTTACCACTAACTCTGCAAAGTATTCACAAAAAATAATTTCACAAAAAATAATATTTAACAAAAAAAAAAAAAAAATTGATAAACAGAAAAATGACTAGATTAACACAATGTCATTGTTAATGGTTTCAAGAATACAACAAAAGAAAAAATATAAAATAAAAATAAACAAAATCAAAGAGACAAAAAGGCCTGGAATGCTTATACGATATCAAAAAAAGAAAAATATTATAATTTGAAATATAAGATAATAAATAAATAACAAGAATAAATAATAATATGTTCAATATTCCCCCTGGTTCACAAAATTCCTGATTGCCCATATAATAATAAAAACCTGCCCCAAAATGATGAAACATCAACCTTTTTTTTTTTTAAAACAAAGAAATGGAATTCACAATTCACTTACAAAACTTGATGAAATCTAAAACAATAATTATTTAACAGAACACAGTTTTATTGAAAACAATCGCTGGTTCATTACATGAGCATGGTGTTTCAATAACAGGTAACTTACCAAAACATTGTGCTAATATAATAAACCAGAGACTGTTAATATCTTCTTTGATTGGCATTTAGTAATTGAACATATTAACACACGGTACAATTTTATGGATACACAATTACTGAGTTTAATACTAAGCAACGTTTCGATGAGGATACTCTTGTCTTTATCAAAAATATCCCCCTCAATTTTAGTCTATGACATCTTTTACATAAATTTATTCTTTGAATGTTTTCGTAATAGTTTACTGGATTGGAATGCTTCATTAACGAAATCCTAAATACAAATTTTTAATTCACTACATATTTGTAAATATTGAATATACATGAACTATTTTAGGACTGATATTCCTTTCTGAGATGCAACCCCCACAATATTGTAATTTTAAATGGATTAAAAATCCCTCAAAGGAGGATGAGAGACTCTACCTGGTCCCTAATACATAGACACGGTTATAAATAGAATGCTGATGTTATTAATTGATTAGAATTGATCTAACTACAGACAATAACATATAATATATAATTAATACGCTCGCTCGTCTATACACAGCTTGATAAAGTCTAGAGTATTAATGCACTACTGATTAGCTCAAATCTGGGCTTTCTTCATGTCAAAATTCATATTCATGTAGTCTATAACTAAGACATTATATCCCATGTTATTCAACCCAATACATTCTTAAGAACATTTCTTTCATATGGCAGATCTGTCACAATGCAAAGACCTGACATATAGAAGAAGAAATGAAATGAAATGAAATGAAATGGGGTTTAACTTCCTACTGTTCTGCTCCTAACCTGGGCTAATGAAGACGGGCATACGCCATACAGTGTGCTGTGAGGGAAATTTTGCCCGGGCAGCGGCACTATCGCCTACTCTTATATCGAATTCCAACTGCCAAGGGATCTTTTACGTGCATTCCAATGTTTACACAGGACCTTGGTTTTTCGTCTCATCTGAAGGACTAGACAGCTGTCCTTGTCAGGCCCTCCGTCCTGCATCACTGACAAGGGGAAACCACGTCGGAAAATATAGAAGAAGAAGAAGAAGAAGAAGAGAATGTGAGTGGTAGTTAGACCTCAAATGATGGGGTTAGCACCACATTAGTTTTAAAAAGAAAATATATCACAAGAGATTATGGTTGAATAATAAATATTATGACAATAAACAAATAAATCTTCAGATTGAAACAACAGATCAATTAATTAACTGGATTGTACATCCCATATCACATTATTTATAGACAAGATTTTCATCCATTTTTATTATGTCAGTCATGCCCAATTTTGTCTAGATTGAGAATTTGCGTCAATGGTTTAGACTTCGTTCCTGGAGTTTTACGTCCACTATCACACAGGGTGACATCGTAGACAAGTGGTTTAGACTAATATATATATACTTGTTATATATATACACAGTACTGATCTTGTATAATTATAGCTTAATTAATTGATCATAATTATGCTAACTAATTAACTACTAATTAATAATAACAACAACATATGGCTTCAATGGCTGGTAATAAGTGACATATATATATATAGTACTTTGAATATTAATCATCAATAACAAATTTCTAACTTTTTAAATTAAATTATTTAACAGCCATTAAAGGGAACAGATGAGATTAAGATTGGCAAGATCCAATAATATTCCTGGAATGTCTTAACACACAAATATCAACAAAATATATCATGATCAATAGGGAAAGTTATTTTGATCAGTAAAATTCTGAATTTCAGATCAACAGTAAAAAGTACAAAACCATTATATATGTCATACAAGCTTATAAAAACATTTTAACACTGATTGCTATAGACAAAATACTATCAATAATCACCACTGGTTAGTTACAATGATTGCTATACTATACATAATTCATCCACTGGTTAACAAGACATAATAAGGCCACACCAAAATGATTTTATGTTCTTAGGGAACACTGGCATGAGAAATTTCCTTTTTTATTTTTTTGGGGAAAAGTATGGCGTTATATGGTTAAACACCATTTCATTTCTTCTGGAAAAGTCTTTAAAAACCAAAAGTATTTGATTGTGGTGTTCAAAAAGTTTAGTTCCAAATTTTTAAGTTTTGAAATTTAAAACTAAACATTTTTCATGTGATTCAAGTGGTTATTTATTTGTGAACAACCAGAAGAACAGAAGACCAAATTGGTGTGACCGAAAAATACTGTTATTCATCCACTGGTTTCAATTCTGAGACAATTATTGACGATGAAGCTATTACGGTACACATACTAAATGGTACATGTAACTGCAATAAAAATGATGTTTGTAGGATGATAGCACATTCTGTAAAGATAAACAAGTCCAAATAAACACACATACGGATGTAATATCTGCATTCTCATCAAATGACAATGAATTCACACCTTTAATAGACATAATATAGTACCAATAATACTTTGAATTATTAGGGAATGACCTTGATTCAAACAATTCGCTGCCTAAACAATAAGACAGTAAATATTTGCATAATAATGTTAAAAAGTTTAATGGTGACAGTACATTAATGCTGATATTCATTTATGGTCACATACTTCAACTTTACTACATGACATGTACATATACTCTGTGTCATGTTGTGGTTTCACAAAAAAATATATATTTCTTGACTTTTAGTATTTTAGCCTATCTGTGTTTGGTCAATATTAATTCATCCGTTCCATTATATTACAAATATAGTAATTGGTTGCACACGGCCATGTCTTGGAAACATAAATTATAAGTAAAATTCTCTGGCTTTGCTCGAGTTTTTGTGCGTGTGCTTTTTAGAAGAATTATATCCCTGATGGTCCAATTCATCCTGGGTGCTTGATCCAGTTAAATTACCATTATACAACTGAACTGATGCTCCCAAGCCTGAATCACTTGCAGCACTTCTTTCATCATCGTAAAATTCCTCGCCAATCAAGTCCATGGAAGTGTTCTTGAAACAACTGTCTGCCTCATTGATTGCCACAAGTAACTCTGATAAATCGGTTTTAAATGAAATAACTTTCTTCAGTGCTCTACAGTTTCTTTGCAAAACAGCTAATTGCTGATTTTTCTGACTCATTTGTTCTTGCAAAATTGTGACAGTTCTCTCTTTAGCTTGGACTTTCTCTTGCAGCATGCCTATTTCCATTTCCTTAGCAGACGATAATTCAGCCAGCTTTTCTTGGTGGAATTCATCTTTGGCATGTAAGGCCTCATTTTGTTGCTTTACGAGTGTTTCTAATTCATGAACCTTTTTATGAAGACCTGTAATGTGTTTATTGGCTTCGTCTATCGTGGTTCTAGGAATCATATTCATTCTTCAAACAGAAATTAATGTATGAACGGCGATGAAGATATTTTTTCTGAAAATTTTTTCTGAAACCGGAAGCGGAAATATTTTACTCCTATTCTCGTCCTCAACATCCAGTATTTTCAATATTATTCACTCATTCAAATTATGTTTTTGGTTAATCGAGGATAAAATATTGCGTTGACAAATGAAATCACCTGGTACAATATTTGCCGATTTTAACCAATGAAATGGTATTTTACTGACGTTAGGTTCACTAAGCCGCCATTCAGGTTCGCGCGTTTTATCATCTGCTCAGGGAACTGAAGAAGAAAGTCTGCAATAAAGTACATTCGTTCAAACCTTTGTCTGAAATATGGCAAAAGTAAATGTTTTGAATGTTAATGTATTGGACAACCCATCGCCATTCGTGAACCCGTTTCAATTTGAGATAACATTTGAGTGCATTGAAGATTTACCTGAAGGTATTTTACTTTTACTGTTTGAGTATTTCTATTTATTATGATCTTTCTTTGCCTTCTTGACTTCAGTCAAATGACTCAAATGAAATATAATATGTTTCTCCCTAATCCGTCCAAACTTTTCAAATCGAGTGAAATCAAGTGGGATCAGCTAGATCTAGCCTAGCTTTAATTAGCAGCTACAAAATTAATGATTACGTTTTTTTAGTGCAGGCCCGGCGGAGTGGGGGGGGGGCTTTAGCCCCCCCAATAATTTGGCCGCAAGTACTCTTTTCTCCAGGTTATTGCGGCCCCCGGGACCCACGCCTATAAGGACCTAGGATGGAAGCCCCGCCAATCAAGAATTGCTTCCGCCGGCCCTGTAGTGACAAAGATAATCAAAATAAAAATGACAAGGGAGCCCCAGGGGGAGGGGAGGGGGGGGTACTCAGTGAGTAAGTTTGGTGTATTAACCAGTGTTAGCCAAGAAAGTTGATTGGGAATGTTTCAGCATGTTTTACCTACCGTATGTCAGTGAATTGTGATGCAGGGGCATGGAACAGTATAGTATAGTCGTTCATCATATGAAAATAAAAAACCGAGGTCCCATGTAAATAAAAGTTGACAATTGAAATTTGATGAAGAGTTTGCAGAAATACCACTGTCGGGGCAAAATGCCCTGCGTGGTTCCATTCTGTAGTTCGATTCAACGATAAATATCGTGCCAGCGCTATCTGAGTGGGCTATATATTTGTACTTTACTGCAAACCACTTTCATAATGTGTAAATATAGAATAACCAGTTTAATCCAGATTAGGCCTATTTACAAATGTTTATCTACAGATAGGGTTTAACGTCCTACTGTTGTTCTGTTAATGAAGACGGGACATACACCATACAATGTGCTATGAGGGAAACTTTACCTGGGCAGCGGCACTGTGGCCTACTCTTAAATCAAATTCAAACAACCAAGGGATCTTTTACATGCATGCCAAAGTTTACATGGGACCTGGGCCTTTTGTCCCATCCAAACGACTAGACAACTGTCCTTGTCAGACCACGTCAGAAAGATTACATGTCATTTCGCTCCCGTGTCATTTCGGACTTACATCATTTCGGACTCCAAAAAATATGTCCTCGACATTTCGGACTCGGACTGGTGACGTTTCGGACTCGGTCAGGCAACTTTTCGGACTCGGACTGGCGACGTTTCGGACTCAATAAAATCTGAAAAATTCTATGTATATATTTGTATACATAATAAAGAAATTAAACATTGTTAGTTGTGTTTTATTTATCCCATACAGACCTTAAGCCCGTCGTACACGAGCAAATTTTCTTTGACAAATGGAGATTTGTCAAATAAATTTGCTCGTGTACGAGAGGAAATTTGCCACATTTTCATTTGCCATATGAGATTTGACAAAAGCTGGCATGCATAGCTTTTCGTCAAATAAATGTGTCAAAGATTTGGAACTTATGCTCGTGTACGATAGGCCGTCAAATAAATTTGCCACAAATCTGCGCACGCATCTAAATCTATTGATTTCACTTTCATTTTTCGACGCAGAGGCAAATTTATTTACTGGCTTCGTACACGGTCAAAGAAAATTTGAAGAGACTGTCAAAGAAATTTGTTAAATTTTCTTTGATCGTGTACGACCAGCTTTAGGCACGTTATTTATCCCATACAGACCATACATTAATAACAACGGGAATATTTATTTGATGAAATAATAGCTTCAGTCGGGTATTCATTTATCTTATAAAATACTTTTTTTTCACACATTCCATTTGAAGTCATCTCTATTACGGTTTAAACTCCGATACTTATCTCGAGTGATGCGTATTGATAATAACAATAAAAGGAAAATTCATTACGTACCGGAATCACAGGTACGATGTTGCCATAAATCACAAGCATCACACCGGAGGCCTTATTGTCGTGGGCTTTGGCTATCAATAATCTCAGCTTGGTTTCAATAATCAACACCAGATTAAATACAAGTTACAGTGTTTTTATTTCATAATACAACAATGGTTTCACTAATCACTAGATTAAATACAAAAATCACCGATCAATACAGGTACAGATTAAAGAATCTGGTTTCACTAATCAACAAAAGGTAAGTAGCGGTGTTTTGGCGATCAATTATCGTAAATAATCTGAACTTTCCCATAAAAATACAGATTAAATGCAATAATCGCTGATCAGTTAAATAAAACAATAATATTGGTTTTACTTTCAAGTTCAATTGCGTATGGTCTGTATGGGATAAATAAAACACAAAAGGCAAGTATTAATTTCTTTATTATTATGATGGGCGCCGATCAGTTATAAATAAAACAAAACATAAAAGGCAAGTAATATTGGTTTTACTTCAAGTTCAATTGCGTATGGTCTGTATGGGATAAATAAAAGACAACTAACAATGTTTAATTTCTTTATTATTGTGAATGGTCTGTTTTTAGCCTCACCTAAAACGAAAGAAAAAACAGTTATTACAAATATATACATAGAATTTTTCAGATTTTATTGAGTCCGAAAAGTCGCCTGGCCGAGTCCGAAAAGTCGCCTGGCCGAGTCCGAAAAGTCGCCTGACTGAGTCCGAAACGACGTTTGTGTTGAGTCCGAAATGACGCAGGACCGAAATGACTTGCTACCGTCAGAAAATCCTGATCTTTTTCGACCAATGCAGGGATCGAACACACAACCTCAAGGCTAGCGAGCCAGCGTCTTACCCACTTAGCAGGCCTGAAAATAACGGTTTTAGATGTACCTGACAAAATGCCAGGCACTAATGAAACAGTACCGGACATTTTCAACTTAGTGCAGGGCATGTATTGATAATATCAATAAAAAAGACAAATCAGTGCCGGACAAAATGAGGTTTTGTGCCTGACAAAGCCTGAATCTGTGCCTGACATTGTCTGTGACAGGTGCCTTATTTCCAGGCTTGCCACTTAGCCACCATAGCTCCTATATATTTATCTACAGATGAACTATATTGTGTTTTACAATATTAGACAGTAGATTGTTTACTAATAGATTTTGTTTTCTCGTATTTTAGATTTAGAATGGAAATTAATATATGTTGGTTCAGCTGAAACAGAGGAACATGATCAAGTTTTAGAAACAGTTTTTGTTGGTCCTGTTCCAGGAGGACGACACATGTTTGTATTTCAGGTATTAAGTTTGTATGTCTTATCATCGAACTGGTCATTTAAAGCGAGAATTTCATATTTTCTAAGAAAGTCAAAACCTAATTATTTCTATGTCTTTTACTCAATAGGTTATCAAATCACTATTACATGTATACGATCATGGGCATTATTTCCCACCCTTAAAAATCATTGACACAGGAAATAATAACAAAATTACCTCCCTTGTTTTCCTACCCCCCATGGAATAGCTATGTTCAAACGTTTGAATTTGAAGCTGAAAATGATATTTTTGCCAATTTCTCAGCTGGCAATAGTGAATTATAGGATTAATAGGATTATTCTTTAACAAGGTAGGACTGTTTATGGATACCATCTATTTTAAGGCTTTATTTTAATAAATTTTAAAAATATAACTTAAAAATATGAAATTGTAGCTTTAAGATGATTCACCAGTCTGTATCTATGGTTACCTACTGAGTCACCTGTAACTATAGTTACATGTAATTCATTCAGTTCATCTGTAGATAAATAATTGTAAATAATCTGGATTAAACTGGTTATTCTATATTTAAACATTATGAAAGTGATTTGCAGTGTGCCTATTCTTTCCCATTCAATCAAATCTCTCCTAAGAACAGCAACATGACAGCCCTTCGTTTAATCTGGGGTATTCCCTAAAACTTTGGACAGTGATTTAATGTATTAAACGCAGTGAAAGTATTCTTCGTGTCCAAACAGTATTGTTTACATTGTAGCCATTTTGATAGCCTCGTTTGTCACGCAATTAGTTTTCTGCAGTATTCTGGTATGTACTGGTTAATTGGGCGTAATAAATTTCGTGGGTCGTGACGTAATGTTCCGTAATTATATTTGGAGCTCTGTTTAAACCCGAATTTTATTGTTACACAGTTATGTATTAGTTAATCGGACTATTGACCAGTCATAATTTGGAACAGATATTTGCTTTCATTACAGCAGTGTTGAATGGGATTAGGTCTAATCAAACGAAACACTGCGTGAAAGTATGTGCTTATGATATAATATATTTATGTTATTTTGTAGGCTGATCCCCCAGATATAACTAAAATACCAGTAGATGATGTTATTGGTGTGACTATTATATTATTAACGTGTTGCTACAGATCAAAAGAGTTTATCCGTGTCGGATACTATGTAAATAATGAATATGATGATCCCGAATTGAAAGAAAATCCTCCTACCTCAGTTATATATGAAAAGGTAAAAAAAATTCTCAAAAATGTCTGAAATTTATTCCAACAGTACCTTGATTACATTCATAGGTGCAGTTGATTATATTGAAGGATTGTCAGTAGGTGGAGTGCCACTGCCTAGGCAAAATTCCCACTTTTGCATTGCAAAATTGAGCTTTGCCAAACACTGTAACCTGGGTATCGTTTAATCTTGTGTATTTAGCACTAATTTCTTTCACATTTATTCAATATCCATATCTTTGATTAAAAATTTGTAAAAATCATTTAAAATCACCAAAAATCATCTAATTTGTACTTGTGTCCAGTTTAAAGCTGACCATTCAATTTTGATAATGAGTGTCGAATTTACAAGCGTTTAATTTCTTGATGACTGTTAAAAAATAAACAACCCAATTGATTATTGATGTATAATGGTCAGGAAATTAAATACTTGTATATTGGACAATCAATATCAAAATTAATGGGTGAGCTTTAAACTGGACACAAATACATATTAGATGATTTTTGGTGATTTTAAACAATTTTTACGAATTTTTAAACAAAGATTTGATATTAAACGAATGTGAAAGAAATTAATACTAGATAAATGATACCCTGGTTACAGTGAAAAGTCACGGAGCATATATAAAACAAGGGAGGTAATTCACTATTATTTCCAGTGTTGTTTTTTTAAAGTGCTAGAATTGTTCCTATTTAGCCTAAACACAGAAAAAATGATGTCTTGACTTTTATAGAAAATATGCTTTAAGATTCCTGTTATTCCTAAACTGACTATATGTTGTTTCATTTTACAATGTACGTATAACGAGGCATTTCATTTGCCTTGAGCCAGGTTGAGGAATCTAGCCACATGTGCTGTAGAACATAGTGGCTGCCATTGAGTCACCCTGGCGACAAGGAGTAGGGTCGTCGTCCGTCCTCACAGGTTTTCTCCTGGTCCTTGGGTTTCGTCCCACTGCTAAAGACTCGTACATCCCAGTAAATTATTAAAATAGAATTGAATCAAATATTAGTCCCGTAATGACCTAGTTTGTGTCAAGCGGATGTTAAACCCTGTCTCTCTTTCCAGGGTGGGTTTATAAATAGTAATCACACAATCGGTTATGCAACAACTCAAACACTGTCTACCCATCCCTGTTTTCTCAGTTGGAGGGGGGATGGGGGTGTTGTTGGGTGGTTTCCTCCCACTGCTGAAGACTTGTACGTACAAGCGAATTATTGAAATAAAATTGATGCATATGTTAGTCGTGCAATAGCCTAGTTTATGTTGAGTGCCCCCCCCCTTTCTCTGTGTAAAGTTTTATATTCCATGAAATTGTCTGCTGTATTTTTCAGTTACAAAGAAACATCTTAAACAAACCAAGGGTAACGAAGTTTAAAATCGACTGGGATGATAATACAGCTACTGTTGCTACTGGGGAAAATGGTGAAAACGTACCGCCAGTTGGAAATATAGAAAATATGGAGACAACGTCCAATCAGATGTGTGAACCTGCTTGTGCTCCACTTGGTGGTGCAAATAACTTTCAGGAGAACAGTAATAGCATCAGTATGGACACGTCTGTGAAAGCAATGTAACTGATGTTATATAGATGCGTGATGACAAGGTTTTTATACGTGTGACTGTATTCATCAATATACAGTGGAATAATTTCCTGTATTCTTCAATACAGGATGGAATAATTTCAGCTAAATAGTGCTATAATAAATGGGTCATATTTAAATTATAATACTGCAGCATATTGAAAACAGACAGATTGCATTCAATGCTGTTCGATTACATTCAATGGTGTCAGATTGCATCAGTATAAAAGCCTGTGCTCTGTCCGACATTTGAGAATCAAAATCCAACAAATTGAGAAAACAAACCAGATGTGAGAGTCTAATTATTTTGTGAAGAGGCAGTTCGAACATTGGGATTTCATTTCAAGTATTTGACTTAAAATTCAGAAGAAAGCATCTTAAATAGTAATGTAATGAAATGGGATTTAACGTCCCACGGTTCTGCTCCAACTGGGCTAATGAAGACGGGACACGTCTTAAATCTAATATACAATTATCCTGCCTCCTCTTACACCAGCAAATAAGTCAAATTTGTTTCCATATAGATTTGTAATTTGTAAAAAGCACAACTATTATATAATAGGTTGATGTGTGTAGAAAGACTTGTAAAGATATCTGGAACGGTTTGTGGAGAACCATCTGGAAACAAAAACCATAATTGATGGAGTTCATTTCAAGGATTTGCGCGGGATAATAATGAAATATATAAAAAAATATTTTTTGGAATGACACTGTTAAATTTTGTTTAGCATACACGAATATACGTTCATGTAATTACAAACGACGCACAATACAAATATTAACAAATAAAAGTTATATACAACCAAAAATAATGATCTCAACTTCGTGACAGTACGTAGGTTTGATGGCCGAATGGTTATCATACGATCTGTCATTGAAACAACTGGCAGAGTTTTTGATTCCATGGTTGTATGTGACAAGGAGTAGGGTCGCCTGTCCAACCTTGTGGGTTTTCTACGGGTTCTCCAGTTTCCTCCCACTGCTAAAGACCCCCTATGCGGAAGTGAATTATTGAAATAAACACTAACCATATGTTAGTCCCGAAATGACCTAGTTTGTGTCGAGTGGACGGGAAAACCCCATTTCAGTTCTTTCTTGACAGTACCCTGATCAGTTTAATAATTGGTTTTCCAAGAAAATTATCCATTGTAGATATTCATCTAGACTATTTTTGATAACAATAAATTAAAACTCATTTTATGTATAATTTGTAAAGAAAATACATTGTGTGGTTTACGTTAAGGTGTAAATTAATTTGGCTTGAAATATACATGTAAATGTATTATATCCAGAAAATTAAAATGACATGTACATGTACCCTAAAGCTGGTGTAATCATCTGCATTTTTAGATAATCAGTCATTGTTATCTAGGAGAATGATCACTCTTAAGCACCTGCCGGGCACCTGAAGGTCGACCAAGGGGAGTGGTTTCTCCCTCCCCTTAAAATTGAAAATCGCTCTCCTATACAAAGTCATGCAGGGTTTATTATTTTATGAAATCAGGAATGACCCCTTACATTGCCGTTATTGATCTTCAGAACCATACCCATACACACAAGTAATCACTCTTCTTAATTTCTAAATCATTCTTATCGAAACAGGGAGTGATTTTTTTAAGGGGGAGACTTTTGATTAAGTGGAGCTTTTGTCGGTTCTCCTAAAATACAAACGACGGGATATTATCTATTTTTGGATAATAATTTTTTTTCTTGGCTTAAAAACTACACCACTTGATAGTTACACATTAAAGGTAGCAAGTCTTTAACTCAATATCATCCACAGTCTTCGACATTGTAAACACGTCGTATTGGTCAATTTAAATCAACATTTATCTTATGATCATACCTTGAAAAAATGGGCTTTTGATATACATATACATGTACAATATTTAAGACAAAATAAAAAAAGTCTTGAAATAACCCTAGTTTTCAATCGCCATTTGTAATGAAGCGACTCGATGAATGAGGCTAAACATTTCCCACAGGAGAATACTGCCGACTGACATTCAATTTGGACTGATTTGAAATTAGAGTAAAAATAGAAACGATCGAATGTAAATCAGTTTATATACATTCATATTACATGATTATACATGTATGTGTTGCAACCCATTTGTGTCCATTTCTAGGTGCCAGGTAACTCCCCTTACATCCCACTTCTACTCGTTGCCACTGGTAACCTTTGATAAAACTGTCCTGTTTAATCGCAATACATGCTTAAAAGTATCCGTGTATCAGTAATGTACAGAAAGAGTACTGTTCATTTCTGATACACGTGTATCAGTAATGTACAGAAAGAGTACTGTTCATTTCTGATACACGGATACTTTTAAACCGTTTTAGATACCTATCAAGCAATCAGTAGCGGACGTTTAGTCCGATCCAGATCCGATCCAGATCGCAAATGAAGAGGATGGCTCTAACCAATGTACATGAAACAACTATTCAAAATCATAGTAACAAAACAAAATGGGGGGAACTACATGGCAGTTCAAAAACATATACAATGACATTAAATTAACATAACAACATATTACAAAAATCAATTATTATACATATTAATTGGCATCTATTTTATAATTTGGTTTGATTTATATTAATATGCAAAATATATATATTAGAATATTGAATAATTATTTTAATTAATTGTGATGATAGAAGGCGCAGTTCTCTTGCTGGACACTTCACAGGCATTGATAATAAGCAGGATGAAAAAAACGCCTAGAAAGTCATAAACTTTATTACAAATAAATTTCAACGGAAGAACCATCCGCCGATGCATACTTTCACCAGGAATGACCCACGTTTCGCATTTCCTTTACACTACATTTAATAATATCACAGTCCTCTACGCCATAGATAAGATGTTTTGAAGGTGTGGTCTAAACAAACACGTGATTGTTTTACGCTCAGAGTATCATAGCAAGACGCACGTGTAAATACTACTCAGGTCGTCTCTCCACAGCGAAATCATTCTACCATGAAATGTAACGTGAGGCTCAGAAAGGGATAAATAATGAAAGAGCAGAAAGTATTTGTCACTTTTCGGTTGAAACGACTCGATGATAAATACTATTTTTCACATGTTGGTTCACAATACTCGATAGAAATGTGATGTAAGTAACTTATTAGCACCTTTCCTCGGTGTATCGGTGAATATCAGGACAGTTTTGGTCGGGGGCCGCCTCGGCTGGGCCCCTCGACTAAAACTGTCCTGATATTCACCGATACACCGAGGAAAGGGTGCTAATAACTACTACTTACATGTATTTATGAAATGTTTCTCCTTGTCCGAACTGGAGTTTATTTTTTAGGAGTTTGATTTTTGGAAATTAAGAACTCGTAACTGATTGAATGAAGACAAGAAATGAAACAATATTTGCTCAAATAGTTCAGGAGATTGTAAATGTACATATATGTAATTAATTGTACTAGAATTAAATGTTGAAACAACCAAGTTTTACATTATCAGAAAAGAATACTTTGTACACCTTAAAGCAGAAGAATCAGTAAAATATTATGCAATTAGAATGCTAAGATAATGTTTCGTGTAAAATTATACATGTTTACTTAAAGGACATTAATGTTGTTTGTCATCTAATATGACCGGATGAAAACCCTTGTTAAACATACAGTACGCATGAGCTAAATATGCCTATTGTAGGTATTTCTTTAGGCCTGAAATGTTATCTAAATTATTAATTAGGTATTAATTAACATGAAAAGACCATAATCAACTCTCAATGCCATCTTATGTGTCCGATTTGAATCCGATTTTATCGTACTGACTTTAGTAATGATGATTGAGACTAGGCCTAAAATTCATTCGCTAACATCTTGGTTCAGAGTGTATCAATTTGACTGAAATTTTCAGCAAATTTGCTTTACATTATCTAGTTTTTAACTATTATAGTGAGAACTACATGTACATGTACCAGCTCTTTATCTAATATCCCATAATGCCCCTTTAAATCGTGTCGTGTTTTTGTGTTGTGCTTAATCACTAAATGCCAGTTCGGATTAGATTCTAGACATGCGCATGTTTTTGTTATTGTCTCCATGTTAAATGCATTTTTCAGAAAATGTTAAAAAAAAAGTTCTTTTCGCTGACATTAAAATGTAGTTAAATTGATTATTTTAACATTTAATTATGAAAATAAAATCATTATCCATGGTAAATCATCTCCCGGCTTTGATTGAATCAAATTAAAAAAAAAAAATAAACATCCCTTGAAAAGATTCAGCTCTGGCTGACTATATGCTGTTTATATTGTCTGTAATGGATACCAAGTGTTGACAGATTTTCAATTGCTCATATTAACTTTGTAAATAAGGAACAATGTTGTACAATTTATGGATACATAATTACTGAGTTTAATACTAAGCGACGTTTCGCAAGGATACTCCCCCTCAATTTTATTGATACACAATTACTGAGTTTAATACTAAGCGACATTTCGAGGAGGATACTCTCATCTTTATCAAGCATCGTCGACGAAATGTCGCTTAGTATTAAACTCAGTAATTGTGTATCAATAAAATTGAGGGGGAGTATCCTTGCGAAACGTCGCTTAGTATTAAACTCAGTAATTGTGTATCAATAAAATTGAGGGGGAGTATCCTTGCGAAATGTCGCTTAGTATTAAACTCAGTAATTGTGTATCCATAAAATTGTACCTTGTGTTAATATGTTCAATTACTAAATGCCAATCAAAAGAAAACAATATTGCAGTTTGTGGATTTAAAATCCCTCGAATGTTGATCAGAAACTTTAAAGGTTCATTATCCTCTTAATAATAATACAAATTATTTTATTATTTTATGCAACTGTTTGTTTATATTATTGGTAAAATATTTAATCCATAAATAAAACATTTATTACAGTTTTTTCTAAGTGAAAAACCGTTTTCTAGTTGTTATTTACCTTCTATATATATATTTGTGACTGTCGTTTGTCTGTCTGTTCGTGGTTGGCGGCTACACTAGGTCTGCCCCGAGTCTGAAATTTGGGGTATAGGGGTAGCTCGGACCAGGGAGTAATATAGGCCAGGTGGCGTTAGTCTACCACTTCCGGTTTCGGGGTTATGACCCCCGAGCGAAGCCGGGCAATCTTCTAGTATATAATAAAGGAAGTTCGTCTTGATTTTCTGGAGTGATTCCCCTTGTTGGTTGGTTAGTGCTAAATGATGAGGCCAGCTCAATTTTTCGTGATAGGTCACGAGATGTCAACAGGGTTAGAGCTAGACCTAACCCTGGACCTAGGCCCAATGCTTACCCTAACCTACAATCTCGCCAACAATCACATTTCGGCAACCTTGACAAAAACAGAGCTGGCCATAACAAATAGATTTGGCTCTTGTTGGTGGTGTTGGACAGAGGGTCTGGAAAGGGACAATGTATAGTCGTTCGTATGGGACAAAAAAGCGAGGTCCGAGGACCCATGTACACATTAGCATGCACATAAAATAACCCTTGGAAGTTAAAATTCGATATAAGAATACATCATAGTGCCGCTGTCCGGGCAAAACTTCCCTCATAGCACACTGTATGGCTTATGCCCGTCTCATTTAGGACATTAACCCCTACATGTATATGAAGTGGTTGTACATCAGAAGGAGTAGGTTTGCCTGTCCAACTGCGAGGGTTTCCTTCGGGTCCTCCAGTTTCCTCCCACAGCTAAAAACCCCTACAAGCGAATTATTGAAATAAAACTGAACCATATGTAAGTCCTCTCTCTCTCTCCATCTAACCCATACACACAACTTAACATCCAAGTTGAAGAATTAATTATGAGAGTTCCAGGGATGCCCCTTTTTTTTTCAAACTTCTTGTTACGTATTAGTAAAACAGTAAGAAACCATTCAGGGGGCATATTAAATGGAAGGATAGTTCTGATTTGAACAGATCTTAATGTTTAAAGATCCATTTTTAACCTTACAAGTCCCTGCTGACAACTTTCTTGTCTTCTTTGCAAGTCAGTAGTACTGGCGATCATGTTTGATCCGACTCCCTTTTCTATTTCCATCACTTTTACATTTTAGGGTTAGGGTTAGGGTCAGGTATTTAAGATTAAAACCTATAAATTCAGGGTTAGGGGTTTAAGATTAAAACCAATGAGTAAGACAAAATCTTCAACAATAATGAAATATTGAGACACAAAAATGGGAGTCACATCAAACATGAATGCGGTAGTATTTTAATTCAGTAAAGCCATAGGGACAGGAACAATTTTTATTTTCTGTTTTTTGGGGGTTTTTTTGGGGGGTTTTTTCCAAGTTTTTTTTAATCTTCTTTATTCTTCTGCCTATTTGGTGCTAGATTATATAATATTTACTATCAAACATGTTCGTATTAAAATAAAGAATATTCTCTAATGTATAATAAAACAGATACCTCAGAGGTTATTTTTATTGGGGGGATGCTCTGTATAAATCCCAAACTCAAGAATGTCTGAGAAAAAAAAGTTATTGCTATGGCAACCTGCAAATCATAAAGGCTGGATAACCACGGCTTACAGGATGTTTGACTGGATGATTGAGGCTACTTCCGTTTTCCTTAGAAACTGATTTGTATATACATCCGGGCTTTTCAAACATGTCAGCCGCCAGTTGTCTGTAAATTTTACACCTTGTTATCGTCATTATTATTTGAACAGGCAAAATGTCGGACGGAGACGGCAAAGGAATATCTGAGAAAGAGAAAGAGTCAGCTTTACAGAATGAAAAAGAAAAGGTATTCTACCTTCATAATGATTAATCCCACTAAACTTTTTTTTTTTGTAAATTTGTAAACATAACAGTACTCAGTACACACACATACTTACGTTACTACTACTTAGTACTACTAGCCTAAAATAGCCGTCAAACTCTCTGAAGTTAAATTGTTTTATTTTTAAATCAGGCATATGCCCTATATAGTAGGCCTACTTGTCTGAGTCTGAAGTAGGGTGACCCATGTACTCTACAGAAATACAGTCCACAGCTGATAGTTCGAGACTACCACTGAAGCGTGCACATTCGCCGTGCCGAGACCAACTTTCTGACAGTATGGTACTATAAATAGCCATGGCACGTGCAATTCTCTACAAATCTTTCAACTATTACAGCCGTAAAAAAATTATTGTTGACGATTTTGAATAGCAGTGAAATTAAGCTTCTTGGTTATTACAGCAGATTTAGAAATTACGTTCGTTTCATTTTTTAAATCGCTTTATCATTAACTGTACCGTTAAGAGCGGCATCTTTTGGTTTAGTACAAATAATATCTCTGAATCACTCGGATTAGACAGGAACATGATACTAGCAGTAGTTTCATTTTACTTTTACAAGGTTCTTAAAACGATTGTTGAGCTACCTAACGTTTTTATTTCTAAATTCAATTTCTTGTTCTAGCTTTCTGTTATGTTTCGGAAAAAAGTAGTCTTGATTATCCCGACCTGTCAATCAGACGTAGAATGGTCGATAGACTGGTTAAGCGAGACTAATTTCAAAACAAGGGCACGTAACCTATCTTTTACTCAAAAGTGTCTGGATGTTATGGACGACACTTGGAACCAGTTTTCAGTCTATTATTTATAGATGATTAATGGTCATAGCTTATTAAGTACAACTTGATCGTTTATTTAGTGACTATAATTGTGTGAAACTGATTTGAGGCTTGGCATATATATAAATATTGTGGCGTAATTGTCGAGATATATGGAGATATTTATTTATGGTGGGTCACCTATCTGAAGTAGCCTAATAATATGCAACAACAGGCATTGCCCGAGTAGTAGAGCGAAGCTGGTGGGCGTGATTGTTAACAATAACACTACTTGTAAAATAAAACTTGAAGAAAGTTTCTCAAATGATACAAGTAGGCCTAATGTTAAATAATTTCGTTTTTCTGAACTGATTTTAATTTAGATCTAAATTGTATATATTAATTGTTTTGTTTTTAAAAAAAAATTGTGAGAATTATTTTCATTGATCTAAGTACTGACATAAAAACTTATCTTTATTTTTTTCAAGGATACCACTAACGGTAAAGATGGAAGGGCTTCAGCGAAATCTAAGGTGTCAACTCCATCAGCAAAGGGTAAAAGTCCGACTAGAAGTAAACCTAACAGTGCTACAAAAAGTCCTAAACCAGGCGTCAGTGCACGGAGCGACAAGAAAGGTACCCCAACTCCCAGAGGTAATAATTAACATGAGATGGAATTTAACATCCACTCAACACAAACTAGGTCATTTTGGGACTAACATATGGCTCAATTTTATTTCAATAATTCTCTTACGCATTGGTGCCTTTTTTTTCAGTGGGAGGAAACTGGAGGACCCAGAGAAAACCCATGAGGTTGGACAGGTGACCCTACTCCTTGTCATGTTGACTCAATGACAGACCTTATGATGCGACGTGCACTCGCTAACCATTCAGCCATCCAACCCCTCGGCCTCGAAGACATCTTGGAATCTCTTTAACTTTTGCGCATAGACAGACAGGGGCAGATATAGGGTTTGTCAAAATTAGGGGTGCTTAGCATCGTCTTTTGTTTTTACCATTTGTAAATTGGTCATTGGAAAGATGATTGAATGTTTATTATTTGAATGTCTTGACTGAGTTCTATGAATTGACATTTTCCGCCAAGGCGATAGTAGCAATAAACAATCTGATTGGTCGATGCTTTGGGACATGATAACTTTGATTCCCCGAGGGAGAGGGATGAAACTTGGTGTATAATGTCACTACATCAATCATCATTATTTTCTGTTTAGGCGAGGGGGACATTAGCCTCGTCGCGGTTGGCTTATTTTTAGTTTCCGAAAGCTCGGATACAGGTATAGATATATATTTTCAGGTAAAGGTAAAGGTAAAGCTGAAGAAAAGAAAGCCGATACACCTGTAGCTGCTTCAACAGATGGAACAGAAGATGGCGGTAAACGACTTTTTAAATATTAGTTTAAGATTTCAAGTTACCGGTGAAAGAGATTATATTGGTTATTTACAATCTGATTATAAAACAGATCTATGTTTCCTTTCATTTCATTACGTTTCCTTTTGTTTTTTATACTTTCGATAGTCTCTGCTACATGAAAAAAAGACCGGTAGTAAAGACAAGTAAAACAAAATTTTGAAGGATAAAAAACGAAACGAAAATAGGATCTGTGTTTTAATCAGATTGGGGTATTTATGACTATGAGTATTCCGGATATCAGCAGTACTCGGTCTATCAGTGGGACTACAGCGGTACTCGGTCTATCAGTGGGACTACAGCAGTACTCGGTCTATCAGTGGGACAACAGCAGTACTCGGTCTATCAGTGGGACAACAGCAGTACTCGGTCTATCAGTGATATCAGCAGTACTCGGTCTATCAGTGGGACTACAGCAGTACTCGGTCTATCAGTGGGACTACAGCAGTACTCGGTCTATCAGTGGGACTACAGCAGTACTCGGTCTATCAGTGGGACTACAGCAGTACTCGGTCTATCAGTGGGACTACAGCAGTACTTGAGACTACAGCAGTACTCGGTCTATCAGTGAGACTACAGCAGTACTTGATCTATCAGTGATATCAGCAGTACTCGGTCTATCAGTGGGACTACAGCAGTACTCGGTCTATCAGTGATATCAGCAGTACTCGGTCTATCAGTGGGACTATAGCAGTACTCAGTCTATCAGTGAGACTACAGCAGTACTCGGTCTATCAGTGAGACTACAGCAGTACTCGGTCTATCAGTGAGACTACAACATGTCATCATTAGTCATTAGTCATAAAATATCCCACAGGTCACATTAATTTGATTCTCTGTTCTTCAGGAAAACCTGTTAAAATTCTTCTTCATATTTCTTTGGAAAAAAGACTAATTAAAAACCATAAGGACTTGGTTGCATTGTTCAAAAACTTTTAAGTTCCAAAATTGTCATGTTTTGAAGTTTTGAAATTTTGATCTAAATGTTTTCCATGTGATTCAAGTGGCTATTGATTTATGAAGACCCTGAAGAACTGAAAATTAAATTGGTTTGGCTTTGTTTTTGTCAGATGTATATGTCAGGATTATTTGGTCTTGGGACATACAGTTCTCAATGTGGTATTCAATTAATTACAATTCAAATTTAGAATAGACTATAATGCAGCTGCCCAGGAAGAGGGGGGGAGAGAGAGAAATGGTGTTTAACATCCACTCGACACAAACTAGGTCATTTCGGGACTAACATATGGTTCAATTTTATTTCAATAATTCGCTTGTGCAATAGGGTTCTTTAGCAATAGGAGGAAACCCATGAGATTGGACAGGCGACCCTACTCTTGGCACGTACAACCAGGGAATCGAAACCACCCCAGTTGACTCAATGACAGATCTTAAGATACAACGTGTACATGCTAACCATTCAGCCATAACAACCCCCTGCAAATAGTACACTGTCTTCATTAGTCCAGTCGGTGCAAAAGAATTAGGACATTTAATTTCATTTCTTTGGTCTTCGATAACCGCTGTGACTGTTGCATGGCAACATCTTAAACCTATGATATTTTGTTAATTATGAATTGTTCTGTTTTTTTTGTGTAGGTTTACCTGAAAATGCTGTGCCTTTTTTCATGACATCAAAAACTCAGGAAATATTTAATTGTCGTTGTGATGAGGATGTTAGCCAAGAGATGCCGTTTAAAATGTTAGCTAAACAAGAAATATTGGACGATATGAGGAATCGGGCCGCTGTTTGTGATTTCCATGTATTGAAGAAAGAAATCATGGTAAGACATTTAATTATAAAAAAATATGTGAACTTGTTATATCAATAAAAGTGATAATGTTGTTTTAGCTACCTTACTTTACCTTGTGTTTAACACCCCTCACTACTGGGGCTACAGTGGATCAGTGAGGAGGTGCAGGTGTTAGCTGAGATTGCTCCTCAGGTTTCCCATTGGTACAAGATGAGGCAGTCTGGAGAGGAAAAGTGTCTTTTTAGTCGGATGGGATGTAAAACAAAGGTTTCATGAAAGCCATTGGCAAGCCTGGAAATAAAGCGGAACCAGTCATAGAGTGTCTCAGACACGAATAATGACAACGTTTTATTATAATATATATGTTGTGTGACCATTTGTATCTGACAGTCTGTGGCAGGTGTCTTATGTCTTGGTTTGTGTGGGGGTTTGGATGGCGGAATGGTTAGCGCTTGCACGTTGTATCATAAGGTCTGTCATTGAGTCAACTAACATGTTTTCGATTCCCCGATTGTATGTGACAAAGAGTACGGTCGCCTGTCCAACCTCATGGGTTTTCTCTGGGTTCTCCTAAAGACCCCTACATGCAAGTGAATTATTGAAATAAAATTGAACTAGTTTGTGTTGAGTTGATGTTAATCTCTCTATTTAATTTTTTACCAGGATTATCCTACTGATGAGATATTGGTTGTATATGATTATGATTTTAAATATGGACAGAATTTCTACATCGCCTTAACAGAAGAAGCTAAAGATAAACTCATGAATGTAAGTAACATCGAGGGATCTCGGCTTTTAAATATCAGTGGAATTAATTCACAGAAACTAACAAAAATTTATTGGCTGAGATGTCAAATTTGTACTGAGATTTTAATGTTCAGCCAATAAAAATTACGGCCCTTGGACTTAAAGGTCACCGGAAAAGCATCAATTTTTTTTTAAATAATCAAGTAATTATGTCAACATATCCTTTCCATAAGTATAACCCGAGCCCGAACGTCAATATTACCTGCAACAGGTAAATTTCAACGTTAGCAATTTCCGCCATTCTCCGTGGGTAGTCGTAACTTTCCGTAAATGTGAAGGTAATATTGACATTCGGGTTCGTGTTATACTTATGGAAAGGATATGTGGACATAATTACTTGCATTATTTAAAAAATTTATGAACCTTTTTCGGTGACCTTTAATGATAATTTGTACATGGTCATGTAAACTAAAATACCTCATTGTTAATGTGGTTTACTGTTGTCATGGTGATCATGACTTAACCATTTCTCTCTATGTAAAACTGTATTTTAATCAGAGCTACGTTTCTACAATGATTCTCTTGTCATTTTCCATAAAACTCTTGTGTTTAGTTTTAAAATGTGTTAAATTACTAAATGTCATTTAAAGAGTATAAAAATGAAATTATTTTGTTTAGCCACCACAAGAAGGTAGAGAAGGTGGTTTAGATGAAGATGAAGAAGAAGCAGAACCAGTTGTATATAAATATATTCCACCTGAACGTAAAGAATGGGTCTCGTATGGTAGTGAGGTGGAGGTGATAGAAGAAACTGTTAAAGATAATCGTGAAAGGGTAGGCTATATACAAACCTATTTCTATTCTTATGATAAAATGGAGGAAGAGAGAGAAATGCGCTATTTTAGCGCTGAATTCCATTCCCCGGTTGTACATGACAAGGAGTAGGGTTGCCTGTCCAACCTCATGGGTTTTCTCCGGTTTCCTCCCACTGCTAAAGAACCCTACTCACAAGCAAATTATTGAAATAAAATTGAACCATATGTTAGTCCCAAAATGACCTAGTTTGTGCCGGGTGGACATTAAACCCCATCTCTCTCACGCACTCGCTCTCTCTCATTGATTTTGATATTTTTTTAATTTAAACAGGTGAAGATCTCATTCCGTAGAAAACGATCAGAATTTGGAGCACCAATTAGCTTCACTGATCGGAATGTAGCCGACGCCAAAGATGGCTTTGTGGAATGTGTATCTTATGAAGACAGAAACTTTGATCTGAATAGAATGGAACTCGACAAGGGAACTCAGGTAAGGCAACTCAGATTTTCTTTGTATTTATTTTTTTCAAAATTTCAACTGTTGTAAAAATCTACATTTTAAAGGAGCTAAACCTGTAGCTCAATATTTTTGTAATTATTCGTAATTCCATTTCAATCAATATTGAAAATATAGGATCCTTATATCCAATATTCAAGACACAATGAAAATTTTAAAATCAGTACACGAGTCGTGCACTCTGTGGTTTCAGGCCCCTTTTATAATGAACATAGAAAAACATATTCTTCAAGGCAATTGGCAATTCAAAAACAACAAAATAATAATTTTATACAGAACATGTAGAATGGACTAAGCACACGGAACAACTGCTGTTCGATTTTGGACAGTTCAGGTATTTCACCTAACATAATTAATTATGAATTGCAATAAAATTTTAAAATACCTAGCTCATAATACTATACATTCATATCACATTTTAAAATATTGAAATATGTGCATTTAGGTCAGCCCCATTTTCATCTATTTTAAGGTTCCAAAGAATAGAGACCCCTTTAAGTTAAAATTTACAGGCTTTATTTACGAAGCTTAAAGATACATTATAATGAGTTGGCAATTATCACTATAATAGTTAAAAATTAGATAATGTAAAGGCAATTTGCTGAAAATTTCATTCAAATCGATCCACTATGAACTGAGAACTAAGCGATTGAAATTTCCGCCTAGCCACGATCATCATTACTAAAGTCAGTACGATAAACAGCATAGTCTCGATTATCCATTTAATCGTTAAATCGTGAAGGAAAGTTATGCAGTAAATCATCTCATAATCCACTAAAGATCTCGGGCTAGCGATGGCATCTAGAGTTGATTATGGTCTGGATAGGTTAATTAATGTCTAATTAATAGTTTATATAACATTTCAAACCTAAAGAAAGACCTGCAATAGGCAGATTTAGCTCTTGCATAACGTATGTTTAAGTATGTGCCGTTTTATTTGTTGATGATTCAAATCCTAGTACATATTTCAGATCACTGCCAATGACAATGAATGAATGTAATGTGGTTTTATGGGACGTCATCACCAACCCCATTGCCAATAATAATGCTTTTTTCTGTATTCTTCTTGACGTCCTGTTTATTCTGACATTTAAGTGATTCATTATCACTCGAATTTTGTCTAGCGGATGACTTTATAGCTGATGGGACTGAAAAAAAACCAACCTTATTTTGTTACTTCAGTTTGATAATTTTATTTTTCAGGCTATTCCTGAATTTGATGTAGCTGGCACACAAACCAACTGGACTTATCCTCGTAACGCAAACACACAATATTATCCTCGACTCTTTACAGAAGATGAACAAATGAAGATAGAAACTTCAAAAAATCTACACAACTTTTTAAATGACGCTGCTCCAAGGTAAACCTCAATCTCATTCAAATACACATCTATATTTTGTTTCGTTTTTATACTTTCAATGGCGTCTACTACATGAAGATCTGACCAGTTGTAGTGGGACGTCGTGTCAGAGGTCATACAAGTGGCTTCTGACCCTATGATGTCAAATATTTGATTAACCAATCAGCGTCGATGTTTCTAGTGGGTTACCCACAGTTCCATGCAACTCCCGCCAAAATCTCGCTGTAACAGTCCGTTGCATTGGCTAATCAACCAGAACGTGGGTTATATAACAACTCATCCAGATCCTAGTGTAGTAAAGACAAGTAAATCAAAATTTTGAACTATAAAAAAACGAAACGAAACCGGATCTGTGTTGTTATCAGATTGTGGTAAATGTTTAAAGATTATTTCTGTGTAAGAGATTTATTCACTGACCATTTGGAGAACTTACATGTCAGTCAATTTACAGACCATGAATCTTTAAAACACATAAAATATGGTTAAATTTTTAGTTCTAAGGTGATAATGCGGAAAATTGAATTTGGATAATGTTTAAAATGGTCATAATCTGAGGAAAATGTATCTTAGTAATCTGGGGTTAGCCGAATTTTTAAATGAAATCCCTTTTGTAGTGGCATTAACCCATTAGAATTTAGACCGTCCCCCAATCGTACTGACTAGAGCAGTTTGAGACAGTGAAAGGAACAACTGTTTCAGACAATTTCAGTTTGTTCAGGCATGTACCAGTAATAAACATACATTATACAAGAGCTAAATCTGCCTATTTCAGATCTTTCATTAGGCCCGAAATGTTATCTAAATTATTAATTAGACATTAATTAACTTATCCTGACCATAATCAACTCTTGATGTCATCGCTAGTCTGTAATATAGCCTAAATAGTAAAATTCAAAAGCTAATATCTTGGTTCAGAATGGAGCAATTTGACTGAAATTTTCAGCATATTCTATTTGCGTTATCTATTTTTTAACTATTATAGCGAGAACTCTCAATTCCTTATCTAATCTCCCATAATTCCCTGGTTCTCTAATTGTCTTTACGGAACTGGGGTGGTCAATATTTATAAAGTTGTATAATTTTAGATTTGAGTTGGCTCTACAACAGAATGAGATAATGAATGTATTTTATAACGATTGGTTACATCTGGGAGAAGAAGAGAATGCTTTAGGTATCAAGGCTGACAATCATCTTAAAGTAAGTTCTCATCAGTTATACCAGGTATCACAGGGCCTCACACGTACACCTGTCTAGTCGGTCGGACGATACGAAAAACCGAGATCGTGTGTACAAATTGGTGTGCACGTAAAAGATCCCTTGGCACTTGGAATTCAATATACAATGTAAGAGTAGGCCGTAGTGCCACTGCCCAGGAAAAATTTCCTTCCTAGTACACAGTATGGCATATTCCCGTCTTCATTAGCCCATTCGGAGCAGAACAGTAGGACCTTAAACCCCATTTCATTTCATTTTATCCAAGCTCTTTTGCCTGTAATCGAGCTGCAGTGACCTAGTGAATAAGGTGCTGGCTCACTAATCCTGAGGTCTGGGGTTCGATCCTTGTGTTGGTTGAGAAAGTTCCCTGTGATTTTCCCGGCTGGCTTCCCCTTGTCAGTGGTGTCCTAAAATTCAAAAGGTCACTGGCGGTTGGATGGCTAAATGGTTAGCTCGTGCGCGTTGTATCAATAGGTCTGTCATTGAGTCAACTGGAATGGTTTGGGTTCCCTGGTTGTACGTGACAAGGAGTAGGGTCACCTGTTCAACCTTGTGGGTTTTCTCTGGGTCTTCCGGTTTCCTCCCACTGCTAAAGACTCCTAAAATTGTACCATATGTTAGTCCCGAAATGACCTGGTTTGTGTCTAGTGGTTTGTTTTTATTCCACTAGGAATATTTTTGGTTTAACAATTTATTTTTTTTCCCCCAGGAATATCAATCATTTACTGATCTACAGTTTAGTAAAGAAAAGAGAATCACCTGTATACAGTGGCATCCATCAATTAAAGGTACGTCTCTCTCTCTGTCACTGTCACTGTCCTCCCCACCTGTATACAGTGGCATCCATCAATTAAAGATACGTCTGTTTCTCTCTCTTATCTCTATCTCTCAGGGGTTTTGGATGGCCAGAGGGTTAGTGTGTGTGCCTTCTGTCATAAAATCTGTCATTGAGTCAGCTGGCGTGGTTCGATATAAGACTGGGTCATAGTCCTGCTGTCCAGGCAAAATTTCCCTCATAGCACACTGTATGGCGTATGCCTGTCTCCATTAGCCCAGTCAGAGTAGAACAGTAGGACGTTAAACCCCATTTCATTTTATTTCCAGTTTTATTCCACTGCAAGTAAGCAAATTATATGTTTTGTATATTTACCAGGTGTGGTGGCAGTAGCTGTAGCCCAACGTTTATCGTTTGATGAAAGAATCGACAACGCTAGTAAAATTATCATGAATCCATCTTTAATTCTAATCTGGAGTTTTGCAGACCCAATACATCCACAGGTTAGTACAATACATCCACAATTTAGTACAATATGATACATCCACAGGTCAGTACAATACACCCCCAGGTACGATACGATACATCCACAGGTCAGTATAAGTTAATTCTGTTATATATTTCTTGTCTTTCAGTTATTATTAGAAGCACCAGATGATATTTATAGTTTTCAATGGTGTCCGAGCGACCCAAACATCATAGTAGCTGGTTGCTATAATGGACAAGTAGTATTATGGGATATATCGACAGTAGCAGATCGACTCAAACAACGAGGTCAAAATAAAACTAAGAAAACCATGGTTTTAGTAAGTATTCTAAAAAATGAAATGAAATGAAATGGGGTTTTAACGTCCTACTGTTCTGCTCCAACTGGGCTGATAAAGACAGGCATACGCCATACAGTGTGCTATGAAGAGATGGGAGGGCCTGGCAAGGGACAACATATAGTCATTCAGATGGGCTGGGAAAACGAGGTCCTGTGTACACATCGGCTTGCACGTAAAAGAACCCTTGACAGTTGGAATTTGAAATAAAGCATAGGCTGTAGTGCCGCTGTCTGGGCAAAATTTCTATTACACTACTTACAGCACACTGAATGGTTCATGCCTGTCTTCTTAAGCCCAGTCAGTGCTAAACAGTAAGTTGTTAAACACAATTTCATTTCAAGTTAAAAGAACTTTAGATCAGTTTTTAACTGCCTGTTGTTAACGCCATACAGGTCCTAATTGTTGCTCACAGGGTCAAACTTATTTTCTTATGTAATTCTTATTTATTTCTTGTTTTTGTATTTTTCAGCCTGGTTTTGAAGATCCGAATGCCCTGAAGACACCAGTAGTTCGTTATTGTGCTGTGTCTAGTATTGAACACAGTCATAAAGCTAGAATAACAGATATACAATGGATACCAGATCATATGGAGGTTAGTTCTATTTATAGACTGACGGGTATGGGGATTACCCAGGATTTCCCAGCGTGGTTAGGGGGGCTGGATGGCCGAATGGTTAGCACGTGCACGTTGTATCATGAGGTCTGTCCTTGAGTCAACTGGCGGGGTTTTGATTCCCCAGTTGTACGTGACAAGGAGTAGGGTCGTCCGTCCAATTTCGTAGGTTTTCTCCGGGTTCTCCAGTTTTCTCCCACTGCTAAAGACTCCTATGCGCAAACAAATTATTGAAATAAAATTGAACCTTATGTTAGTCCTGAAATGACCTAGTTCATGTCGAGAGGACGTTAAACCCTATTCCTGTCTCTGTCCCTGACGTGGTTTCGCCCATATCAGTGGTGTAGCAAGGAGGGCTGGTCTGTCTGTCTCCCCGACATGGTTTCGCCCATATCAGTGGTGTAGCAAGGAGGGCTGGTCTGTCCTTCCATTCTGGTTTTCTTTTAAAGATATATTTATGAAGCTTTATCTTTATGCATACATCAAACTGTTAAAGTCGTGGTGCCTTTTGCTAATTAGAACTTTCGAAGATTTAATATTTTTTGTGTTTCTATGGAAACAAATGGGTAGTTTTTGGGTAGTTGATGATTTGAGTTTTGTTGTGTTTACAGATTAATAAATTAGGAGAACCAAAGGAAAATAGAAATAATCATTGTGTACAAATAATGACTTGTGCTGCGGACCAGTAAGTTAAACAATTATTTCTATATAGATTCGGGGATCGGATGGTCGAATGGTTAGCATGTGCGCGCTGTATCACAAGGTCTGTCATTGAGTCAACTGGCGTGGTTTTGATTCCCTGGTTGTATGTGACCTTGCGAGTTTTCTCTGGTTTCCTCCCCCTGCTAAAGACCCCTACGCGCAAGTAAATTAATGAAATAAAATTGAACCATGTTAGTCCCAAAATGACCTAGTTTGTAGAGAGATATCGTCTACTGGACACAAGGTCATCTTGGGACTACATACTAACATGGTTCAGTTTGATTTCAATAATTTGCTTGCATGTAGGAATGTTTAGCCATGGGAGGAAATCAGAGGACCTGCAGAAAACCCCCGAGGTTGGACCACATACAAGCTTGAGATGGAAACCACACCATTTGACTCAATGACAGGTCTTGTGATCTACAGTGCTGGAATTAAACTGTTTTTTATACACATACATAAAAGTGTAATTGTATATTTTTGTCGCCCTCATAGAATGACATAGAATCTTGTCAATTTACCGATGATATACAGTATATAGATGGTGGTTTTTTTATTCACAATGTAACCAAATTATGAGCTGCGTAGATGACTTAGATAATGTGGGCTCATGTTTTTTGACTGACACCCAGTGTTTTTTTGACTGCTGTATCATCAAATTTAGAATTCATCAGTGATGAAAAAATTGCTTTCAAGAGAAAAATGTAATTTTCATTTGTATTTCAGTTGTGTTTTAATCTGGGACACCCGACCGATGAAAGTTTTACAAACGAAAGACGATGATAAAGGTCCGAAGAATCCAATGGGTGTCCCCAATACATTTAGACATCTTGACTTAACGTGGAAACCACTTTTAAAGGTTAGTCACCTTCCGTATCAATATTACTAATAGGTATAAATCGTACAAATTATAGAAAATGGCAATCTGATTAAAACCCAGATCCTATTGCGTTTGGTTTTTTTATAGTTCAAAATTACGTTTTACTTGTCTTTACTACACTAGGATCTGGATGATGTGAGGGATTACCCAATAAAACGGTCTGTTGCAGCAAGTTTTTGGCTTAAGGTGCACAGAACTGTGGGTAAACCACTAGAAACGTCAACGCTGGTTGATTAATCAATGTCTGACGTCATAGGGTCAAAAGAAACTCGTATGACACCTGACGCAATCTCCCACTACAACCGGTCAGATCTTTATGTAGTGTAGGCCATCGAAAGAATAAAAAAAAAGAAACAAAATATAGATGTGTATTTTAATCAGATTGAATTCTGATATGACAACATCAGATGAGATAACGCTTGTAGTAGGAGGTTTATTCAATCAGTGGTTGTTAATTGTGATATAACAACATCAGATGAGATAACGCTTGTAGTATGACGTTTATTCGATCAGTGGTTGTTAATTGTGATATAACAACATCAGATGAGATAACGCTTGTTGTATGAGGTTTATTCGATCAGTGGTTGTTAATTGTGATATAACAACATCAGATGAGATAACGCTTGTTGTATGAGGTTTATTCGATCAGTGGTTGTTAATTGTGATATAACAACATCAGATGAGATAACGCTTGTTGTAGGAGGTTTTGGATAAACTTACTCTGAAATGCCAAAAGATAAAATCTATCAACTTTGCTGTAAAACTTGGTTGTGAATACCCAGTCAGTGTAGAAAAGTAGGACATTTAAACCCCATTTCATTTGTTTGTGAATGGGGGGGTTGGATGGCCGAATGGTTAGCATGTGCGCGCTGTAGCATAAGGCCTCCTGCCAAGGAGTCAACTGGCGTGGTTTCGAATCCCGGGTTGTACTTGACAAGGAGTAGGGTCACCTGTCCAACCTCGTGGGTTTTCTCCAGGTCCTCTGGTTTCCCCCTACTGCTAAAGACCCCGACGTGCAAGCAAATTATTGAAATAAAATTAAACCATATGTTAGTCCCGAAATGACCTAGTTTGTGTCGAGTGGATGTTAAATCCCATTTCTCTCTCTCTCTCTTTCGTTTGTGTATGAAATACTGATCAATTTGTTTATCGGTCTTATACTTGACTGACAATCCATGTATTATTATACTTGACTGACAATCCATGTATTATTATACTTGACTGACAATGTATTATTAAATGAGTTATATTCTATTTATAGGTTCAGTTACACAAGTCAGAGCCTGGTGGTGATCATAGTCCTATCAAATTTACTATACAAGAAAAACAGGGGCGAAAACGTAAGTTCAAATTTAGTTTATTTTAAATATATGAAATAAAATGGGGTTTAACATCCTACTTTTCTGCTACAACTAGGCTAAAGAAGACAGGCATATGCCATAAAGTGTGCTATGAGGGAAATTTTGCACAGTCAGTGGCTCTACAGCCTACTCCAATTTCGAATTTGAACTGTCAAGAGTTCTTTTACATGCACGCCAATGTGTACACGAGAAATTGGTTTCTCGTCCCATCCGAACGACTAAACACTGTTTGTGACCAGGTCATCTGTCCTGCACGACTAACAAGGGGAAACCACACAGGAATATATTGTTAAACTGTCTAGACCAGTGGTTCTCTACCTGTTTTTGCCAACGGCACGCCTTGCAACACATGAAAAAATAGAAGCACACCTGACTAAATATATATGAAAAATATTTGAATTTTGCAAATTAAAAACATGGTAAGTCAGATGGCATACAGCCGTAGACAGAGGCTAGTCATAGACACATAGAATGACTCAAACTAAATAAAGAAAAACACAGCCATGAACTTACCAGTAGACATCAGTGAATAATCAATTGGTATCACATGGTTTTCGCATTTTCTTGGTGTGCCGTTCAAATATTCCTGGAACACTTAGGAAGATCTTGTGGCACACTGGTCTTGACCAACACATACATGTAGTAGAAGCAGCAACATTCTGTATGTTGTATATTTTACAGCCAATAAAGGTGGAGATTTAACAGAAAAAGAATCGAATCTGTCCGGTGGATTCTCCTACAGTAAACCGTCGTCAGGAAAAGAAAAGAAAACGTTACAAGATGTCAAAACACATTTCTACGTCGGAACTGAGGTAAGTTGTGATGTTTTAATATCGCGGGGCCCTGGTAGTCGAAACTAAGGTTAGCTGTGATGTTTTAATATCAGGGGTCAACCAAGGTAGTCGGTACCGAGGTTAGTTGTAATGTTTTAATATCAGGGGGCCATGGTAGTCGAAACTGAGGTTAGTTATGTTTTAATAATGCTGGGCCACGGTAGTCGAGCAGTGAGGTTGGTTGTGATGTTTTAATATCGTCGGGCAATGAGGTTAGTTGTAATGTTTTAATATCACGGGTCCAAGGTAGTTGATAGCGAGGTTAGTTGTGATGTTTTAGTATCACACGACATTAGTTTCTTGTTATACACAGATTGTGAACCATGATGAAAACTTTTAAAAGAATGAAATTTTGATGAATGCTGATTATTTTTACAGGATGGGGAAGTTGTGTTTGTTGATTGGATGCCACAGAAAGATCAAGATACAGGAAAAATACAGAGTAAGGATATAAACACACACAATGGCCTTGTTTTACAGTGTCCTTGTTTTACACACACACAGTGTCCTTGTTTTACACACACAATGTCCTTGTTTTACACATCGTCCGGCTTTTACACACACACAATGTCCTTCTTTTACACACACACACAATGTCCTTCTTTATGCATGTTATTTTTTAAAATGGATTTTAATGTCCTAATGTTCTGCACCAGGCTGAATAAGACAGATGTATGAGGGAAAGAACGGGTTAATGTGTGCGCTTTAGATCATAAGGTCTGTCATTGAGTCAACTAGCAAGGTTTCGTTTTCTCACTTGTACATTACATGACAAGGAGTAGGGTTGCCTTTCAAATCTCTTCGGTCTCCTTCCACTGCTAAACGTGACAAGGAGTAGGGTCGTCTGGTCAACCTCATGGGTTTTCTCCGGGTCCTCCGGTTTCCTCCCACAGCTAAAGACCCCTACACGCGAGCAAATTATTGAAATAAAATTAAACCATATGTTAGTCCCGAAATGACCTAGTTTGTGTCGAGTGGACGTTAAACCCCATTTCTCTCTCTCTCTCCACTGCTAAAACACCCTACGCGCAATCAAATTATTGAGGTAAAATTGAACGATATATTAGTCCCAAAATGACTAGTTTGTGTTAAATGGACGTTAAGTGGTAAACCCATTTCTTCATACTAACAAAAACAAAATATATTGTACGTAATATTTGATTTTTGTTTCAGCTCCTAAACCTGACTACTACCATGCCCTACATGATGGTCCTGTCACTACGCTACAACGATCGCCTTTCTTTAAAGATATTGTTTTATCTGTGGGAGGTTGGACGTTGGCTTTATGGAAGGAAGGAGTCACGGTTTGTACCGTTTTTTATTAATTATTATTTCTTGCTCCACATTTCATCAAACTTATTGTATCAACATACAATCAGGAGGGGTGGATGGCCGAATGGTTAGCATGTGCGCATTGTATCATAAGGTCTGTGTCATTGAATGAACTGTATGTGACAAGGAGGGTCGCATGTCTAACCTCATGGGTTTTCTCCGGGTTCCCTGATTTCTTCCCACTGCTAAAGACACCTTCGGGCAAGTGAATTATTGAAATAAAATTGAACCATAATGTTAGTCCCGATTTGACCTAGTTTGTCGAGAGTGTAGGCTACACCGCATTTCGCTCTCTCTCTCTCTCTCTCTCTCTCAACATACAATCAGTGATATCTATGTCACATTAATTTAGTACAATAGGAATCGCCCTTGCAAACTATAAATATTGTGAAAGATGAATTTCTAAAACGAATATCATTACAACAATGGTTCAATTCCGTTCAGTATTGTGAGCGCTGAATCCCTAATTATTGGTCTAACAATGATTCAATTCCATTTAGGATTTACAAAGATATGTTGAATTGAAATCTCACCGATCTATGCTGTTACCTGCACCATTTTGTTGTGGGCAAATGGAATTGATAGGCCTATTTTAAATCCAAGCCGAGAGATTATCTGGTGTTGTTATTTTGATTTTGTTTTCTTAATTAAATGTTAATTAATCGAAGTACATATTAGTGGGAATTATGACGCATCGTTATTTTAACAAAGACGATTAACAATAGAATTCCAAATTTCATTTTTTTCTCAAGATCAAAGTGGAAGCCACTATCTTAGTCATTCAGCAGATCTTGCCATATTTACAAAGTTATCATTTAATATGATTACAAAATTTGAAATGTGTTTTCTGTTTTCAGTCTGGTCCTATTTTACATTCGTGTGCTGATTCTGTGAAACTAACCGGTGGTCACTGGTCTCCATCTCGACCTGGCGTGTTTTTTATAGCTAAATCTGACGGTAATGTTGATGTGTGGGATTTATTAGATAAAACTCACGAAGCCTCCATGTCACAGAGCATCTCTGGTGCTGCTATAACAACACTTTATCCTCATCAAGTCACACGTAAGTAATAATAACTGTTATCTGTATGTTTAGAAATTAGAAAACTCACAACTATCCTCCACCTCTACACCTCTTCCAACCGAACCGAGCACCCCGCAGCTCTCCCTACCCTCCCCTACATCTCTTCCAACCCAACCAAGCACCGTGCAGCTCTCCCAACCCAACCGAGCACCCTTTAGGTCTCCATACCCTCCCCTACACCTCTCCCAACCCAACCGAGCACCCTGCAACCCTCCCCTACACCTCTCCCAATCCAACCGTTTGAATATATCACCGTTGAGTTGGAATTTCGTGAAAATCAGACCAAAACTGTCAGACAAAATGGCCACCCCTCGTACGCAAATATCAAGGTTGTGGACCCTCTAGAGTCCACAATTTTGATCTGAGTTTGATGAAACTTGAAATGCATGTTTATAACCCAAAGATCTTGGTTCCTTTTGGTATTTGTGCATATCACATCGTAACTTCCAGAATTATGATCCTTGATTGTACGAAAAATCACATTTTTAGCTTGTCACAATTTTTATCTGATTGAAAAACGTTTGAATATATCACCATTACGCCCTAATAATAATAATAATGGCTGAATTCAAATTTCGTGAAAATGGGACCAATACTGCTGGACAAATGGCCACCCCTCATACGCAAATTGTGTAAATATATGGTACATCAAGGTTGTGGACCCTCTACAAGTCACAATTTTGATTCAATTTTGATGAAACTTGAAATATATCTTTATAACCCAAAGTTCTTGGTACCTGTCGATATTCACCCTTATCGGATAATAACGTCCTGAATTATAGCAAAAAATCGCTTTTTGTTTAGCTTGTTCTGTATCCATCTCTTGCAAAATGTGGGCGTATCCTGCCTGGCAGCTGTTGGTGTTTATATGACAGGTTTTGTATTATTGTAGAGAAACAACAGTTACTGGCAGTAGGAGATAACTCTGGTACCCTTCATATACTAGAAATACCCTGGAGTCTTCGTCACCCAACAAATAATGAGGTAAAAATATATAAACTTTTCCTTGCATGTGTGAAATGAAATGAAATGGGGTTTTAAGTTCTCTGTAGTGTATCTCTGGTAACCACACCTGAAATTCCTGAAGAAATTTTTCGGTCGACACCAGGAGCAAACCAAAATCCTCCAGGTTAACGAACCAGCGTCTTACTCTTTAAACCAATGTTTGTGTAACTGGGGGATTTGGGGACTCGTGACTAGAATATCCTGGGTTCAACTTCCTAGCATTACACACAATGGTTGCATTGGTTAATTTTATTGTAATATCATTTCATAGGTTAATAATATCATTGCATTGGTTAATTTTATCGTAATATTATTTCATTGGTTAATTTTATTGTAACATCATTTCATTGGTTTATTTTATCATAACATCCTTTCATTAGTTTATTTTATTGTAACATCATTTCATTGGTTAATACTATAACATCATTTCATTGGTTAATATTATCGTAATATTATTTCATTGGTTAATTTTATTGTAACATCATTTCATTGGTTTATTTTATTTTAACTTCATTTCATTGGTTTATTTTATTGTAACATCATTTCATTGGTTAATATTGTGTTATTATTTGCAGTATAATGGGGTACATAATTATTTTGATCGGGAAATCAAGAGAAGAACGTTTGTCGTGGAAAGATGGGATTTTAGAGAGAAAGAAAAGAGAGAGTTGGAGGCCGAAGCCAAACGTAAAGCCGGAGTAAGATTCGTCTATTTTGGTTTCGTTTTTTACATCCAGATATAAATCAAAGGAATTCAAGCAAATAATAATACAGTAAAATCTGTTCAAGCAGCCACTCCTTTTCATAATACAGTAAAATCTGTTCAAGCAGCCACGCCCTGTCATAATCAAAATTGAATGATCAGCTTTAAACTGGACACAAGTACAAATTAGATGATTTGGGATGATTTTTAGAAATTTTTAAAACAAGGTGTTGATATTAAACGAATGCGAAAGAAATTAGTGCTAAATACACAAGATTAAATGTTACCTGGGTTACAGTGTTGGGTTAAACCTTCTGATGGACCTCTCTGACAGTAATGGGATTTCTAAAAAAATTTCTTGTCAGACATTTTTACTGAAAATAAAGGGACATAACTCTTATCGTTATTTAAGCAGGCGGTTTCAGACCACAATTAAAAATCATGCATCAACAAAATATTCAAATTCGTACGTAATAAAAAAAATAGGTGCTGCTTGTTATTTTTCATATTTAATTACCGTACAGGTATTCAAATTTATGTCAGTAATATTTCTACAAAATTCTGTGTTTCTGATGTTATTGTTGTATTGATATTTCAGATTGCACCGAACGTTGTTTTAACCATGTGTCTGTGATGTTATTGTTGTATTGATATTTCAGATAGCACCTAACGTTGTTTTAACTGACGAAGAAATAGAAATAAAACAGAAGATAGAATATCAGGCCTATTTAGACGAGGAATCTTCGTTTCTCCGAGAGCTTGGATTAAAGGATGATTCGGAACCGTTACCTGAAGTTTAACAATGCCAAGTATTTTCCAGTAATAATATTTCTCTGATCGGAAAAGAATTTCACATCGGGCAGTTAATAAGAATAATGCTTGGTTTTTATTTGAAGGAATAAAACCACGCCCTCCGTCTTTACTTTATATATTTATTTTAAAATACTGTGATGGCCGAATACCTCCATACATTATGTAAAATATTTTTAAAAATAATCATCGGCCTACGAGTGATAAGAGAGCTCTAAATTTTTCAGTCCGATTTTATTGATACATATCGACCAAAAAATCTCTGATTATGTTACTGCCTGAAAATGTATTGGGGTTATTTTTTTTTTTTAATCCTTTAAATTTTAGTAAATGTAAATATTGACTACCCCAGGTCCTTGAAGTATATTACAGAAAGGTGATATAGTTCATATTGGTACATCCTTCCTTAAACCCCACCAAACAGCTCGAGAAGGGTTCAATTATAATCCTGAGATATTTGTCAGGACCGTAGCCGTGGGGTTGGTTGGCCCAACGGTTTAACGCATGTAATGAAATGAAATGGGGTTCAACGTCTTACTCCGACTGGGCTAATGAAGACAGATTTAACGCATGTGATTTTGATTTAGATATGCTCCGGCATTGAGTGAAGTGACATGTTTTCAATTCCCTGCTTGTTATACGTGACGAGGAATAGGGTCGTCTGTCCAACCTATATGTTAGTCCCGAAATGACCTAGTTTGTATAGAGTGGATTACAATCTATAAGTATTTTAAGTTTGATCATATTGTAATTATCATGTTTGTTATTGTATTTACATTATTAATATTTGTTATTTATTTCCTCAACATAAAAAAATGTGAAAAAAAAAATGAATATTTAAATAAAATACATGTATACATTATGTTGTGGTTTCTATATTGAATCAAGAGCCCCTGTGACTCTGTGAGTAAGGCAAACTTTTCTTTGTATGCCCATTTCCATAGAGCCATATGTTAGTCCCAAAATGACCTAGTTGTGGACTTTCCAACCCCATTTCTCTCTCTTATAGGGAAGCTGTCTGGAATAATCCCACTGGTCATTGCCACAAGGTTGCTGCCTTTCCAGTTTGTCATCATCTAACTAGGTCCATCCATTTAATAAATGAAGATGGGGCATACACCATGCTATGAGGGAAATTTTGGTCGGACAGCAGCGCTATACACTACTCATATCAAATTATAACTGTCAAAGATTCTTTTATGTGGACGCCAATGTGTACACGGGACCTTAGGTTTTTCATCCAAATGACTAGACAGCTGTCCTTGACAGGTCCTCCATCCTGCAACACTAACAAGGGGAAACCATGCTGGAAAATTCTGGAGAACTTTCTCAACCAATACCTGGATCAAACCCCTGACCTCCTGGTCACTGCGGCTCTCTGCCGGGTTTGAACCCCTGACCTCCTGGTCACTGTGGCTCTCTCCCGGGTTTGAACCCCTGACCCCCTGTCACTGCGGCTCTCTCCCGGGTTTGAACTCCTGACCCCCTGGTCACTGCAGCTCTCTCCTGGGTTTGAACCCCTGACCCCCTGGTCACTGCGGCTCTCTCCCGGGTTTGAACCCCTGAACCCCTGCAGCTCTCTCGCCTAATTAACATCTCCCCGAGATGTAGTGGAGTAAACAAAATAATTTATAAATCGAAACAAAATGTTGATATGATCTTAATTAAAGTAGCGAAGTCCTTGACATTGAAAACACAAATTATTTGTCAATTTAAATCAACATTGATGTTGTGTTCTTACCGGGGAAATAATAGGCTTCTAATATACAATATTTAAGACAATATAAACATTTTACCATTGGTACACAAATCGTTTCAGCGCCTTTTGTAACAAGGGACTTGAGGAACAAGGCTAGACATATTCCGCAAGTCATCTGTTGAGCATGCACAATAAATACTATCGGTGTAGACTGGAATAATTAGATGCTAGTGATTGCCATTCGATTGAGACTTCTGCTGTATTTCGCCGAACATAACTAATTAGAAATTACAGTAAAAACAGAAACGATTGAATGTAAAATCAGTTTATATACATTCATATTACATTATTATATGCTACCCATTTGTGTCAATTTCTAGGTCCCAAATATTAGCAATTTATCTACTTTAAACTCTGTCTTTTATGTCTGCTAAAAAAACTGCAGCCACATTTTATTGTAAATTTATAAGAAATAAAACAAACTGCCACTCTTGAGAAAAGACAACCCATTTAGAGAAAGGTATGTGGAATTGTATGAATTTATTTTACAATAATGTGATTTTACAATATTTTCATGATTTGTGTAAAACACAGTTGAGAGAGAGGGGAACTCGGTGGTATCCACCACTAAAGGCTTGCACACTCATGTAAACATTACACATAACACAAAGCACTCTCGCTTCAGACAACATATCATAGTTATAATGGACAAGCAGGGTTGATGAGGTCAAGTGAAAATCTCATGCTTTTGGTACTATTTCATAAATGTACACATGTAACACAAACCACAAGGGGTTCACATCACTCTCAGGGAGTGGGCCTATTGCTTCAGATAACACATCCTAGACATAATGGACAATCAGGGCACGTTTTTGGTACTATTTGATAAATGTAAACATTACACTTCCTAAAACTCAAAACTTTCATCACTCTCAGGATGGGGGGGGGGGGGGGGAGGAGGCGGCTTCAGACAAGACATCATGAACAATCTGTGAGGCTGTATTATTTACAGCAGACAAATAATCTCTTGTGTGTGTCACAGACCAAAATGATCAGGTTGTAGCAATAACCAGTCCACCATTAACTGTTCATGTTCTAAAAGTTTTATAACAGTTCATTCACACAGAGTGCTCGATTAAATCTGCACAGGAATTGATGATGTAATGAACAATTAAATCTGCACATAATCTGATGATGTAATAAATAATTAATCCCGGTCTCTCTCACGTTCTCCTCGATCTCTGTCTTTCTTTTTTTCACTACCTGATTCATTAGATTTCTTGGAAGCTGAAAAATCAAAAACGACATTAAATTAAATCTTGGTTATAGAAAGGATATTCTAGTACAATGTCAAAGATTGTGTGTATGACAGACCACGATCGTGTGTATGACAGACCAAGATAGTGTGTATGACAAACCAAGATTGTATGTATGACAGACCAAGATCGTGTGTATGACAGATCACGATCGTGTGTATAAATTTGGCACCATGAAACATCTGTACATCTTCATTAGCTTGGGTAGTGTAGAAAAGTGAGACATTTAACGCCCTCCTCAGTTGTCCTAGACCCCCAGCCCCACCCCCTCCCGCAATAAATGAACAAACCTTTGTCACAAAAACAATCCAACTACTTACTATCTCTCATTTCGTCTCGGGCTCTCATTCTTTGAACGTAACCCTTCGATTTATTTTTACGGAAAGCTTCAAATGGATCTGCATGGTCGTTTAGTCCAATGCCTTTAAATTGGTCCTGTTTCTCCCGGACCTCAGCAGCTTCTACTGGATCCAGTCGACCTTGTTCTGCTAAACCCAGGCCTTTTCCTCCCCATCCTGTAACACAAACAGATATTTATAAACACAAACGTAGAATTATCATAAACCAGTCCTTTACGTTAAAGGTGTGTCTCTTGACGCACCTCGATTTTACTTTGGGGGAATCATTAAAGACTCCTGCAAATTAGCTAAATCACTCTCCAAAATATTAAGATTAATAAACTACTTTCAGTTTTTGTTTATTTTTAAACTGCATATGTTTGAGTTATCAACGTTTCCATGACAATTCACCAAATATATCGACTCTCTCTTTTATTCTGATATCAAATGCCAATGTAAGGCTTGTTTTAATTGGATAGAAGTCTGTGATCAGCCAATAGAATACGATATTATTACTTGATAGCCTCGTATGTCGCTGGATGTTAATGGGAAATGACCGTGAGACTGATAGAATGTCTGAATCTACGTTGTTTTTACGGTCCATGTTTTTATTATTTACCGATTGTCTCATTGCGGTGATTATTGGTACCAGTATGTCTGGAGATGTATACGACAGGGCAGACAAAAATAATTGCATAAAATTAGTTTGTTCCGAGTATCATAAGGTCTGTCATTGAGACAACTGGCGTAGTTTCAATTCCCCAGTTGAATGTGACAAGTAGGGTCGCCTGTCCATCCTCGTGGGTTTTCTTCGGGCCATCCAGTTTCCTCCCACTGCTAAAGACCCCTATGCACAAGGGAATTATTGAAATAAAATTGAACTAATGTGTGCAATGATTGTTTATTATCCTAACAACGGTACTTGCTATTCGAGACTTAGCCTTTTAAATTAAATCATTAAATGGCCAAACCATTCTAATCAACTTCAAATCAGAGCCATCGATGCCCTAGAGAGTTGATTATGGTCTTTTCGTGTAAATAAATGTCTAATTAATAATCTATATAACATATGAAGCCAAAATAAAGACCTACAATAGGTAGATTTATCTCTTACATAATAAAATATTTTTAATAATACCTACCCATTTTCAACATAAGTTGATGACCTTTATTACTATGACCTAGAGGAGATTCTACAGGAGGTGCTTGACCAAAACCCCTGAAATATATAAAGAGTTCAAATTTCAGTATCACAATTTTCAAAAATTTTTGCCAGTCAATCAATTTTTGACGTAATTTGGGTCACTAACCAGGAGGTTAGGAGTGTTAGGAGTTTGATCCCTACGTTGCTCGAGAAAGTTCCACACGATTTCCCAGTGTTGTTTCACCCAGTGGTGCTAGATGGAGGGTCTGACAAGGACAGTGTCTAGTCATTCTGATGGGACAAAAAAACTGAGATCATGTGTACACGCACTTCAAAGGACCCTTGCTAGTTGGAATTTGATGAAAGCTGTAGTGTCGCTGTCCAGGCAAAATTCCCCTAATAGAACACTGTAGATAAAGCTGTGAAAACCCAGATATTGTTCAAAACATGCAGATGACAATCAGTGACTTTAGATATGTAAATCACAAACCAAAATGCGCACCTGGCTCGGATAGTACGAAAAACAAGATCCCATCTACACTTTGGCTTTCACATAAAAGGAAACTTGAATGTAGAATTCAAATAAGAAAAGGCCCATGTACACCTTGGCCTACACATAAAAGAAGAGAAAGTCATAGCGCCACTGTCCTGGCAAATTTCCCTCATACAACACTGTATGGTGTATGCCAGTGGTTCTCAACCTTTTTTTGCCAACAGCACACCTTGGAATACATGAAAAAATAGCGGCACACCTGGCTAAATATCTATGAAAAATATTTGAATTTTGCAAAATAAAAACATGGCAAGTCATATACGGCATAGATCCGTAGACAGAGACGAGTCATGGACACATAGAATGACTCAAACTAAATAGAGAAAAACACAGCTATGAAGTTACCAGTAGACATCAGTGAATACTCATTTGGGGTCACATGGTTTTTCACATTTTCTTAGCGTGCCGTTCAAAATTTCGCGGCACACTTGGAAGATCTCGTGGCACACCTGTGTGCCGTGGCACACTGGTTGAGAATCACTGGTGTATGTCCATCTTTGTTAGCCCAGTCAGTGCAGAAAAGTAGGACCTTAAACCCCATTTCATATCATTTGGTAAAAGCTGCAATCTGTGCTATTTTCATAGTCCATTAATGGCTTTAAAATCGTAATTTTGATTTATTTTCAGTTGACTCAACTTACAACATAGGTGCTGGAGGCGTGGGGCTCCGTGATATCGACTTCTTCATTCGTACTGGAGACGGAGATCTACTACTTGGTTGATATGGTAACGGTGAATTGTCCATACGTCCTGCTCCTGCTCCTGAAACTCGTCTTTTAGGTGACGGTGACCGTTCCAAAGATCTTTCTCTCCTTCTCTCTACTGACCTTGACCTTTCTCTAGACCTTGACCTCTCTCTAGACCTTGACCTTTCTCTAGAGGGCGATCTATTATATCTGACTCTTTCCCTGGACCTATAATACAAGAATCATAAACATCAGATATTACGTATTTTAAAATCTTGAAATCAGTTCACATTAATTCTTGAAAGATGTTTCTGATATACACAGGGGTTTGGGTGGTCGATTGGTTTAATATGTTAGTTTCGAAATCATCTAATTTGTGTCAAGTGGACGTTAAACCCCATTTCTCTCTCTGATATACACTATAAGACACGGAATTGAAGTATAGCAGAGCATGTTTACTTAGTTGACGTAATATTAATAAGTTTCACTGAGCCACAGTGGTTCAATGAGTAAGATGACTCGCTAACATGGAGGTCCTATGTTAAGATCCCTGCGTTAGCTGAGAGTGGACCGGAGTGCTGTGGTCAAGGAAATATTTCCCTCAAATCACCATGCCAGTCTTAGCCCTACTGGTGCAGAAAGGTACGACATTAAAACCCATGTCAGTTCATTATCCTTAATTCCGGCATGTTGGATGCATTATGTAAGATTTAAATAAAGCGCTGACAGTTCCCGTTACAAAACAGATAATGAAATATGAATATATTGAAAATTGCAGTTAAATTACTTTATTCTGAGTGAAGTTACGACTGTTTGAACTTTTAATAAGAAAAGCGTAGTCTTGATTTTCATTGCTACCATTGTTAAGATATTGATAACTGACAAAATCTCAGTTATCGATTTTTAAAGCAAATCGTTAAAAAGCGATCATATTTAAATCCATTAAGAACCACGATGATCTAGAGTGTTAATTATGGGCTTGTCATGTGAATAAATATCTAATTAATAATTTATATAACATTTGAGGGAAAAAAAGACCTGCAATAGGCAGATTTAGCTCATGAATATTGCATGCTTCATACAGAACAATATCTGTTTTATATCTTGTAGATGTTTACCTTGATCGACTTCTTCCATCACGATATCGTCTACGAGGCGGTGGAATGGGAGATCTTGACCTTGACCTTACTCTCATTGGAGGCGAAGGAACGTGTTTTGGATAAGGTGGTGACCTTGAACGACCTCGTGGTTGCATTCGACTCCATCTTTGCATTTCAGCATCTCTGTCTTCTTTTATTTTTTTGCATCGTTGCTTTGCTTTAAAGAATTCATACAGACCAAGTTTCTCCCACCCATCACTAAAATATAATCAATAATCAATCAATATAATCAATAACCAATCAATATAATCAATAATCAATCAATAACCAATCAATTCAATATTTTATCTTAACCTAAATCACACATTGACACATCCAACACACTACACCATATACATATAAACACCACACCTAGCAACATACCATACTGCACCTATAGTGACAAACCAGGCAGCACCACACCACACCACTCATAGTGAGAAACCTGACATAGCACCACACCACACCACACCATGTGAGAAACCAGACATAGCAACACACCTACAAAACCAACACACCACACCTCGTGACAAACAGACATAGCAACACATCACACCACACCTAGTGACAAACCAGATACAGCATCACACCACACCACACCTAGTGACAAACCAGATACAGCAACACACCACACCACACCTAGTGACAAACCAGATACAGCAACACACCATACCACACCTAGTAACAAACCAGATACAGCAACACACCACACCACATCTAGTGACAAACCAGGTACAGCAACACACCATACCACACCTAGTGACAAACCAGATACAACACACCACACCTAGTGACAAACCAGATACAGCATCACACCACACCTCGTGACAAACCAGGTACAGCAACACACCATACCACACCTAGTGACAAACCAGGTACACCACATACAAACATAAAAGAAATGAAAGATGAGAAATATTTTACGTGTCTCTGGGTCGATCGTGTGATGGTGGAGAGTAGAAGGCTTCTACAGCAGCTAATAATCTTTCTGTTGGTGGCATGGGTGGTGGAAGACGAATATCCCGTGGATCTAACGGCTTATATTCTGACTCTTCTAACTATAAAATAAAATATCATATAATATACAATCACAGGTCATAAATTATTTACCATAGAGAACTGCAGGATGTTACATAGTGTAAGAGACAGTAACATGTGTAATACAATCTCCACTGTTTCCTTTGATCACAATATTGTTTCCATTTCACAATGGTCAAGTACATAGTGTAAATACAGTAACATGTGTAATACAATCCCCGCTGTTTCCTTTGATCACAATATTGTTTCCATTTCACAATGGTCAATCTACTGCCATATAGAAATGGCCAAGTTAGAGAATTCGCTGACCGTTAATTACAATTGTCACCAACATCAATATGATCATAGTGAGAAAATCTATCAATGACAGCTGATTCATTGTGTAGTTTCTTTTATTCAATATCAATAATATATGTATATGTATAAGTATTAGCTGAGGTTTTTGATACAAATGAGTTGAGCTTGGAAGCTCACCAGAGAAGGGTCTCTCTATTTCTAGTATTTTAATACTGTTGTATATATGCTAGAATAAATTAATGTTGAATCCAGATCGTGTTCTACTGGAGTGCAACTGATTTATTTTAAACCACGGCTTTAACGTTGAAATATTGATAGCTGATCAATATTACGTTAAAGCTTTACGCTCTTTAAAACTACTACTATGAGTGTTTATAACCCTAACCCCTTCGAATAAGTAAATAAAACTTGACTCTACCTGGACTAATGGTGCCATTAAACCTGCGGGTAATTCATAGTAAGGTACCGATGGTGTTAGATCCATGTCTAATGGTAATGGTGGACCAGGTGGACCAGGTGGGCCAGATGGGCCAGGTGGCCCAGGGGGACCTGGATGTCCTTGTTGAGCATGTGGTCCCGGTTGTCCATGGGGTCCATGCTGACCATGTTGACCAGGCGGACCAGGTGGACCTTGTGGACCCTGTGAGAACCCTGGAGGTGGTCGACTTAGATCTGGAACAAATTGAGGCATCTGTCCTGGAGGTCCTGAACCAGGTGCTGAAGCAGCACCTCCTGGTTGGAAACCTATAAAAGTTCAATATACATCATTAGTGACAAAATAGATTTTATACTGCTGTCCCGGCCCTTTACAATATACGTATCGTACAATTACAGTTCTTATGAATAAGAAACAAGCTAAACTTCAATACTCTGATGCCTCAAGTTCATGTTCTGGCTAATCCATAATTTGTTGTTTATTTTAAACTTGTAGCCGGGAGGTTGGATGGTCAATGGTTACCTGTATCATACGGTCTGTCATTGAGTCAACTGGCGTGGTTTCGATTCCTCGGTTGTACGTGACAATGAGTAGGGTCGTCTGTCTAACCTTTTGGGTTTAACCGTTTACTTATTCATAAGAACTGTAATAGTGTGGCATGTATATTGTAAAGGGACACTACTGTAAAATTGACATAATGTGGCAAGTTTTACAAAAAGGATTGCTCAATTCTCTTCTTGAATCAACTGTTTATATAGTTCCTGAATAATATATTATGAAATACAGCACCAGATTTAGATGGAGAGCTGCACTAGTTTATTCCATTATGAGGCTCGTCCCAAACCTCCACCCTCACGAATAGAGGGCAGCAGAAATATGGCTACTCTTATATCGAATTCCAACTGCCAAGGGACCATTAACATGCAGGCAAATGTGTACACGGGCCCTCGGTTTTCCGTCCTATCCAAACAACTAGACAGTTGTCCTTGTCAGGCCCTCCGTCCCGCATCACTGACAAGGGGAAACCACCTCGGAAAATCCTGATGAACTGAAAGATGACCTGACAATCTAAAGCGCATGTCACCCCCATCCCCTATTGATATAAGAAAATAGTATTTACCCGGGGGTGGGAAATCTGGTGGCGGCCGTGTAAAATCAGGTGGTGGTCGTGATAAATCTGGTGGAGGACCTAGTAGATGAGGAGGTGTTGGTGGAGGTTGGCTTGTTGGTGGAGCTTGACTAAATCTGCTGAACCTTCGTGGCTGACTCTACAAATATAAACAAATAATATAATGTGTAAACTGATTAAAATACACATCTATATTTCTTTTTGGTTTTTTTATACTTTCGATGGCCTACACTACATGAAGATCTGACAAGTTATAGTGGAAGGTCGTGTCAGGGGTCATACGAGCTGCTTTTGACCCTATGACATCAGACATTGATTAATCAATCGGCGTTGACATTTCTAGGGGTTTACCCACAGTTTTGGCACCACACGCCAAGACCTTGCTGTAACAGACCATTTCATTGGCTAACTCCTCACATCAACTAGGATGCGTGTTATATAACATCTCTTTCAGATCCTAGTGTTGTGAAGACAAGTAAAATGAAATTTTGAACTATAAAAAAACGAAACGAAATAGGATCTGTGTTTTAATAAGATTGATGTAGGAAATGAGATGGGGTTGTTTAAGGTATGTGAACTACTTTTCTGCACCGACTGGGCTAATGAAGACAGGACAGTGGCGCTATGGCTTTCTCTTATTTTGAATTTCTACTGTCAAAAGTTCTTTTGTGTGCAAGCCAAGGTGTACATCAGCCTTTTCTTATTTTGAATTTCTACTTTTAAGGGTTCTTTTATGTGCAAACCAAAGTGTAAAAGAGATGTCATTTTCTGTACTATCCAAAAGCCTAGACACTGTTTCTTGTCAGGTGAGATGTCCTGTAACAATTTGGTCTGTGATTTGCATGTTTTGAACAATATTTAGTTTCTCACATCTTTATCCATTCTAAAATCTACTCAATTTAATTATTTAACTTTTAATTAAGAAAATAAAATCAAAATATTCTGGCTTGTTTTCAATTAGATTAATAAAAATTCCCATCAAAATGTTGTGGGCTTGTTTTGATCATATTGTGCTTATATCATCTGCGTAAGGTGCCGAATCTTGACAAATTTTTAATTCATCATATCTTTGTAAATATTGAAAGGAATGGAACAATTTAGGAATTAAATATTATAAACGATTGAAGAAAATCACTCAATGACGATCAATGACTTAAACAGTGATATGTTACTTAGATAGCATAACAGAAGAGTTAACAATTTGATTAATACAACTGGGGAATCAAAACCACGCCAGTTGACTCAATGACAGACCTTTCGGCCATCGACCCCCCCCCCCCCAACCAATAGTATTTAGTCTAGGATGATAATTTTGGTGTATAACTGTATGTTTCATTATGTTGTGGAGTTCTTAGATGATAGTAAAATCCAAACTGGCAGACAATATGGTCCTTTAACTCGTTAGCAGCGGTTGAGGGGGATTATTTCACTAAACAAAATATTGGGTTTTGTGACCGGAGTATTATATTATTATTATGAATGCCTTACCATGGCTGTAGGAATCTGTTGGCCCTCTTCTATTTTATCTACTGGAGTTTTATCAGAGTTTGATGTCACCACAGAAATAGCCGACGGAGCCTGACCATTTAAACCCACTGTAATAATAATAATTTTAATATCAAATCCACTCAAATAATTTTAATACCAATGGTTGATCATAGATAGAGAGATTGAGGTTTAACATCCACTCAACACATAACTAGGTCATTTTGGGACTAACATATGGTTCAATTTTATTTCAATAATTCACTTGGGCATAGGGGTCTATAGCAGTGGGAGGAAATTGGAGGACACTGAAGAAACCCACGAGATTGGACAGGTGACCTACTCCTTGTCACGTACAACCAGGGAATCGAAACCATGACAGTTGACTCAATGACAGACCTTATGATACAACGCACACGCTACCCATTTGGCCATCAAACCCCCATCAATCGCAGGAAAGCTCCATGTCTGCAGTTTATTTAATACTTTCCGATTCAACTAAAATAATCATTTGAACATCAGAGTTTGATCATAGCAAGTCCAATCGAAGGAATGCTACATATCGGCAATTTATTTAATAGAGAGCCATTTTGGGACTAACATATGGTTCAAACGGTCTCTAGCTGTGGGAGGAAAACCACAAGGTTGGAATTAATGTCTGAAATCTTAAATAAATCTAAACGAAATTTACTTGAAGTTGGTGGTTGTTGGGCCTGTAGCTGGGCTTGAACCTGTGCCGCCTGAGCTGCTTGAGCCGCTTGTGCCTGAGCTGCTTGTGCCTGCGCTGCTTGTGCCTGCGCCTGTATTTGTGAAGCTTTCTGCTGTATTACAGACTGTAACTGCGACTGTGTCTGTTGAATCTGGCTGTGTAAATGAGTCACAAATTCTTGATGCTGATTTTGAAGCACTGCATATTGTTTTTGTACACTTGATGTTATGGGCGAGACATCGTCTGAGAATTCATTGATTAAATTGGCCTGAAATAAATAAAAATACAAGTTAGCTGTGTACAATCGCTCAATAACTTATTAGGGATTTGGGCTTTCAAAAGAAATAAAATATGGTTTAACCTGGGTTTTTAATCGATTTTGAAACGAACCGGCCAGAATTGGGTCAAGTCATCACGATAGTAAATAAGGTAATTATAAATTCCCTTTAATATAACCAGACTTCAACAAAAACAATTCTTGGTAAATGAAATAAATGGGGTTTAACGTCCTGCCGTTCTGCTCCGACTGATAATTCTTGGTAATTTGTTATGAAGAATGTCATACCACAAAAAATAACACGTCCTGTTGAAATGGGTTTCAATGGCTGCTCGACACAAGTTATATTTATAGCACGGCTTTCATGAGTTAACAGGTTTAACAACAGAGACCGAAGGCCGAGATGTTAAACCTATTGACGAATGAATCGTGCTATAAATGACTTATAACATTGACACCTGCTCAACATGCTTATTGTTATTGCACAGAAAACCCACCCCACTTCTCTATATGATTTCTACTAAAACTTGTGTAAACTAGCAAAAGTGTGCAATAACATTGAACATGTCTAGTTATTGCACGGTTAAGCTCCACCCAATGTACTAGAGGGAAAACAATCTGCTTATTCAACGAAAAGAACAAATGAAGATTTCCCATCCATGTTACAATCGAACTAGGACACTAGTTTAGAGCAGCTTCAGTGTAATATATTACCTTGTAATTTGCTAAAGTTGGAACAGGATTTTTTAATTGCTGAAAAAAAAAGAAGAGGTTTTAAAAGTTTTAAATGACAGATTTTTGAATTCAACATATCTTTGTAAATACTGAACGGATCTGAACCTTTTTTGGTCCGATATTTGTTTTAGAGATTGAACGTTCACTATATTGTAGTTTAAGTGTAGTTTAATGGTCGAATGCGAGACATTGCGTAATATATTGATTTTGCATTAAGTGTGACAGCACAAGGGCTATATCTATATATTACGCAATGTCTCGCATGAGACCATTAAACAATTTAAAATACAGACACTATTCAGCACTTGCATTTCAATGAAATACGTCACACGGGTCCAATATTTCAACTAGTATAAATAATGACATGTCAACATCAAAGGATGACGTGACATGTGTATTTTAAATGTGATTAACAATCACTGAAATCAGGTACACCTACCTCAATTATTTCTAGATTAAAGTAATGATGTCTTTCCCACAGATTCAGAAGCTATAAATACAATATAATCACTATTACTCTTTAACTGGCATTGAGAAACACATTAACAGAACACAATTTTTATGGGAAACAAGCAAAGTTTTATTCTAAAAGTACAACGATTCAACATGTATCCTCTTTGTGCTTGATAACGATAAGAGGATACTTGTCAAAACATTGTGCTTTTAGAATAAAACTAGCGATTTGTTTCCCATAAAAATTGTGTTGCGTTCACTATAATCAGTAGGTTATACATAGAAAAAAGAAAATTAAGTGTAACTCCCTACTGTTCGGCATCGAGTTGGTTAATAAAGATGCCCTTAAAAGGGGAAATTTTGCCAGACAGTGGGGCTACGCCTATTATTATATGGAATTCCAACTGAGAGCTACGGTGGCTCAGTGAGTAAGATGTCGGCTCGCTAACCTGGAGGTCCCGTGATTGCTGAGAAAGTTCATCAGGATGGTTTCCCCTTGTCAGTGGTCGTATGCGCGCTGTATCATTAAGTCTGTCATTGAGTCGACTGGCGTGGTTTCGAATCCCCGGTTGTACGTGACAAGGAGTAGGGTCGCCTGTCCAACCTCGTGGGTTTTCTCCGGGTCCTCTGGTTTCCTCCCACTGCTAAAGAACCCTACGTGCAAGCGAATTATGTAAATAAAATTAAACCATATGTTAGTCCCGAAATGACCTAGTTTGTGTCGAGTGGACGTTAAACTCTTAAACTCTCTCTCTCTCTCTCTCGTCAGTGGTGCAAACAGGCTTGTCTAGCCATGAAAAACTGAGGTCTGGTGTACACAATGGTTGCACGTAAAAGATCCATTGGTAGTTGGAATTCGATATAAGAGAAGGCCATAGTGAAGCTGCCCAGGCAAAATTTCTCTCATAGCACACTGTATGGCGTATGCCCGTAAACATTAGCCTGGTCGGAGTAGAACAGTAGGACATAAAACCCCATTTCATTTCATTTCAAATTCCAACTTTCAAGGGTTGTGGGAAATGTTCTCAACTTACACTGGGATCAATGCACGATCCTAGCTAACTAATTTAGCCACTGCAGCTCCTAAAATAAGAGTGAGAAATGTCAAAGTCAAAGTTGGCTTTTTATCTGATGTTAAGAGATCATTTGTAGAATCATTTGTATAATAATTTTACCTTCATGAGTTTTTCTCTGCCCTTGTCATCTGTTTCTGATATAGATGTAGTAAACGTTGGTAAAACTATTCTCTCTATCGATGATTTCAATTCACCGTTACCTTTCCTCATACTACAAATACAAAACACTCATTTACTACAAATACAAAACATTCATTTACTACAACCCTCCTTCATACTACAAATACAAAACATTCATTTACTACAAATATAAAACATTCATTCACTACAATTTACTTTGGCTTCAATATGTATGGTAAATAGACAGGAAGTATATAATGACCAATACATTCCGCTTTTAACAGGAGTTCAGGATTTATCATTTCTTAACAGCTTAATATTTTGATACAATAAACAGGCTATATAGTCACATTCTGGCATTTAAATTATAGTAAAATCTAGGACATCCCCTTGAAAGTAGAATAACTTACCAATGGTGTAATAAATCGTTCATCAGATATGTTAGATGAAGTCGTACTGAGAACTGACAATCAGGTGCTAGAATTCTGAAATACACAAGATAAATTAATATCTTAAACATACTTTATGGTTTAACTCTGTGGTGGTCGTTAATTCATGGATTTTGAATCCAATATTGCATATTACAAAAAGTACATGTAGTAATAGTTCAAATAGGCCTATGGTTGCTCAGTGAGTAAGAAATGAAATGAAATGGGGTTTAATGTCCTATTGTTTTGCTCTGAACTGGGCTAATGAAGACGGGCATACGCCATACAGTGTGCTATGAGAGAAATTTTGCCCGGACAGCAGCACTACGGCCTACTTTTATATCGAATTCCAACTGTCAAGGGATCTTTTACGTGCACGCCAATGTGCACACAGGACCTCGGTTTTTCGTATCATCCGAATGACTAGACAGCTGTCCTTGTCAGTCAGTGAGTAAGACGTTGGCTCCCTAAACTGGAGGTTCTGTGTTTGATCCGGGCATTAGCCAAGAAAGTTTATTGTGATTTTCCGGTGTGGGCGTGGCAGGGACAACGTATAGTCATTTGGATGAGATGAATAAATGAGGCCCCGTGTACACATTATAGTGTACATGTAAAAGATCCCTTGACAGTTTGGATTCGATATAAGAGTAGGCCATAGTGTTGCTGTTCGGGCAAAATTCCCCTCATAGCACGACACTGTATGGCATTTGTCCATCTTCATTAGGCCAGTTCGGAACAGAAGAGTAGGAAGTTAAACCCCATTTCATTTCATTTTAGTTCAAAAATGGTTCAATTCCTTTCAGCATTTACAAAGATATGATCAACTGAAAAATTTGTCAACATTTGGGAGTAAAGGTAATAAACTGGTGCTGACTGTAAGAGAATTATAACATCATAAACTGGAGTTGTATCCCTTGTATCATGTTATGGGGCCAACACAATATTCAAATAGCTTATATCTCTGTTGGTATCAGAAAGTCGACATGGTTACTGAGCACTAAAAATGAATTAAGCTTACCTATTTAGCATATATTGTGCGATTAATTCACAATGCTTGGCACTAATTCCTTTTTGCATTATCCAGTTCTTGCAATTCTAAAAGAAATAAAAGAAACCTATTTTGATCCCGATTGTTCCACCTGTTCGTATATATACAGGTAGATGTATACAGTATACCTGTTCGTATATATACAGGTATGTTTTAATCTGGTTGTATATTTAATCTAGTAGAACAGAGGTGGGGACTGAAGTTATGAGATATTGCGTGGTGTAAATTGCGTGTCTAACTAGTAATTACCTCATTATTACTGAGATCTGAGCATGACAGTCCTCAATACTTTTGTATTTGGTTAGTGCCAACAGACTTTATTTGGTAGTGTAAACAGGCTTTATTTGATAATGTAAATGGGCTTTATTTGTTAGTGTAAGCAGGCTTTATTTGATAATGTAAATGTGCTTTATTTGTTAGTGTAAATGGGCTTTAAATAAAGCATGTTTACACTAACAAAAACTTGTTAGTGTAAATGTGCTTTTTATCACATTTCGTTAGTGTGGTGATTTTTATCACTTTTTTGTTAGTGTAAATGTGAATTTTTATCACATTTTGTTAGTGTAAATTGTTATTTCTATCACTTTTTGTTAGTGTAAATTGTTATTATTATCACTTTTTGTTAGTGTAAATTGTTATTTCTATCACTTTTTGTTAGTGTAAATGAGGATTTATATCACATTTTGTTAGTGTAAATGAAATTTTTCATCACATTTTGTAAGTGTAAATGGGGATTTTTATCACATTTTTTCACATGTAAACGGTGGAGGGGTGAGGGGGGGGGGAATAACCTCGGACCTCTCTTTATCTAAGTGGAGCACTGTCTGTACTATATAAATATACATTACTTACTAATATTCCATCTTTGGTACATGAATCTATTATTGGTTGAACAGCTCTATCTAACTCATCAATCGCTACATCACATTCCATTGATAAACGTTGTAGTCGTGATTCTCTACCATTACGTATACATTGATCTATCTGGGGCTGTTTCAATAAAACAATCATTTTATTTAATTCTATTTATCAATTCAGTATTTAACGGAGATAAAGATGTTTATTTAGAATAAGAAATAAACTAAAATATAGGAATATTATTCTTTCTAGTAAATAAAGATGTGTTCCGGACATGATGGCGAATAGTCGAGAAATTAAGACTGACAAAGACTGAATTTTATAAATACATGTAGAATGATTACGTTCCTCAATCATCTGACCAGGGGAAGCCATAACTAGCCTTTATCCATCGAGTTTAAATCATCTACACGTTGCTAGTCTTGTCTGCAATTCCCAAACCTATAGTTACTTTATCTCACTTTAACACAGACACATGAACAGTAGCATCCAATCACAGGTTGTGACACAAACACACCCAAATCAAACATGGTCACCTCCACGGAAACCTTGACATTGAACGAACCTTGAACTTTGCAACTCGATTATCACAGGTAAACAATTTAAGCTGGAAAGCTCGAGACTTGGTATTCGCAATGATCGAGGCATCTGATAGGCTCCCCAGCTGGGTCAGTAGCCAATGGAAGTTAGTGGTGAAATATGCAGGGTATTACGTGAAGGGCTTGATAAGATATACGTAGTTAAAGCAAGATCAAGCCTTCTATTGAAGATATTTTCCATCAGGCTTTAAGCAAATCAGAGTTACCTACCCCTTGTAATTGAAGCATACTCTGATATTGAGCTGCCAGATTATTTTCACTCTGTCTCACACTTTCTTCCTTATTACTCTGTAGCTGACTCAAATTTTGCTGAATAGCTGAAATCTGTTGTTCCAGACTTCCACTAACTGGTTGACTTGTTGCAACATTAGTACCAGGGCCAGGGCCAGGGCTCGGACCAGGACCGAGATGCAGGACAGGTGGTGGCTGAGACATGGTTGTCACGGGAGGTGGTAAGCCAGAGGACTGTGATATCATATGCTGTATCACTGGTTGAGAGGGAGGTCCACCTGGTTGACCCCGCATCATACCTATACCAGGACCAGCACCACCTGGCAATGGTTGCCATGACTGCGTCTGGATCGCTTGTAATGATGGCTGTTGTTGCTGATGTTGATGTTGAACTGAAGGAGAGAGGAAAAACAAAATAAAATAATATACAGAACTAGGAGTTCTAGGTCAGTATTTCTTTAACATGGTCATGTGAGTAATCTAATATAATTAGTTATGTCTACCTTCATCAACAAACGGCATTCTATCAGATTTTATATCAGACATGTTGTAAAATCTTGATCAGAGTTGTCACGGGAGTCATATTCTGGCAGTGTAATTAAATTAAATGGGGGTTTAACATCCTACGAATTCAATCTGATTCAAACACAGATTCTGTTTCGTTTCATTTCTTATAGTTCAAAATTTTGTTTTACTTGTCTTTACTACACCAGGATATGGAAGATTTGTTACATAACCCGCGTTCTGGCTGATGTGAGGGATTAGCCAATGGAATCTGTTACGGTGAGTTTTCGGCATGAGCACAAAACTGTAGGTAACCCACTTGAAACATTAACGCTGATTGGTAAATCAAATTTCCGATGTCATAGGGTCAAAAGCCGCTTGTATGACGCCTGATGCGACCTTCCACTACAATCGGTCTGATCTTCATGTGGTGTAGGTCATCGAAAGAATAAAAATAACGAAACAAAATATAAATGTGTATTTTAATCAGATTGAATTGTGATATGACAACATCAGATGAGATAACGCTTGTTGTAGGAGGTTTATTCGATCAGTGGTTGTTAATTGTGATATAACAACATCAGATGAGATAACGCTTGTTGTTAATTAATTACAATAGTTTGATAAAACGCAAAAACATAATATGGAACACAATTATTATATTAAACATATATTATGCAAGAGCTAAATCTGACTATTGCAGGTCTTTCTTTAGGCCTTAAATGTTATATGAACTATTAATTAGACATTAATTAACAAGACCATAATCAAATTTTGATGGCATTGGATGTCTAGGATTTTAAGTAGATTAGAACGGTTAGGCCATGTAATGATTTAATTTTAAATGAAAAAACTAGGCGAGGCTAAGACTCGAATGACCAGTACTGTCAAAATAAAGTAATTTGAATGAAATTTTCAATATATTCATTTTTCATTATCTATTTTTGAAATATTATAGCAAAAACATCCAGCTCCTTAACTAAATCTTACATTATGTCCCTTTAATTAAAGCAATGATTCGTTGAGGATTGATAATGTTAAGAGATCCCTCAATGAAATGTCTCTTTGATCTCAACAGTAATAATAGTACTTGTGTCCCATATTATGTGTGTATATATGTGTGTCAATGTCGTTTAAAGAAGATACAGTGCTTTGGTTATAAGATATATAGCAGCCATTGTAAGTACAGCTTAACTGTGTTAAACATCAAACTCAGTTGAATTATTTAAAGAAAATTTGAAAGTTCATTTGTTTAATTTTGAAAATAAGTGATCAAGTTATTACAAGTAGTGTGTACAGAGTGGAAAGTGTACATGGATGGCAACTTGAGACTTGAGCATGAATTTGTGGATGGAACCAGTGAACATTATTATCATTTTTATATACATTACATGTAGACATTCAACCATGTTATAATATACACAGTGTAGACATTCAATCATGTTATAATATACACAGTGTAGACATTCAATCATGTTATAATATACACAATGTAGACATTCAATCGTGTTATAATATACACAATGTAGACATTCAACCATGTTATAATATACACAGTGTAGACATTTAACCCTGTTATAATATACACAATGTAGACATTCAATCATGTATAATATACACAATGTAGACATTCAATCATGTTATAATATACACAGTGTAGACATTCAATCATGTTATAATATACACAGTGTAGACAGTCAACCATGTTATGATATACACAGTGTAGACATTCAACCATGTTATAGTATACACAGCACAGACATTCATCCATGTTATAATATACACAGTGTAGACATTCAATCGTGTTATAATATACACAGCACAGACATTCAACCATGTTATAATATACACAGTGTAGACACCCCATCTATATACACAATTCATATACATGTACCTTCATTCAAATTAAAGAGGGAGAGACGAAACGCCCACTAGACACAAACTAGATCATTTCAGGAGAAACATAAGGTTCATTTTTATTTCAATAATTTACTTGGGTATGGGGTTCTTTAACAGTTCCAGGAAAACAGATGACCCAGAGAAAACCCACAAGGTTGGACAGGCGACCCTAAAACGTACGTGTTAAACCATTCAGACAACTAATCCCTGTCATTCAAATTAAAATAAAATGACAACATGCACATGCTCCACATTTTTCAACCAATGAAATTGTCTTTAGTCATGATGGAAGAGAATTAACGAAAAAGGAGTTTTTTCGAATTCAAACCGCCCTGCAAAACCTATAGAGAGAGAAAAATTGGTTTTAACATCGACTCAACGCAAACTAGGTCATTTCGGGACTAACATATGTTCAATTTTATTTCAATAATTCGCTTGCGCGTAGGAGTCTTTTAACAGTGGGGAGGAAACCGAAAGACCCGGAGAAAAACCATGAGGTTGGACAGACGTCCCTACTCCTTGTCACGTACAACCGAGGAATCAAAACCACACCAGTTGACTCAATGACAGACTTTATGCTAACCATTCCCCCCCACCCCCCCCCCGAGAACCAAATTGGACCACTGTTTGACTAATATTCCATTTAGAGATTCAACTGTACTGGTCATCCTGCTCGTTATTTGATAGAAAAATGTAACAGAGAATATTTTGTACTGATTTGTTTATTTGTTCCATTAAAGCAATAGTTGCATTTTTTTCTTCTAAGAAAGTCAGAACCTAATTATTTCTATTAATGCTTAATTGGTTGTCAAACCATTATTACACAATTATAGGAATCATTCTAACACTTGAAATAAAATTGGCTTGTTATAAACTGACCTGATGGTTTTATTCCCCAAGTTCAAAACGTTACCTACCCCGAGTCCGAAATGTTGCGGAGTCAGAAAGGTCATCAGTCAGAAATGTCATGTAATCTTCTAAACCTGTGACAACAACCTACGTTATACAATATTTATCACATGCATAAAGAGATGGGGGGGGGGGAACTAGTCATTTTGGGACTAACACATTGTTTGTAGGGGTCTTTAGTTGTGGGAGGCCCTCTGAGGACCCATGAGGTTAGCTAGGTGATATTACCATTTGTCACATACAAGTGTGGGATCTTGACTCAATAACAAACCTAATGATCTAAAGTGCATACTGCACATGTTCGTTAACTCATTAGCGCGCCACCACCCCAACCCCACCCTATACATATAGAAATGTATTCTTAAAATATTGTTTTAAAGTTTACAACATCAAGCGCAACATAAACTTTCAGTGTGACCTGGTGTCCAGACCTCATCTCCATTGTATATTCGATTAGATTACAATAGAAATAGGCAGCGCAAGCTGGTAACCATGGCAACCAGCAACGAAAGGAATAAAATGAAAAACATAATACCATATTAAATATTTCTAAGCTACAACATAACACATCAATGACAATGGGCACCAGAACCTGGTAACCATAGTGACCATTGAACAAAACATATCAATGGGCATAGTACCCTGGTAACCATAGCGAATAGTAACAAAAGGGTTATTATATATATATATATACATGGTATTAAATATTTCTAATCTAAATAAAAAATTACATGAAAATATTTATAATGTGTAGTTTACCGTAGTGTGGTCTATTTTCTCCATCTATGTTACTATAGTTACGTGACATCATAACAGATGACATCATTGGTTCGTCACCTGTTTTTAAATATAACAATCAATTACAAGGAAAGTAAGTCTTCCCTTGCGTACATAAAGACAGTCATATGCCAAACGGCACATAGCTTAATTTTTCTACTTTTGTTTTCTTTTTCAATTAATACAAAATAAATAGTGTAACATATGAAAATACAATTTTATTTATGAAAGAAGTTTATGGTACGGAATGAAATGGGGTTTAAGGTCCTACTGTACTACAGCGACTGGGCTAATAAAGATGGGCATATGCCATACAGTGTGCTATGAGGGAAATTTTGTCGGGACATCGGTGCTATGACCTACTCTTATTTCAAATTCCAACTGTCACTGTATCTTTATGTGTAAGTACATTGAATCCCCAATCGTCTAAAATACAAAACTAGAATTAATCAACTGATAACTTTGAGAGAAACCTTAACAAAATATCGCTTTAATCCATATTGTTTTTGTGTTTATTATGTTTTTGTGTTTATTATGTGTGTCACTCAAAGAAATAGTGATTGTAGTTGAATCTTAAAAACTTGTCAGGCAGTAGGGCCTACTGTAGTTGTACATGTATGTCTGCCATTTATAACTTTGTCTCAAACCATGCGTGAGAGAGACAGAACATCCATTTGACACAAACTAGGTCATTTTGAGACTAACATATGGTTCAATTTTACTTCAATAATTTGGTTATGTGTAGGGGTCTTTAACAGTGGGAGCAACCCCATGAGATTGGACAGGGAACCCTACTCCTTGTCCCATACAAACAGGGAATCGAAACCTCTCCACTTGACCCAATGACACATCTTTAAATCATTTAGCCACCCAAGTGACCCCCCAACCCCCCTTACACCATAGGACAATTGGGAAATGGCCTGAAAACTTGGTCAAAGCAATAATTGATAACCAGGCCAATCAAAAATAACAGCTGTATAGAAAACAATTACTGTACTTTTAATGGAGGCTACGTTTCTACAATGATCCTTTTGTCATTTTCAAGCACAACCCAATTATTTTGTCTATTTACTACCCAGCTAGTTGCATAACTCATTATGTTATAACCACAAAACCACCATGGTCTGCCCTTTAACAATAACTATGTAAGCAGGTATGCCTCTCACTTTAACAATAACTCTATGTAAGCATGTCAATATGTCATTAACTTGGTAGCCCACTAACCCAGGTAATAATAATAATAATAATATTACACTTTATACAGCTGTTGTCATGGCAGGCAGTCGGACAATAATGGGGTTAAATCTTCACTCAATAAAATAAAAAAAAACAGGTCATTTCGAGACAATCACCCAAGCTGAAGTAACTAGAAACCGGTCAGCAGTAAATTTTGGTGTCAATTGCCATTTTGTAATTATCTGATCAAAACATCTGTTAAAAAACCTAACCTGTATCATTGACAAAGTTTTAAGATTAGGCGAAATAACCGCGAAACCTGATTAGTGATAGGTTTTGTTCTGAGCATGACCTCAATGCTTCACATTAAATTTGAAACAAAAAATCTATTAAAAACTGCAGCCCCTATCACATTTCACAAGCTTTCAGGAAAAGGGTCACTTCTGGAACGAAAGTCTGATACACACCAAAATCAAACTGAATCGAAATCTTTCGATCTGTAAGATAAATATTAAGTTTCATCTGATATTATGGTCTATGGAGGGTCCACGAATTCTGTACAAATGGCTAGGCTATTTCAAGACTATCACCATCACCAAGGATGTCACTAGAAACTGACAAGCTACAAATTTGTGTGTTGATTTCCTGCTATAAATACTGGTAGTTATAATTCATAAATATTCACACATTGTTTAACTGCGAAGTGTTAATGAATGAATGAAATAGATTTAACATCCTACTTAGCTGAATCAACCGATTAACGATGTGTAGAATCGAACCCATGCCACTTGACTCAATCACAGAGCTTATGATCTGAAGTACTAGCGTTTAAACAACCCAACGACCACGACTTTAATTTTTTAGGCGCAATTATTCCTATCATGAGAGAGAGAAATGAAATGGGGTTCAACGTCCTACTTTTTTGCTCCGAACTGGGCTAATGAAGATGGACATATGCCATACAGTGTGCTATGAAGGAAATTTTGCCTGGACAGCAGCACTGCGGCCTACACTTATATCGAATTCCAACTGTCAAGGGATCTTTTACGTGCACGCCAATGTGTACACGGGACATCCGTTTTTCATCATCCAAACGACTAGCCAGCTGTCCTTGTCAGGCCCTCCGTCCTGCATCACTGACAGGGGGAACCACACCGGATAATCTGGATGAACTTTCTCAGTCAATGCAGGAATCGAACACCTGACCTCCAGGCTAGCGAGCCAGCATCTTACCCACCGTGATCCCCCATGAGAAAAAGAGAAATGGGATTTAACGTCCAATTAACACAAACCAGGTCATTCCAGGACTAACATATGGTTTAATTTTATTTCATTAATTTGCTTGCACGTCAGGGTCTTTAGCAGTGGGAGGAAACCGGAGGACCCAGAGAAAACCCACATGGTTGGACAGGTGACCCTACTCCTTGTCATGTACAACCAGAGAATTGAAACCATGTCAGTTGACTCAAAGACAGACTTTATGATACAGCACGCACACGTGTTAACCATTCGGCCCACCAACCCCCTCCCCCTCTGCGAATGATACAATCAGTTGGTTTCATTGGTGAAATACAATACAATGAGCTTTAACATCGTATTTTACTATACTAGACAGGCCAATGAAGACTATGGACAAATCTTATATCAAGTGATTTTTTACGTTTAGAAGGAATCTGTACAGGGGACCGCAATTGGTGAGGAAACTTAGTACCATAATATCAGTCAAAATTAAACCTACATGTACTGAACCGATTGGTCTGTTTCACGAAATTTTAACTAAGATAAAATCCACATTTTAGTAATTTGATTGGATAATATAAGATTGATTTTAGTGCTTAGCCAATCAATATTGAAGTATCTACTAAAATTTGGATTTTATCTTTAGTTAAGATTTCGAGAATCAGAGCCCAATGTGATACAAGGAAAATTTTGCTCAGCCAGCTGCAAATTCTAACTATGGAGGGTTCCTTGACATGCAATCCAAGATACATGTACACAATGGACATGGACTAGAGCCGCCATGCTGCACCATTGACAAGGGGAATTCACAATAATATTGATGCATGTACATGTAAATCCTAGAGAACTGAGTTTGAACTCCATATTCCCTGGTTAATGTGCTATCTACTGTGGCCCCTGTTAAAGAGATATTATGAAGATGAATTAAATTAAACTTACTGACTCGTTCTGAGTTCACCTTGTACTGGTAATAACTATAATATTCACCGCCAAATAAAAACGCAAATCTTGGATTATCCTTCTGCTTCGATTTCGTCATATGTTCAAATTCTGGTCCATTTCTCGCCACAAAGTTGGCTAACTTGTCAATTATATTCTTCTGTTCCTGATCTGTAATTAAAGTGTAAAATTTGGAAACATATATAAATGTGGGTTGCCCGGCAAAGAGACACACCTCGGAGAAACATATTTATTCTTTTCTAGGTAATGAAGGCATTAAAAGAGACACAGAGAGAGAGGCAAAGAGAGAGAGAGAGAGAGACAGAGAGAGAGAGAGACAGAGAGAGACAGAGCGAGAGAGAGATGGGTTTAACATTAGCTGGACACAAACTAGGTCATTTTGGGACTGACATAATGGTTCAATTTTATTTCTTTAATTTACTTGTGCATAGAGAGAGAGAAATGGGGTTTAATGTCCAATCGACACAAACTAGGTCATTTTGGGACTAACGTACGATTCAATTATATTTCAATAATTCGCTTGTGCATAGGGTTTTTTAGCAGTGGAAGGAAACTGGAGGACCCAGAGAAACCCAACGAGGTTGGACAGACGACCCTACTCCTTGTCACGTACAAGTGGACAATCGAAAACCATGCCAGTTGACTCAATGACAGACCTTATGATACAATGCCCAGGCTCTAACCATTCATCCATGCAACCCTAACCCATATATCAAAAGGTACATGTAGGTAATCTCCAGGTTTGGATTTAAAAATTGCACACAGGGATCCCAAATTTACTTTGTGTTTCATGTAGATTGATCTACCATGGATCCCCTGTTTGTAGGTACATGTATGACTATGAGCAATACAACAGAAGGTATATTCACACCTGAATCATATCCCAGTTACACATCAAATCATATCCTATTTACACTGGTAACTGATTACACAATAAACAACACTGTAGTAATGTGAGAGAATTCACACCTGTATTCAGGTGTGGTAATAACAGGTTGTTTATCTGGGGTTTTGGGTCTGTTTTGGTCGAGGAAGTTCCTCAGGAAGTTAGGGAATGGGTGGTAATATAAACATATGCTCACACTCGCCATTGGAACATTTATAAAAATGTTCACAGTTATAATTATCAAGTTTCAAATTAAACGTTAATAATGAGTTATAATTATCAAGTTTCAAACTAAACGGTCATGGGTGTTGGTTTTAACACCTGACAAAGAGATCCAACAACTGACTAATTAAATCAATCAGTGTTTGACACCTTTTGATTGGTTTCTCTACACCTACACCTAAACCAGTAGATCACAATGCTGATTAGACGTTAACCATTTAACAATTAAACATACATGTACATTATCGGAGATTAGATAAAGAGCTGGCCAGTTCTCACTACATGTACGTAGTTAAAACTAGATAATGTAAAGGGAATATTCTGAAAATTTCATTCAAATTGATCCACTCTGAACCGAGAATTTAGCGATTGATTTTTTGGCCTAGCCTACACGTAGATCATCATTACTAAAAAACATAGTCTTGATTATCCATTTTTGAATTTAATCATCAACGAGCGTTGAGCAGATTGGATTTAAATCCAGTGAAAATCGATCACATAAGATGACATTGAGAGTTGATTATGGTCTGGATAAGTTAATTAATGTCTAATTAATAGTTTATATAACATTTCAAGCCTAAATAAAGATCTGCAATAGGCAGATTTAGCTCTTGCGTTATGTATGTTTAACATACATGTATCTTCAGTACTGTTTTAAGACCTGGGGCTATATAATAACAAAAATTTTAAACTAAAATATTTTTCAAAATACAGCCATTTCATTGGCTGGCAAGATCTATAATAAACCCAAAAACATAATATAAAACACAAGTACTATTTTAATTAAAGCGACGTGTCATTGAGGGATTTCATAAAGTTATCAATACATTAATTCTAGTTTTGTATTTTAGACGATTGGGGGGTTCAATGTACTTACACATAAAGATACAGTGACAGTTAGAATTTGATATAAGAGTAAGCCATAGTGCTGCTGTCCGGGCAAAATTTCCCTCATAGCACACTGTATGACGAATGCCCATCTTCATTAGCCAAGTTGGTGTAGAACAGTCGATTGTTTTCCATATTGTATTTTTGTGTTTATGACGTGGATCAATTGCCGAACACCGCTCAAAGAAGAGCTACAATATTTAGCAGGAATTTAACCCTTTTAACCCTTAGACCATTGGGCCACACATCCTTGGCATTTGTATTGTGCCGTGTTCGTGATGTTGGCAGTTTCCTGGGCAGTCCCGCTTACTATCTGTTAGAATGTGCATAAATCTATTATTAAAGATGCATTATGTAAGATTTAAATAAAGCACTGGCCATTCTTGCTATAATAATAGATAATGAATAATGAATATATTGAAAATTTCATTCAAATTACTCTATTCTGAGAGAAGATATTAGCCTTTGAAGGGAGCCTTTGAAGGTTTGACAAGATGTGTGCATTGATTGTGATCACTGGACTGGTTGTTTGAAGCTTAGCTTCACTAAACCATTTTTAAATTGAATTATTAAATGGCCAAATCGTTGTAAACTACATGTAGTTAATATCAGAGATAGCATCAAGAGTTAAATATCGTCTTGTCATGTTAATAAATGTCTAAATAATAATTTATGTAACATATAAGGCCTAAAGAAACCTGCAATAGGCAGATTTAGCTTTGGTATAATGTATGTTTAAAATTCTAGTGAAGGTTTGGTGTCTAAGCATAGAGTAATACGTGCACTTTATTGAAGATCATTAGTCAAGCGTCACAATTTTGTAATGTGACAGCTACTAGGGCTGTCTGACTACCCTTGTGGGGTTTTTTTCCTGGGTCTACCTATTGTTTAAAGACCTCTGCACATAAGTTAATCATTAAAATAAGGATATCATATATCCCCCCCCCTCCCTCCCTTTGAATGAACTAGAAAGATGGTGAGTGTGAATACATAGGACACTAAATATACTGAACTACCATGCAATGTTTAGGACCTAATGCAACATTATATAATAATGACAACAGATCCAGTAGGCCTACATTATATTTGCCTCAAAGGGGGTTGCAATTTTGGAGAGGTTTAATAAATTAAAAAATATCAATCAAGTGACATGGTCATGGAATCGACTTATACGAAAAATCTATTGTCATCGATTCGCAATGTATGAGGACTGAATTTCAAAACTTTAATGAGTACCCCACATTGTCATCAATGCATTGCCATTTGCTTTTAGTCTGACCGGCATAATTGTCGGAAAACTATGCTTTCGCATTCTCAGTTTCTGACCGAGTTACAGACCAGTTTCATCAAGTTTAGTTATAGTAAAGGCCTAGACAAGAAAGAGTGGGATTTTCCTATACACTTACCATCGGGTGGATTCGGGAGATCCATGATAAAGTTTTCTTCTTACACAATTAGTTAGAGTTTCCGGGTTACACCGATGTTATTTCCATTAAGACATTTTCCAAAACTTCCATGTTGTAATTCTTGAAATTAGGTCAACAATGACTTCCAGTTCCGGTTACGCATACGAAACTTTCCTTGAAATCTTGGAAATGAAAAACATAAAATTAAAATCCCTCTCTGCCCTAGATTTGGTTACCGTACTCTCAAATTTAAAAAAGAAAAACAGTTTAATTCAAATTTCAAGGAAACTAAATTAAATTTCATTTTGTTTATTTACCGTCACCCGGTTTCGCATTATGTGGGTTAATATATGCAGCCTCGTTCCCGATTTTCTGTGTTGGAGGCTATGGTATAGGAAAATGGAGTTTGGTTTGCGCGAAGCACTGCAATAAATGCGAAAAATCAAGATTTGCTTAGCATGGTGAGTAGAAATTTGACTATAATTTTAAAACTAAGCATATTGCGGACAAATTGCATTGATTGTCACGCTGATCTAAGTTCTGTCTCTTGCATGAAATTACACTAGAAAATTCCGTCAAGCGGGTATGATGTAAACAACTCCACGCCACACTATAAACATTATTTGATTGGTCCATATTGGGGGTAAAAAGGTCAAATAATAGATTATAAACATGACTCATTCTCCACGTCGCGTGCTGATGTATATATATATATAAAAGTGAGCTTGGCGCTGTGTTCAGTCGTGAAACGAAACATCAGTGCGATAACAATGGAGTAGTTGCTAGTTTTAAAGAAGCCACTCAGGCTAAGTGTTATGGGTTGTACCGTTAAGATAACAGAACGACAGAAATCAAAAAGAAATTGATAACGACGACGACGGACACGTTCCTTTGTTTTGAAGATCAATCAGTTTTTACGGATTATCGAACTTATTAATTTAGTTCAACTTCTAGAAATCTGAAATCGAAATCAAATATGAGGACGGTAAGTGAAAAATCATTTATTTATTTAATGTAAACAATAGTCAGTGACTATGATTGAACTATTTTAATTATTGAACGGAACAGTGTCCCCAGTGCATAAAGTAAAGCCTGGGTGTTGGACGCTTGCATCTCAAACATAAACACTGCAGACTGTCAAACCGTTATCAACAATAACAAAGCGTGTCTATTTTTAGTAACAGTCTCGGGCTTACCTCAGTCAGTCAGTCAATCAGAAATAGCTTCTAGAATGTTTCCAACTATTTCAAGTTCTATTCATATCTGTTATAAACGGGATCACACTTGCATGAATTACTAAAAATATTTATTTACAAATTCCGACATTAATACTGAACACCAGTTTTATTGCACACCAAGAATATACTTAACTTTGTCACACTAACCTTGTAAGTTGATTTCGGCATTTAACTTTTGGAACAAATCCAGATATACTCTTGCTGATGGCTTTCCATCAGTGCATCAAAATCAAAAGTTTGTTTTATGACAGTTTGTTAAATAAAAACAATTGTTATGTATTAATTTATTCTTCTATAAAAAAATACCACATTATGTATTTGTTTTGATAATTATTTGATAAAAATTTTAACGTTATGGTGGTGCACTAGATATATAGGACTGATTTAGTTATTTTGGAAGAGTCTGAAACATGCTAGGGCCTAAACCTTGAGAAAACCCTATTTTTAGTGTGGTTGGCGCTAAGTCCCCAAATTCTACAATTCTACGCTACCTGACTAGTTTAATACAATATATACTTGCCTAAGTTATATAGTTTTAAGTAATTGACTTGATTGTTGAGTCGTTTTTACACCCGAACAATGAGTTAATCTGATTATGTAGATAAAAAGTAGCAATGACTTGCAAATGGCTTGTTATTTATAACTGAATCTTCCACACAAGTTAAGTGGCGTTTAATTTGTATACAGGTACCTACATCGTTTCGTGTAAACCCCACTTAACAACAGCTACCCTGGGAAATCAAGGACTGATCCTTTTTTCAGCTGCAGGGAGCGCGAGACTGAAAAAAGTCTACGGCTTAAAACTCACTTTTACCAACATAAAAATAGATAAAATACCTACAGTATATCAGTCTAAAGAATGAATTATTTGAAAGAGATTCACATTCAAAAATGAAACAATGCATTTGAATTGCTCACTTAAATCAAATGAATCTATTGTTAAAGAGAGTCACCTGAGAGAATATTGGATGTAGGCTATATACATACAAAGGGATGGGTTAAATAGAGCCTAGAGGTCAGGTGTGTGTTTTAAAATGGAATTATGAACAATTCATTAATAAATTATAACTTATGGAAAAACAGCAACAAAGTAGTACTAATTTATTTGGACAATGTTTCGAAGGGTATTCTCTTAACCTGTGATAAAGCTGATACAATAATTCTAAGTAAATTAGTAATACAAAAAATGTGAAGCGAATATAATCTACATTTAAAAGAAAAAAATTATAACAAATCATGAAACCATACATGACAACAAGATCAAAGGACTAAATATTAGTTTTTTATTTAATATGTACTTGAACACTTTCGTTAAATGTGATCAGTAATTCCTATTCAGTTTTATTGTTTCACTCAGTATAAACTAACCAACCCTGAATAAATCATGATTTGTCATAAACGACTGGGAAAAATAATTCTGACGAAATTGAGTACCAATATAAGTAGGCCTACCAATCCTCTAACCTTTGCCTTTGGCCCAGTGCCTTAATTTATTTTTAGTGATTCAACAAAATTGTACGAATATTTCTATAGTTTCTGCAATTTATAAAAACTTTCGTCAGACTTTATATTATAATTGATAAAGTTGGCATCTTGTCGGCATATATCTACGTAATGATGAAACTTTTGAAAAGCTTCTGTCATGGGCTATTTTTAGCCGAAACGAAAGAAAAACCACGTATCGGAAAATTGGCGGACGTAATAATCGGGAAATATTATGACAATCGAAACAAGGATATAAATAAATAATGAGATTCATACGTCACAATATTGTGACTAATAAATATACCCACACTTTCGAGAACAGGAGACGGGTGGGCCAACTATTTCGGGTAGCCAATATTAATAAATTCGGCCTTCCCTAAACTACATAATAAATGTTCTGGTAGATTCCTCGCCTAGATATTATTATTATTAAGCTAAAAGTTACGCACGATTAAATTATCAAAAAAGAAAACATAATAATATACAATCTCTCAAAGAACTTGATTAAACGTTACATAAAATTTAGGCCGCTCGAAACGCTTGGACGGTTTCCAACCAAAGTCGAGAAAAGTCGGTTAAATTTTATTTCAATGGAAAGAATTCGTAAAGTCAACCCCCAGCAACGCACCGCACAGTCTTGCATGCCTGGTGAGATATGAGAGGTCATGTGTTGTCAGGCATGCTAATGGTATCCTTACTGTACGACATAATCTGACCAATCCACGCAATCATTACATCAGTTCCACCAACCCTGACATCATTTTCATCCAATCAAAATGCTTATTCGGCAGCAGAGCACTTTGCATTTACAAGACAGCTTTGAGCAGCATAAGTTTTACGATCGTCAACAAGGCACAAGTGAAGCAATAAGTGCAAGCCAGCGAAGCACCCAAGTGGAACGAACAATTATTATCCTTACATTGAACACTATTGCTAATAAATAAGTAGACCTGTTGTTAATTAAAGCTCATTAGTCATTAAGTGGCTATTGTAATGATTTCGACTTCCATGCAGTTTTTTGACAATTGGCTTCAATTTACAGTTTTGAGAAGGTATTGAACCAAATTGTTTTGATCTTGTAATCTTCAATGTCAAGTGTCGCTCGTATGAATACGTTGATCTCTGTTATCGGGCTCATGTTGTTTTATCTCTGTGAGCTAAGGATAATATCTAGATTTGTCCAGCTGTGTCGTAGATAATTAGCACTCCAGTCTATAAGCTTTTGTTCAATATAAAAATAGGTATTTTTACCCGAGGTTTCAATATCCCAATGACAGTCCGCTTTCATCTGTCGAAGTGTGTAGATCGCTGCCTACTCGAGGCTTATGAGTGACAACCCGAAGTTTACTACTGTGGTGTCTAACTTAGGCTTACAACTGAAAGACTTGACAATTATTTTATTTTTCTGTTAGAGATTAGGCCTACATATTTCTACTTCAAGATGAAGATGACACAGGTGTGCTTTGACTTTGTTTTATTTTTAGTTTTTTCAACCATAAAAAATTTCAAACCAATGCATATAGGCATAGTCAAAGGGTTGTGATAATTTTAGGTGAAGTGTGGCCGTGTGTTTCACACACTTAAACTTTTTATGATAATCATAAATTAACGCAGTTATTTTAAGATAAAATTGTTCCTTGCAGTTTTCACCTACTTTAAGTACTTAACAAATACATTTACACTAAAAATCTTGGCATTCAACTTAGATTTAGATTTTCTTGTGTACTGGTAACTTTAAAAAAAAACAACCCAACACTGGAAATTACTTTATGAAAAGTTTGATCATCAGGTAGTTCTGTGCCAACAAAATGACATCATATCTATAAATAATAATTTGCTGATTTTTTTACCAACTGTACTTTCATTTCAGCAAATGATGCAATAAGCTTATACACATTTGGGTTTAGGGGATCATGAATTTATTGGTGTTTATTTTATATTTTAGTTTGATGAAAAGATACCAACGCGGCCGAGCCGACCGAACAGTTTGGAACTTGATAATTGCCTTACAATGGATAACGAATGCTTCTTCCCCGACTTTGTGAATAATAACACGACTCCACCCCCGCAACAGACACGAAATAGAAAACGAAAAAGGAGGGCAGCAGATATTCCGGTTAAAAAATTTAATGGTAGGTATTTCATTGAAGTCTTTAATCAACAAAAAAAAAACATTTTATCTTCAGCTTTATTTTCAGACTTAATTACCTCCCATTGTTGAATGACACCATTACATGTATACTATGCAATAATCTAAATGTTTTAAAGGGGGCCTGCTTACTGGGCCAAACTTCCCTTATAGTACGCTGCATGGCCTTGGTGTACCCCATTTGATTTCATTTTAAAATGAAAACTATTTTACTATGCATTATTCCAAATGTTGCACACAATACTTGTTTTTCTTTCAGATTTGTACAAAGCTACTGGAGAAATTTTAGGACATGGTGCATATGCTGCTGTCCAAACATTTGTTAATTTGGCCAACCAAAAAGAATACGCAGTCAAAGTTATTGAAAAGAAACACAATTTGAATCGAAGTAAAGTCTTCAAAGAAATAGAAATTTTCCATTCCTGTCAGGGCCATGAGAATATTTTAAATATGGTGGAATATTTTGAAGAAGAGGAACAGTAAGTAGAATTTGTTTTTTTATTGTTTTGAAAACTTTTTATCGGCCTTTCAATTTGGTCTCTTGATAGGGTGAATTTAAATTAGTTCAAAGAATGCATATTAGTGTATTCGACTAAATAAACGTACTTGCGAGTTTACATCTGTTATTGTATCAATTAAACAAAATTACTGTTGGTGACAAATTCATTTAGAATTACTTCTCTTAGACATCATAACTGCCAATAATTTCTAACAAAAGCAGAAATAACTGGCAATATTTACTGGCAATAGAAGTAATTAAACCAACATTGATGCAGCTTAGTTTTACGGAGACCCTTTCAATAATAATTTATAAAACTGTGTCTATATTTATATATAATTTTATGTCAATTTGATTTATTTCAGATTTTATTTGGTTTTTGAAAAAATGGAGGGTGGAACTTTATTAGCGAACATTGAAAGACGGGGACACCTGACGGAGAGAGAAGCCAGCTTAGTGATCCGTGATATCGCTAAAGCCTTGGATTTTCTTCACCAGAAAGGGATTGCCCACAGGGACCTAAAACCAGAAAACATTCTTTGTCTGAAGGCTGATGAGGTAGGTTTAAATCTTTGTAGCCTTTAAATTTGAAAGGATCTTAGTTTTATTGTTTTGTGTTGAAATTCTTCTATTGCGGAAAACAAGCAGTTGTCTTGTTAATTTTGTGAAGATTTTTATTTGTGTATGGTACAAATAATGCCCAGAATTGTTTTTCTTTGCTGATAGTCGCAGTCAATAAGTCTCACAGTAACACTTTGTTCTTCTGAATATTTTTGAAATATTTGAAATTTTTTGCAAAAATTATTTTGATTTAAAGTTTTTAATTTTTATTATCTTTGTATTTCAGGTGACACCAGTTAAAATATGTGATTTTGATTTAGCGAGTGGCATTCCTTTAATGACCGACCAAGATGCAGATAGCGTTAAAACCCCAGAATTATTAACCCCAGTTGGTTCCGCAGAATATATGGCCCCAGAAGTGGTTAACGCATGGATTGGTGAATCTTTTTCCTACGATAAAAAATGTGACTTATGGAGTTTGGGAATCATATTGTAAGTATGAATTATATTTTTATTTATAAGGATTTCAGATAGCAATTAGATTCTACACGTAGCTCTGATTTTATAAAGTGACCTTCTAGATGTGGCATTTCTGGAAGCATTTTAAGCATTTCCTCAATTCCTATGCAGTACTGTACTGATGTGAAACTATCTCTATAAAACAATCATATTTAAACGCCTCCATTAAAATTAAAAGAATCTTGACAATACCTTATTGTGGTTTTATTGTATTTTTCCAGGTATATTACCTTATGTGGTTATCCACCTTTTTATGGTCAATGTGGTGAAGATTGTGGCTGGGAGAGAGGAGAAGCTTGCACTGATTGCCAAGAAAGGTTATTTTTACGTATTCAGGAAGGAACTTTTGAATTCCCTGATGTTGAGTGGAGTTGTATATCTGAAAAGGCCCGGGATTTAATTCGACATCTGTTAGTACGTGATCCAAGATCCCGCTTTTCAGCTGCTCAAGTTTTATCCCATCCGTGGATTTCCCAGCCCCCTGCAGCCACGCCCCTTGCTACTCCACATGTACTTACCAGGTATGTACCAGGTCAATTTCTATATAAATCATAAAATTATCAAAATGGTGCTACCCTGACTAAATCGCTTAAAACTTTGTTGTTGACAACAGAAAAAGAAGATACAATTTGTTAGTCCCAAAATGACCTAAATTTTGGTGCTGCCTGGCTAAATATATTAAATGTTACTGTTTTAAGTCGACACAGCAACTCGTAATTAGATGCAACCTCTCTGGATGATGTTAGTGACATCATCAGTCTGAAAAATGATTCGAATATGTTTTTCAATATGTTCATGAAATATGTCTGCTGAAATAATTCATACTGTTTTATCATTCGCTCGTTTATGGAATTTATTGTTATCTTGTACAAAAAACTTATAAAATTTTTCCTTTTTGTCTTTTCAGAAATAATAGTACCAAAGATCTGGAATCGTTTGCTGATGCTGCTATCTCCATCAATCGTATGATGCAACAGCACATGATGATATCGGAAACTCCACGATTTTATGTCGGCGACGAGCGAGATATTAGTGAAGAGGACGACAGCAGTATTGATCCTGATGTGTTTGATCGTAGTATGCGATTATCGCCCCCAGGAAGTTCGAGCCTTGCCAAGCGACGAGTTGCATTTCAAGATAAAAACAATATGTTTGGTTCAAGCACGAGTGGAGATAGCGTGTCATTCCCGAGTTCTGGTAGCTGGTCGTAAAAACATTAACACAAATTGAAAATATATCACAAACTTTACGAAAGTGTAATCCTCAAGAAACAAAATAGCAAGTCACCTTTCATCAAATGTCAGCCTTGTCTTTCATAATAATATAGATATCAAAAAGACGAAAGGTAAAATATAATATAAAATAATAATTAATCTACTATGACCTCAGCTATATGTGATTAGTGATAATTCCAAATGGATTTAGTATAAAAAAAACAAAAAATAGTCATTGAGGAAAAAAAATATATAATATAATCGAAAGATGTTTGTGCAAAAGCAAAAAAAAAATAATAATTCAGTATTTTATTTGTCATTGTTTTTACATGACTGACTTCCATCGTTTTATAATGTTTATACTTTAATACTATTTAATAAAAAGTTTGCGTATAAAGTTTCAACTTCCGCTAATTTTTAGAAATGGGAGTAAGGACGGAATAAGTGCTACCCATTTAAAATGTTATATTCTTCTAGTCGGGTGATAAATGCAGGTGGTTGTTGGAAAAAAAAATCTAGGTTTTGTTTATCGAAATGTTTTAGGATTTGTTTCAAGTTTAAAAACATTACGAGACCAATCTTTTGATATCTCTGACAGTCGACCTCCTATTCACTTCTTGCGCCATTTCAGCGAGAGGGTTTTAGTTCATCTTTTTGATGAGGTTAGTTTTGTTATTCGTTGTTTTCATTTGTTCTAATAATTTCATGTGAAATCCCCATTTTTAGCATTACCATGTCTTCGTCATATAACATCAATTTATACTCAAATCTGATTGGTTAGATCAATTTCTTATACTCAAATCTGATTGGACTAAAAATTCAAAAATGATCATTCCATATTATATATTATGTATATATAAAACAAATATACTCAATTCATATAAACTTAAATGTTTTGTATCATATCAAAAAAAAAATAAGTATGTCGAGACCGATCTCCCGAAATAGTGTTAAAATCTGCTAAAATAAAAAAACAATTTGGACTCATTATCTCACCATGTACGGGAGAGGACAGATCAGCTCAATATCGCGATGGGTTTATTTTATATATTAAATACGCGATTTTTTTTTTTTTTACTTTAAAATGGCCATTGGCATAATGAAAAGAGACACTTCAAAGTCGATAATAAAGGGCCAGAGTTTTCCACAAATGTCGGCTGGGATCGAAATGTCCCGAAAAAAACTGTGATATGAATACTGTGTATTTTAGTCAAACAAAATGTTTGCTAATTGATAAACTCGAGATGATAGTTGGAAGCAATGCAGAGAAGTTTGTGCCTTTTTAAAAAAAAAAAAAAGTGATATATTTAGAAAGAAATAATAGAATCTCCGTTTTCATGGAAACCACAAAGAGTTTATATATTATGGTGTATTTTTCTCTAAAAAGTTACTATAGTCTTCAACGATTTGGAAATCATGGATCAATTTCCTGTTGACAATCTGATTTAAAAAAAACGTAAAAGAACTATAAAATTCCAATTGCTAGAGATAAACAAATTCCAAATGTTTTGTTGCAAAACCTTAGTATGTGAGTTGAAAGCATTTAAAGTGCAATGTTAGTGTTAATAATTATGAAGTGTTAAATTAATTAATTTGCAAAGATTGGGCATTTTTATATATTTTGATATACTGCATGTTCAAATAAACAAAACAGTTGTATAAAAGAACGTGCTGGATAGAAAGACTGAGAAAACGACCAGAAAAACTATTTCGTCCAGAGTTTTTGTGCCGTTTTTAGCCACAGTTATAATGAAAATATGTAAGTCATATGCTATAGAATGATTTTAAATTTTCTGTCGTTTTTCTACTGTTTTTTCTCAGTCTTTCTATTATGTGAGGATTCAAAGGGCATTGTCAACTTCCATAAATAAAGAGCTTTTTTTTTTCTCTGAAATGTAATTAATTCCATGCCCCATTTCTATGAAAAAAACAGGTAATTTTCTGTGAAAATTTCAAATTATATTAATTGTTTTCTATTCCCTCTTTAACCAATAAATAGTATCTATTTTATTTGAGACAACTGGAATGGACAATGGATATAAAATGTTTTTTTGTGGTTAGAAATGGAATTATTACGTTTTGACCAACAAAAAGCTCTTCAAGTACAAGTAGATAAATTGTGTGAAATATTCATGCTTATTATTCCTATTGTTACATCATATCATGTTGTCATGTTGTCATCAGAATTTACAACATAATGTCACTTTAGAGACATTTGTACATTATGTATATATTGTCATCTAGGTGGTCTTCAGAGATAAATATCACTCTGAACAAGATTTTTCCATTTTTGTATAAAGTTCAATTGGGTCACATTTAAAATTAACATTAGTAAAACTGAAAACTTGAAAATCGAAAAAGTTAAAAAACGTGTAAAGTTAATGCCCATGATATTCTTATTGTTATTTTCATATAAAGGTGCTTTGTAACAGGGCTCTTGTTGTTAGTAATATTTGCCGGTCTTGACTGACTAATATTTAAATTTGACCAGATGATAAATTTGCTTGTCAGTCAATTTACATGTGATAGAGAATCTATATATATATATATCCTTCATACAATTTAAGCATTTATAGTTTTTTATTTACGTAAGACACTAAACTAAAAAATTGTTGTCTCTGAACAGATTTCTGGTCAAAATGAAGTTAAACTACATATACATGAGAAATTGACTGGCTAGCAAACTGGTATAAGTAAAGAGCCCTGGTTTGTAATGTGTTATTCCTATGTTTTAGACAGCCAGGTTTATACCGGGGTTGTAATGTTAAAAATTGGTGCCAAGTTAATACATGTATCTAAAACCTTGTCTTTAATACCGATCTCAGGGCCTGAAGCATTGTTCAAATGACAAAATTCAGACATTTTCATTGAAAATCGGTGACAAGTAATGTTTGAATTGATGAAATTTTAAGAAATGCGTTGTGAAAAATTTCATGATGAAATAAAGTTTTATTTTTTACAAGTTAATCATTTGTTTTATTTTATTTTTGTCTGTGGAATGAACATGTGATTATATGTATTGAAGCTGTTAGTAAGGGAGATATGAACAATGCAGTATTTTATTGAATGCTATGCTTCTTGGAGGGAGGGGGGGGATGTCATGGGGATGAATGGAAACGGTATTTAGTAGATTATCATGGGGTGGAAAGACAGTATTGTATGGGATAGGTGGATACAGCAAACTGTTGGAGGGGAGGGGTTGAATCACAGGATTCTGTTGTCATGAAGATGGGTTGAAACATGGTATTCTGTTGTATGTCATGGGGATGGATGGATGGGAACACAGCATTATGTTGGGGTAGGTGGAAACACGGTTTTATATTGTATGTCATGGGGATGGATGGAATTTGGAAACAGTATTTAATGGATGCCTTGGGGATTATTGGAAACACGGTATTCTATTAGATGTCATGAGGATGAGTGGGAATTATCTACGATACCACGCTAGGTTGAAGAGGCCGTCAATGCTAACGAATAATAGAGAGAAACACATTATTCAATAAGTAATATTTTATGGACCTAGGTAGAGGGCGTGTCGTGTGGTGTTCTATGAATCCAGATTAATAAAGTACTGGATTGACAACCAGGAGATCTAGTCGTTCGGATCGAATCCAAAATAAGGCCCCGTGCACACTTCGGCGCGCACTTGAAAGAACCATTGGCAATTGAAATTGAAAATAAGAGTAGGCCGTAGCGCCGCTGTCCATTAAAAATTTCCCTCATAGCACACTGCAGTTAATTTTATTTCCGAGTAATACTAAATCTAAAGACCATGCGTTGACCTGAAGTAAAAGTGTTCCACAAGAACCTTGGTTTTTCGTCCCATTCGTACGACTAATCTAATGTAAGAAGATATACAATTGGGAAATGGTGGGAGGTAATTAATGTCATATCAGATGTTTTATTGGAAGGGTAATCGATTATCTCGATATTATTTATACACAAACAATAAATGATCAGTTAGACATCTTGTCTCGGACATCCAGCTTTCAAGAATAGTTGTCTGAAAGATAGAGACTACTGTCTATCCATCTCTCAACTATAATTGTTAGAACAATCCATCGTTTACAACTAACATAGCGTATTAGTAAGTGCAGGGGGACTGCACCACACATAATTTACACAAAAACAAATATACGGACAAGACATAATACACAGAACTCACAAACAAATGGACAATTCAAATCAAGTGAATGGTTCCGGGGGCTAGTCGTAAGAGACCACTGCGCTGTATAGTCCCTGGCCTGTAGTGACACAGACTTCACTTAAATTTGAAAACAATCAGGAATAAAACCCAGAGAAACCATTGTGGAGGGTTAGTAAACTCACTTCAATTAGTTTATAGTAAACTCACTTCACCTTGAATTAGTTTTATAATGAAACTCAGCTTGAATTAGTTTTGCAAGTAAACTCAACTTGAATTAGTTTTGCAAGTAAACTCAACATGAATTAGTTTTGCAAGTAAACTCACATGAAGTAAGTTTTGTTAGTAAACCCGCTTGAATTATTTTTGCGAGTAAACTTATCTGAAATTAGTTTTGAAATTAGTAAATTCACTTGAAATTAGTTTTGTAAGTAAACTGCACTGAAATTACTTTTGGAAGTAAACTAACCTGAATTGGTTTTGGAAGTAAACTCACCTGAAATTAGTTACTTTACTAAACCCTCCTTTATATTGTTTTTGGGGGTTGGGTAGCCGAATGGTTAGCACATGCACGTATCATGAGGTCTGTCATTGAGTCAACTAGCGTGGTTTCCAATTACCGCTTGTACGTGACAAGGAGTAGGGTCGCCTGTCCGGTTTCCTCTCACTGCTAAAGACCCTTACGCGCAAACGAATTATTGAAATAAAATTGAACCAAGTGTTAGTCCCGAAATGACCTAGTTTGTGTCGAGTGGACGTTAAACCCATCTCTCTCTCTCTCTCTCTCTCTCTCTCTCTCTCTAATTGTTTTAGATCGTAAACAGGAAGTGAATACGATAAAAGAAAGCAAACTTTACTTTTGCAAATGAAAAGCTTACCAAGAGAAACAACAATCACGCACAGATACGTAAAATAGAACAATAGTTTACTTTTCATTCCTTTGTTTATAAGCTATTTTTAATACGTTGAAAAGTATACAAACAAGTGGATTATTTACCGTTTTACATATGGTGTTTACCAACTAGTCGAGGTATTTGTAGGTGCAGCACTATATGATATCTAGTACGGGTAGTGCTATTAAATGATAAGGGCAGCTCAGTTTTTTGTCATAGGTCACGAGATGTAAACAGGGCTAGCGATAATCCCAACCCCAACCCTGCACCTAGCCCCAATGCTTACCCTAACCCTAACCTACAATCTCGCCAACAATCATGTGCTCTAACCTTATTTACATCTCAGCCACCTTGACAAAAATTGAGCCGCCTTAACAAGATTTAGCCTATCTGGTACGGGTAACCTGTCTGAAAGGATTTTAACTGGATAGTTAAAAGCTTCTATTCATCTCATTCATAAAACCGTTTACACAAAAAAACAAATAGGCCTATATTTGAGAAGATCTTGAGCAAATTTATATATGTGGTACTCGACCTTTTTAGCCTTAGATTGGAAAGCGATTGAGAGCATATTGTTTCCTCGTGTGACTTTGTTATGTAAATATATGGCTACCAGTGTAAAGGTCGAGGTCGGTAGCACGGAGTGTGAACTGATGATCTAGGAGAAAGCAACAGGTGCCGAAAATATTGCTGGCGAATTGGGACTTACCCCTCTCGTAAATAAGTATTTTGGAGAAAGAGAGAGAGGGAGAGAGAGAGATGGGGTTTTACCGTCCACTCGATATAAACTAGGGTATTTCGAGACTAACATATCATATATGGTTCAGTTTACCACCATATATTCACTTGCGCGTAGGGGTCTTTAGCAGCGTGAGGACCCGCAGAAACACAATGAGAATAAACAGGCGACCCTACTCCTTGACACGTACAAGCGTGGAATCGAAACCACGCCCCTTGACTCAATAAACGATTCGTCCACCCCCCATAATCTTTGTTATGCAAAACCATAGGTCTGTAGATGAAAATTCGTGTTAAATATAGTCTGGGTGTTCGAACATAGCTGGAAGGGGGGGGGGGGTATGCTCTACTTTGTACACGACAACAGTCACGCAGATTACCCTCATATCTGACATACGAATATTGCGGGTGTTGCGGGTGTTATCTCCCCCACCCCCTCTCTCTCTCTCACTCTTTATCTCAGCAAAAGACCTGTACAATCTAACATTTCACGTGCTTGTTGCATATTTATCACGGCCAGGGAGGGCATGTTATCTGACTGAACTACTTTTAAGACAACTATCCATAAACAATCTTATTAAAATACATTTCGTTTCATTTTTATTTGTACTGTCGATGGTCTGAAAGAAGTGAGGTGAAGTGACGTCTACGTGTAGTAAAGACAAGTAAATTTTAAACAATACAAAACGCAAGGAAACAGAATCTGTTTTTAAAATCAGATTGATCTTAATGTACACTGAGCGCCATGGAAAACGCATCAGTTAGTTTTTCGTATAACAAAATGATCCTGTAAACATATCTTATTTATTTTGCTTCTTATTGTGAACAATATTCAAATGGGAACACATCAATAACAACACATTTGTACACTTATGGATGTTTAATCTGTAATCAACGGTACAAAGTCAGAGGGGTCAAAACCAAAAGTACGACACAGAATGATGTCAGTAGCGCGTGTGTCCTCCACGGGCTCTTACGTACGCTGTGCAGCGACGTCGCATGGAATTTACCAATGTTTGAAAGAAGGCCTGGGGCAAATTGTTCCATTCTTGGACAAGAGCAGCTTCTAAAGCAGCAACGGTGTAGTCCATACTAAAACGGGCGGTATGCGGACGTGCATTATCCTGTTGGAAGTGCTGAAGTTGTGGGTGCGCTCGAAACATCGGAACAACAATTGGTTGCAAGACATCATCACGGTAGGCTACAGCATTAACGCGACCCCTCATGCAAATGTGTAGGGCGGTCCGGTGATGAAATACGAAGCCTCCCCACACCATTACACTTCCCCCACCCCATCGATTCGTTTCGAAGACGCAGCACACTTTGTCAGTCTACTCTTCTCCATGTCTGGTGTCCTTGAGCCCATATCAAACGCCGCTGACGGTGATGATCCCTGAGGATAGCTCCAACAAAAGTTCGGCGTACACGGACTCCTACTTCTCTTAGACGACGTCTTACGGTGTTGGCACTTACTGGTCCTTGTCTTCCGACGACTGCTGCACTTGTTCGAGTTGCTGGGCGGAATCTGTCACGCAGATGAGTCACCCGGATGTAGCGGTCTTGAGTCGGGGTTGTAACGCGTTGTGGACCAGGACGTTGACGGTAACATGTTGATCCAGTAACTCGAATACGTTCCATCTCGATTATCTCGATATTATTTATAGACAAACAATAAATGATCAGTTATCCATCTTGTCTCGGACATCCAGCTTTCAAGAATATTTGTCTGAAAGATAGAGACTACTGTCTATCCATCTCTCAACTATAATTATTAGAACAATCCATCTTTTACAACTAATATATTGTAATAGTAAGTGCAGGGAGACTGCACCACACATAATTTACACAAAAACAAATATATGGACAAGACATATTACGCAGAACTCACAAACAAACAAATGAACAATTCAAATAAAGTGAATGGATCCGGGAGCTAGCCGTAAGCGTCCACTGCACTGTACAGTCCCGGGCCTGTAGTGACACAGACTTAGCTTAAATTTGAAAATAATCAGGAATAAAACCCAGAGAAACCACTGTGGAGGGTTAGTAAACTCACTTCAATTAGTTTATAGTAAACTCACTTCACCTTGAATTAGTTTTATAATGAAACTCAGCTTGAATTAGTTTTGCAAGTAAACTCAACTTGAATTAGTTTTGCAAGTAAACTCAACATGAATTAGTTTTGCAAGTAA